TTTGAATATTAGGACACTGCTAATGTTTAAATATCACAGATAGGACATGGCATTACATATTCTGAATTCCTGCAAAGTTCTACAGAATTCGACGTTGGCTGCAAAAGGGACATAGTATCTTTAAAGTTGATTGGTAACTTTGCCTCAGATTTTAAACAAATCATTGATTTAGCTCATGCTGCAATCATAATTATAAACCTCATAAAGCCTTTAATTATCAAGATATTTATGATTCGAACTAGAAACGTCAACAACTGTCAGCCCTATACAATTTTAAACAGTTTAAAATCTGTAAACTTGAACGCAGATGTGTGGCGTTTTAGAGTTGATTTCACTCCATTTGAGATCCATTTGAAAATAGTGGTCTGAATTACTTTTTAAGAGTGGATGCCACTACCATATCAAAGTGATCCCTCACGACTCCATGACTCCTTAAGGAGTGGATTTCCACTCGAGTACATTTAGAGAGCATAAAAAGGCAAAGCAATATCTCATTTCCTCCTTTTTTAATATATAAATCAGTGGTTTCATTAAAATTCTTACCTCTTTCCAGGCGCGGATCCAGGGGGGGGGGGCCGAGCGTGCCTTGCCCCCCCCCCCCGCAAAAAAAAAAAAAAAAAAAAGAAAGGGAAAAAAAGAAGAGAAAGAAGAAAAGAAAAGAGGGAAGAAGGAGATCGGGGGAAGGACTTGCCTCCCCCCTCCCCCCCCCCCAATAAAAAAAATAAAAGAGAAGGAAGGAAAGGGAAAGAAAAAAGATAAAGAGGAGATAAAGGGAAGGACAAAATAGGAAGAAGAAAAGAAAAGAAGGGGGATAACAGTTGCAATTTTCCCGCCAACAAGTTGTGGATCGAGGGGGGCAAAAGACCCTAGCCTCCCCCCCCCCCCCCCCGCCCTCCCGTCCCCGCTAAAAAAAGAGAGAAGGAAGGAAAAGGAAAAGAGGAGAGCTAAAAGGGAACAAAAAGAGGAAGAAAAAAAGAAAAGAAGCGGAGATCAGTTGCGGTTAATCCCGCCAACAATGTGTGGAGCGGGTTGGGGACCAAAATGACCATGCCCCCCCCCCCCCCCCCCCCCCAGCAAACCTAAAAGAGAGATAAGGAAGGGAAGGTAAAAGTGAAAAAGGAAAGAAAGGGAAAGGAAAAAAAAGAGAATGAAGAAAGGTAAGGGATATCAATTGCAATTTTCCCGCCAACAAGGTGTAGATCGAGGGGGGGGGGGGGGCACTGGCATACTGATAGGGGAGGGGGGAGTTGGAGAAATAGAATTCAAACGTGGTTTATTTATAATTCCATAACGGTGGTTAACAAATAATGCTGAAATGAGATAATTTTTCTCACTTCATGCGTTTGTTGGAAAATGACAAATTCCTAAATTTACAGCCAGGCAAGAAAATGCTTCTTGAGATGCCTACATAATTATCAGGGCCCGCGGAACGGCGGGGATCGGGATCCTCGAGCCCCTCCCCCACACTTTCTTTGAAAAAGTATATTAAAGAAAAATAGAAAGAAGAGAGCGAGAAAGAAAAAAATAGTTAACTGCCAGTGTCACATTATAATGGGGTTTCAAAATATGCTCATCTGACCATGATTAAAATGAATGCCTAAAATCCTAAGAGCTCTGCCCCCTGGATTCCACCTAGGGCCCTAAGGCGGGCCCTTAGATGCTCATATGACGGTCATTTAATGCCTAAACCCCTGATTTCTGGGGGCTCTGCCCCCTGGACCCCACGCCAAATAGTGTCCTGCTAGTGTCACAAATAATAAGGTATCAAAAATGCTCATCTGACCGTAATTAAACGCCTAAAACCCCTGAGCTTCTGGGGGCTCTGCCCCCTGAACCCAACCAAGAGCCCTTAGGCGGGCCCCTCGATACTCATCTGACCGTAATTGAGTGCCTAAAACCCTTGAGATTCCGGGGCTCCGCCCCATGAACCCCAAGCAAATTAGTGACCTGCCATTGTAACAATTAGGTATCAAAATAATGCTCATCTGACCGTAATTAAATGCCTAAACTCCTGAACTTCCGGGGCTCTGCCCCCTGGACCCCGTCTAGGGCGCTAAGGCGGACCCCTGAATGCTAATCTGACCGTAAATTAAAACCTTAAACCCCTGAGCTTCCGGGGCGGACAAGGTATCAATGTTCATCTGACAGCAGGCGCGTAGCCAGGGGGCGGTGGGGTGGTCCCCCAATAAACGCCGGCCAAAAAGAGAGGAGTGTAAAGGAAGAGGACGTAGGAAGAAAAGGGAATAGACAAAGAACATATTTGAAATTCAAACAAGGATTAAGAGTCGAGAACGGTACAACGAATCGTCTTCTTTCTCTAATAAATTCATGAAACGTCAAAGCTTCCGCGCTACGCGCGGGGGAGGGCAGGGGGAACTTAATTCAGACGAGGATAATTTTCTGGAATGGTACAACGAATCGTCTTCTTTCTATAATAATTTTAATGAAACGTCGAAGTTTCCGCGCATCGCGCGGAAGGGGGGGGGGAATTGATTTAGACAAGGATTAAGAGTCAAGAACGGTACGACGAATCTTCCTCTTTCTCTAATGATTTAATGAAAAGTAAAAGCTTCCGCGCTTCGCGCGGGTGGGGGAAACTAAATTATTTTCGAGAGCGGAACAACGAATCGTCTTCATTCTCTAAAAATTTAATGAAACGTCGAAGCGGGGGGAAAACTGAATTTAGACAAGGATTAAGAGTCGAGAACAGTACAACGAATCATCTTCTTTCTTTAATGATTTAATGAAACGTAAAAGCTTCCGCGCTTCGCGTGGAAAGGGGAAAACTGAATTAAGACAAGGATTAAAAGTCATTCATAACGGTACAACGAATCGTCTTATTTCGCTAATGATTTAATGAAACGTAAAAGCTGTATTCAGACGAGGATTATTTTCGAGAACGGTACAACGAATCGTCTTCTTTCTCTAATGATTTAATGAAACGTACAAGCTTCCGCGCTTCGCGCGGGAGGGAGGAGGGGAAAACTGAATTCAGATGAGGATTAAGAGTCGAGAACGGTACAACGAATCGTCTTCTTTCTCTAATGATTTAATGAAACGTAAAAGCTTCCGAGCTTCGCGCGGGAGGGGAAAAACTATTTTCAGACGAGTAGGCACGTACGGAAGGGGGGGGGAGGGGGTTAGGGGGTTGACCCTCCCCCCTTCGGTTTTTTTATGTGTGTATTTTGGAGCACCCCCCCCCCTTTTCTGTGATTTTTTTTTTTTTTTTTTTTTTTTAATTTTAAAAAAATATTAAAAAATATGCCAACGGCTGACCTAAAAGAGGTGACCTAACCCCCCCCCCCCCAACGGAACAAAATGTCAAATTTTCAAATTTCGAGACCAAAACAAAAAAAAGTGTCCTCCCCCCCCCCCCCCCCCCCCCCCGCTTATTTAGCGGCTGGCTGAGTCGTTACGATTTTTTTTTTCGGACCAAACAAGTGGCCCCCCCCCCCCTAAGAAATCCTGGATCCGCGCCTGCCTCTTTCTCCTTGTCGTTATCTTTCTAATAATTATCGCCAACCTTTGGGTGTATATTTTCTCATTTCAATGACCCCTCTCTTTTCTGGTATACATTATAAAGCAGGTGTCCCACAAGGCTCCTTCATCGAGGTCAATGTAAGTGAAGAGTCATTGAGAAAATGAGGCCGCTCTATTCCTTATAAAAACAGCATTATTATCATTTTGTACACGTAGAGTGCTGATTATAGTAAAGGCAACATGGTGCGCAGGTTGGGGGGGGGGGGCGTCCCCTTCCATAGAATGGGGGAAATGGTACTGAGAGCGAGAGAGAGAGGGGGGATGAAAATAACTGGAAAAGTGGACGGAAAGTGAAAAGAAGATTATACGACACCATTTTCAACAATTTGGTTGACCTGTGACCAAGTGTCAACTCACCCTCTTCACCAAGGGAGGTCATCAGGACTGACCCACGACGTAAAACCCCAAGGTACTTTTGCAAACGCGATGTTAAGAATAAAATTATTGTTTTGCAAGGTCACAAAGGTCTCCCCGCCCACTAAGGTAACCATAGAAACTATAAAGGAATTTCACTACAGTATATACCTACACACACTCCCTGCACCTTACTTTTTTCATATAATTCGAGTTGAAAAGGAAAATAAAATCAATAAAACAAATTGAATTAAATTCAGTTTTGAAACTCAACGACATAATATTAAATTTACAATATGGGAGCCTGAGAAAGAAATAAAGGGTAAGAAAGAGAGAGAGAGAGAGGGGGGGGGGGGCGGAGATAAAGAGAAAGTTTGGGCTGGTTTATTCTGTCTTTATTTACTCAGGATCTCTTGTATAGACGTTCTTTTTAGAAAGAAAAAATAACTGAACCATCGGCCTGCATACAGTTAATCAAAAATTGAAAAAAATTAAAAAACTGATTCATATTATAAGGAACTAAAGCCCTTGGCTGAGAGCCATGATTTATAACATTAAGTATATAAACAATGTTTAAAATTACAACACCGTTTCAATCTTTATTAAAGTTCAATTTTAAATAATACAAACATTAAAATACATAGATTTTGAGAAAGAAGAGAGAGAGAGAGAGAGAGAGAGAGAGAGAGAGAGAGGACAAGGGGATGTGCACATTTAATGCTCGCCAACGCAAACTCAAACAAAGCGTTATATTTAATACCCTTGCAGTTTTTTTTATACTCCAGCCAATATTATTACATTGATATGCGTATAAAATAGAGTCGAATATATACGGTTTGAGAGCACCTCTTATTAGAGACCAAGTACAATAACAACAAACTAGTCATAACTAACAAAATAATTGACCATTTCGAGGTACAGTATAGGCAGGGATATGTGATCCCTGGTATAGGGTAATCCAACTATATTCCTACTCATCGCACCCATAAAAGGGCGTGGTCATGGAGGCAGATTTGCACTCTGTACACAGCTTAGCATGCAGAACGCACTAAGCACACACATCTGCATGCGCTCTTCCTCCTATCCATTCACTGAGCGGGAGAGCGGTCAACGACCATTTGCATTCATTCATTCATTCATTCATCTGGCCTCCTCATCGTACACGCTGTTCACGTGTTCTCTTCTCATACTCTTGACTTCCATCATCATCACCATGCCTGATCTGGGAGATATGAAGCCAAAAGGACCAAGCAAGTGCAAGCTATGCTTCCTAAAATGCTGCTTCTGCTGTGTACCTAAACCATCACTTCCTGGGAAGGTCAGTAAAATAAGTATTAGTGCCTATGATTACAATATATATATATTTCTCATAGATGCTGCTACAGGTTAGTCATGTGGGTGTATGCACTTTTGCAGTATACAAATCTGAAATCAGCTCATAGAGGGAGAAAGGCAGAGAGAGAGAGAGAGAGAGAGAGAGAGAGAGAGAGAGACGAATTGAATGGTAAACTGTGTGGCAGCCGATATATATGATAATACTGTACTAATAATATGAGAGAGTGTTACATTGTTGTACAATTACATGGCACTCATCGACAGGAAATAAACGTCAGGCCGAAACTATCATAGTCCTTGACCAGAGCTCGGCGGGGTCGGCTGGAATTCAATCCAATATCACATTGAACGGATACCACTATTAATGTGTGCTCTACAGTATACACTTTCATTTTTCATTTTAAAGATTGTAGGCCTAGAAATTTTGCTTTGCGTTGTATTTTATGACGTGACATTTTCTGAATTATAACTCAGTGAAATACATTGTTAAAAGTGTCGAGTCGATCGTATGCAATTTACATGTCAATGAATAATACGGGTATTCTGTAGGTCGTGAATGGGATGTTAACATTATACTTGGGTCAGTTATACAGGAAATGTAAAGCGCTTAAATGTGAACATAAGAGATAAGGGGGGGGGGGGGAACAGAGGGGGTGAACATGGAGTCATTCGGATTGTACATGTTTCTCAACAATAGGACTGTTCGTTTTTATTCGCACATGATAATAATTCTGCTGAATAACCAGTGCCAAAACTGAGAATAAATATGAAAATAAATCAACCGCTTTAAAACGGGTGTACAGTGCCAGAAGGGTGCCATTGTTAACTCTGTGCTAAAACATAATGACTTAACGCTCTTCTGGCTTCAAACAGACGAAAATATCTATTCAAATATTACAAGGTCTATATTTTGATGGGGAATATTATGAACTTGGTATAGGCCTATGCTGAAATCCCTTTCAATCAGTGTAACTTTTCATTCCCCTATTGCATGGATACCAATCTGGATTGTAAAGAACTTTACAGATCTGGTAAAGTACCAGTAGATGTAGATTAAATTGACAGTGCATGTTCTGTATAATGTATACGTTAACCACAACAGCTGCAGTGCAACGGTTCTTTTTTTATTAAGCATTCTCATACTAGGTCAAAACCACGCACAATTTGATATTATTAAACAATAAATATTCTTCTTTGTCAACAGATCTATTATATTGGAGTTATTTGTTATTTCCGCACAGTTACCCCGAACGTCAACGTAATTTTAAAGGCTCTTTTATTCTCCATTGTTGACTCGAGCATATAAATCTGAAGCGTGGGTTGCAAACAAATAAAATTCAATTCAATTCAAACTGTAATATTTATTGGCCATGGTATATTGTTACTAATACTAAATCTAATAAACCGCCATACTGCATCTTGAACGAAATAGAAACAATGATTGTAAGACTGTATTGTACATATTTGTGTAGGTTACGAATGAGAGGAAAGGAATTTTGTTTACGATGTGTAAGGTATGCGTTGTTATTGCGATTGCGTTATGATATTTCCAATCATACACAAATGATAAGCTTCGTAATATCATTAACGTTCTTTGGTTGTATTTTAATTTCTTATCATGGTAAAAGAGATAAAAGAGCTACCGATACTTATCAGTAAGTATCCGACTGATAGTTGTACGGGTGTATTATTCACGGATAACTGCCCTATAAACGGTTATCAGGGATGGTATTCTGCGATAAGTTACCCTGATGCATAATTGTGTTTTATGTGTTTTACACCAAGATGTAAAAATTAATGACGAAGTGGTGTCAGGGGGTGGCGGTTTATACACCCTTCAAAATCAATGGCAGTGCATAATTTTGCTTCGGTTCTATATTGAAGGGAAATTTAACCCAAATAGACAGCTATTTCATTTCACAGTTTTGCCATTCTGTTTCTCTTATTTTTCTGCTTTCATTCAAATCAACTTATTACAAGGGTTCGATTGCCCTTTAAGTATGTACCATTAGTATGTGTTTGAAGTTTGTTCCGATTAACAACCTTTAATTAAATTTATCCCGGATATATAGTCATGTAGTAGCAATATTTTGTCATATAGGTACACGGTTGAAAAAAAAATACATGATAATAATTATACTGTACATCATATCTATCAATTTAATTATCCAATTCAAGGAGGAAAAATTGCCTGCCATGAATAATTCGATGATTAATGTTATTTTATCATTATGTTTAGGTCTTTGTATGCAACATTGGTATGTCGTATAAAAACGGGGTACACGCATAAAATAATCACGATAAAAAACTGCTGTATGAAGAAGAGGCAGAGATGCATGCAAAGCACACTTACACGCATGTGGAGTGTGGTGAATAGTGGTGAACCTTTAGCTCTTGATGAATCCAGAGAATTATGCTGGTATAATATAGGCCGATTCATAGATGGTTGTAAATATATCAAAATTACTGGAGCATGGAATTCATAGATTAACATTCTAGGAGCTATTGACTTTGATTATATACCACCACATATTATTAATAGTGCTCCAACTATAATAATTGCTTTGCGCCCATTAATTTTGATGACACACTCATCATTACCTAACCCGGAACCAACAATATAACCATATACCTCATCCTCACCCTCACCCTAAACCTAACCTCTACGCAACCGGAGTCTTCATCTTTTCCACATCTATGTCGCCAGAGCAATATCGGACCACCACTTTCGTCACAATCATTATTTTAATCGGTAGCTAATACTAAAGGAAGTGACAAATACTTTGGGAATTTCACCCTGATAATAAGCGTGTTTTTATATTGGGAGAAAAAATTTAAAACAGATCAGTGAAAAATTTAGAAAAATCGGACAATAAATAAGAATATAATGGATTTGTTAAATCCATAACTTTTATGAAATACTTCAAACCTGTGAGTCAAATTGGCAACACGGCCTCTCAATAATGTCACCCCCTCACATTTTTTCCTTTGTTGACTGCCTGATATGTCATTAAATTCCATTTTGATCACAAGATATATTTTCTTCGTGCCTATTTCGATCATAATATCACGGATAACAAGTCATGTTCTTTCATGCACCCCATAGGTCTACTATTCTATTCACATTCAGAGAAATGGAGATTTTGGTCATTCTGTCATTCAGATCAGTGGTGAATATTATTGTGAGGGGGTGACATCACAACATTCTGACCGCATTGCCAATTTGTCTCACAGATTCCATGATTTTCATGGTTTTGACAGATTCATAACTTTCTTATTTGTTATCCGATTTTTCTCAAACTTTCACTGAATTGTTTCTCTAATTTTCTGCGTCTATAAAAACCAATTTTATATCAGGGTGAAATTCCCCTTTAATGGTCATGTGGAATATTCAACCGGAGGGAAGTTCGTTGGTGTGACTTTCCGGTGTCATATTGTAAAATAATTGACATTTGCAAACTGATAACCACACCAATTTGTGGACCAATAAACTCATTTCTGAGCAATGAATTGTCCCTTCTCCACGTCGAGTAATTTGAACCTGCTTTGTGAAAAACCTGTTATACATTAATAAATTCGCTTCATGACTTGTATCTTTGATTTTTTTTCTTCTTCCAATGTTCCAGAAAAAGAAATGCGGTTGCTGCTGATAGGAGTGAACTTCGATGTACATAAAACGAGATGACCGTATATAATCAATCATATTACAACGTAAGTGTGCAATGGTCCTCAACTCTGAATACTCATCTAGAAATAAAATTCAGTCTATATTAAGAATACGACCTTCACAACAAGGGATCCGAAAACTATAATTAAACCACTATGGAAGAACCAGATAAAAGATGTTGTACATGACTTGTACTATTATTTTCAATCTCTATGAGCAATATTCGTTTTAAAGTAGACTATTTTTCTGTTTCATTCCTTTTTACCACACGGAGACCCCACTATTAATTAAAAGTATAATAATGTAACTTTAAATAATATATGCGTGGGTGGAATACACACAAAAGGGTGGAAGCTACCAGCGCTGCATGTGGTGGGTAACCGCTAAATATTGGGGTTGGGGCGAAGGCTTGGCTTATTTTTCTGTTTTTCACTGATAAGAACTTTTCATGATACACAATTTAGTATGTTTTAAATTCAAAGTTTAGAAATTTATTCTTTGGAGTATGCCTTCGCTTAATGATGATTGCATAGAAATTAATGTTAATGTTATTTTTGAGATTTTGCCATTTTGATAGGTCGAGAAAACGTTGCTCATTATACAAGACAAAATTGCATACATGCTAATAGTGATATTTTATTAGCAATCATAGAATCTTATGGCAGTAAACGCCAAGTTGAGCTTTTCTTTCAAATCTAAATCTTGGCGTTTCTCTACGTCGAAAAGGAACACCTTTTTAGTTACAAGCCCCATGATGAGTACCTGGCTCACGTACGACATAATTACATTATCATTATTTTGTCTCTTTTTTTTAACCCTCTCTTTCCTTTTCAAATTACAGTGGATTACACAGGAGCTAATCTGTCACACCGGAACCGTCGCAACACATGCATGACTTGCCAAACTCGTGATTCACAGCAAGTCACAAGCATTGGTCGAGACCCGGGGCGACGTGCCTAGATTTTAGACAGCTAAATAATCTTTTTATGGAACATGTACTGTAAGGGTGATAAAGTTTTGTTGACGTCATAGAAAATTCATACAACAGTATATGATGGAGTTTAACATGATATATAGGCATAATTTATTATTGATTAGAGGCAAGGGTAATGCTAACAATAAGTGAGATTAATCTGTTGTATTTAACCTTTGCCTGCCTATTCATGAAGATTGTGATGTACGTTTGTTTAAAGTCTGATCTTTCCGTTTAAAACGGACACAGAAAGTGAGATTGTTATATTAATCTGTAATTGCACTTTGTAGCGTCCCTGCCATTATTTAACGTCCAAGTTCTCCAAGAACGCAGACAGTGGTTATTGATTTGTACAAGGGGCCAGCATTGTTTGGTAGAATACTTATTGAATACCTATGTAACGAGGTCAGAGAGAAACGGAAAAACAAAGTCATGTATACAGTCAATAGGGGCACATTTTCGGGGCGGGGGGGGGGGGGGTGGGAGGGAATTCATGTTGACCACTGTAGAGACTACATGTTTCTCATTAGGTTCTTCTCTGTATTCTATAAACATCCTTATTGTATAGGTCAACGCGATAGCAATTACTTTCGAACAACCCAACCTAACGCAATTAGAATAACCTTGCGCATTACCTTTTGAAATGTGTCGATGACAATAACGTATTACGTAACACAAACATGGCATCTCTCTGACAAACATGCAGGCGTGATGGGAGTAGTGAAGTCGCCCATTAGTTGATTTTCGAAAATAGTTGTGATTGTGTTACGTGTAGCATAACCTATACGGGTCGTTTTAAGTTACCTGTAAATAACTAGTCACATATCTGTAACATTATTTTGTAGCCTAGTACTTTTCCTCAATCACCTTCGTAGTTTATTTCATCATAAATATATTCGACGCTCAGACAAGCGTTGCTATAATTCTAACTTAAGTTTCAGGAATGTCTATGTGGCCTATATCCCTTGAAATACGTACTGCGGTAAGAATTCACGGAAAACGACATAAAGGCAATAAATAGGCCTACGTCAGACTCACGCACACCAAAAACGAATTAACATCACTCTTATTTGTGAATAGTAATGCAACATAACTCAAAGTGACTTAATCAATAACCTCTATTCTTCTTTTGGACGGTGTCTTCATTGTTATTTGTTATTTTTCTTACAGAAATGTACAGTATGTAAAACAATTTCATGGAGTTTTTTCCCACCCATTATTTTGAACAATACATAATTTATATGTAATTTTCTCAGTGACGCATTATCTTTTGTGGCTGAATATGTAGGATTATTATCACACATGTACATGTAGTTTTACACAAGAGTAATGCTCGATTTTGATTTCTATGTTTGTATTGTAATACAGTTGTTTCATAGCAAGAATAATAATGTTCATGATCATCCATAGTGTTTTGTATAGAAGGTGTATACAATTTGACATTTTATTTGCTGAATAAAAGGTTTCTGTGAACTAATTCTTTTAAAATTGATTATACACAAGTCGATAGAGGTGTAAATGTTTTCCAAAAATAAATGAGTGTCTTGGGGATTTACAGGACAATTACTTTCAGAATACACACAAGATCAAAGAGCGTCAGAATTGGTGGTCTAGCGCCACCTACGATTTAAGAAACTTTTAGCGAGTCCCCCACAGGATGCGTTTGGAGCAGGACAAGTGGAAATTGGAGTTCATGATGAAGAAGACAGAGAAATTCCCCAAAAGGAGAACGACCAAACGGAAGTCCGGGGGCAACGCCCCTGGCAGTGGTTACCTTTTTCGCAGAAAACTTAAGAATATATTAACGTAAAAGGACATGTTTTCCTTGCATTAATTTAAATGCTAAATTTGAGAAATATGTGTCACTCCATCTTGCCTAAATGGACTCTATAATAATCATTGTTATGAGAGGAAAATGCTGCTTATATAGCGAGGTCAATGCTAGATGTACAATACATGATAATCTCGAAATCGGCGGAGGAATTTTATCCCTGGGTCTTTTGTGAAGGGCATGCAGAGGGTGAGAAAGAAAGAAAGTGGAAGAGAGTGAGTGAGTGAGAGAGAGAGAGAGAGAGAGAGAGAGAGAGAGAATGAACTTTCAAGAAGAAAGAGTGATTAACACAACCTTTTAAAAATGCATTTATTGACGAACTAATGAACAACGTCAAGAAGTCTATGTTTGACATCACAGTAAATTTACGAGGATCTAAAATAAAAGACAAAGCTCATCTTTTTTTTAAAGGTGCCTTTTGGTAATTATCTGAAGGGGAACTTTTTAAAACTTGAGCCAGTGTAAGTCATCATCCGTGTTCTAGAAGAACAACTTCAGTTACAACAGTCAAACAACAAATTAAATGAAATTTAATTTCCCCAAACAAAACAATTCATTCATAAGTGATCTCATTTTGATGACCGTCCGTTTGTCCATCAATTCAAATTATTGTACAACCCAAGAAAGGGAAGAAAATAAATGAGGGGAAAGATAATCGGAGGAGGGGGTAGCTGGAAAATGTGAGAAATATTTACACAAATAGTTTATGAAGGTTCAGGTAACGAAACGTATGTAGATGGGGGTTAAGACTCCTGTTAAAGCAATAGTAAGAGAAGAGGAATAGATTGATATATGATAGCAAACTTCGATTCATTCTACTCAAGATCACAGCGCTCTCTGGAAGTAATTATTGTAATAAATCTTATTCAATTTCATATAGACTGCCCCCTGCGCACGCAGAGGCGGTCCTCCGGAAGGGGGGGGGGGGGAACACAGTTCCCCCTCTACTTTTTCAAGCACCCCTTCCAACTCTGATAATTGCCCCTTTCATTAAGACACATATCCTTTTTACAAGTTCCAATTTTCCTTTGCAATAAGTGTCCATTTTAATCTCTAGTAAATGCCCTATTCAAATCTGAGAACTACCCAATTTTTCAACTCGGATAAGCACACCTCATATTTTCAAATGTACCCCTTTTCCGAAAGATAAATGCTCTTATTAAAGAAAAAAACTCCCTCGTCAGGTATGAGAAGTTACTCATTTCAACAATGATACATGCCCCTTTTCCTTTTTAATAAGGGACATATCCCCCTTTAATAAATGCCCCTATCAATATGACAGGTGCCCGTTTCCCATAGTCCTTTTTGCATCCTAGCTAGTGCCTATTTTAAAAGGTGTAAGAAGTACCCCTTTGTACATACTCCTTTTTTTAATAAGCGTCCCATTTCCCCAAAGCTCACTCACATTTAAATGTTATTTATCAAAGGTCTTTTTAGTCTTCTGTTGTGAGAATGTGCTTATACCCCATTCACATTCAGGTTTCCCTTTGTAGGTGACCTTTGTTGTTGGTGTCCCCCCCCCCCCTACTTTGGAAGTTTCTCCGCCACCCCTGCCCCTCCGAGTACAACACACAAAAACATGTGTAGTGTATGCCTCTTTCATCAATACCTCATTTACTCAACAAATGGCTAAATCCTTGATCGTGTTTGCTTTGTCAGTGTAGTTCATTACAATCTTGCAGTGATTTCCAGCCAAGTTTTCGCCTATACAAAAGTTATTTGGAGCCAGGATGGCTCTTAACAGAAGATATGTTGGCTTCATAAATGAAGTACAGTACATATTTCATGTAAAAGGTTGCCAAACATTTCTGTCAGTATGGTACATTAACAAACATATGGCACGGCCAGAATTCAACCTGCTGGAAATCCTTGCAGCCCCCCCCCCCCCCCCCCCCCTCTCTACTGAGCAACTCTAGAATCTCTCGCACCTCAACAACGAACACCAGATGGGAAGGCCAAAATCAATACATGTATGGCCACACTAGCTGTTTAAATAAGAGCATGTGATCACATATTTGCATTATTCCATATTACTCTTAAAACAAAAAATTTAAGTGCTCTTCATAGGAAATAGCGGTTATTATTTTTCTTTTCAAATCAATCTTGTACCCTTTGCCTGGAATAGAATATCAACTTTGAAAATGTCCAAGACTGTAGATTTGCTTTGATTTATATTGGCCTTCCCAGATCCCAATGCCATTGCACTCACACACATGTCTATTCCTCAGCAAAAAGGTAGATATTAAGCATAGTTTGTAGCATTGGAAGTGAGGTTTCAGCAGTCCACATTAACAAAATATGCTCAAGTCTTCCTGCCCCTTTCCCATTTTTTACGCCCAAAATTGTGCACAGCCAATTTTTTAAATTATTATTTGTCCAATGCAGCATAGAGTCTACCTGGAACCACAACCATGAATGTCAAATGTGACACATTTCCACATTATTTGAATGTTTAAATGTACTGATGTACAATTCGTCCCTATTTTCACGAAGTGACGGTAGTGAGGAAAATCGTAACGCAAAGTGAATGCAATTTGTATTCACTACCGTCACTTCGTGAAAACAGCGACGAATTGTACATTGTTTTTGCTGCTTCTCTCCCAATGCCATAAACTATACTTTTCCTCGTGCACTCATGATGAATTGAAATAGGTTTTTGCCCTGATTCAAGATGTTTTCAGGAACTTCTAAATTCTGTGAAAGATGAAAAAGATTACATTGTTATTAAATCAACAAACAACTCATTGTGAAAATATTTCATGTACAGTATAGAACAATTTTATTTACACATTTCACCACAAAAATGATACTTTCAGGCATTCTTTAAGCAAACTAAAAAATTCACATATAACAAAAAGGTAACGCACAGCCTAGGTAAGGTACTACGGGGTTAAAGAGAATATATCCGGTTTGGATTTTTTTCCTCAAATAAATTATGCGTGAGCTCAGGAAATGTTGGTATTTTCATGAAATCAGAGGTCAAAGTACTGATTTTTTTTTTGGCCTGGTAACCAATATTTCACTTCAAAACATCCAAGGATAAGGGCATTTCCAACAAATTCACAGTTGAGTGTCAAAAGATTAAAAATAATGTCAAATCTTTGCAAAAATTCTGTGACAATATGTTTGATCAGGGTATACCAGTACCTGTTTTCTTGTCACTTTGAAAGAATTTAGAATACAAGACTCTTTCAGTTACCTGGACCAACGCTGTGCATTCCCTTCAGCAACAATTTGTAACAAATGTGTAATTTTCATGTACATATTACTAGCTTAGCCAAAAAATGAATAACAAAAGTTACAAAATCAATCTACAGCTACTGAGGGTAGAATATATTGTAGTATTCTTTAGCAAAGTAATCCTGAAAATGTACAGAAAATAAAACAAGTTGGAGGTAATTAAAGATGGAATCAAGGACAAATCAGTATTAATTGTACAATGATAATCTCTTTTTTTTTTTATCCCTAAATAAACTGACATGTTTCAAATCAGAGTAGAGGCAAACACACTCAACATGAACTAGTGTAACATGCATTACTTTCTTTTTCGTTACTTTCTTCTTTTACTCACCTCTATACTTACGGTCTTTTCTAGCATGTGTACTTGACCTCAGGAGGGTGCAACAAGGTGCAAGCACTCATTATTTCTTTTTTTTTTTTTTTTTTTTTTTACCAAAATCTATTTTGTTTGTTGTTAAATCAAGAGAACCCAGGTTCCCGGCAACAGCAGGAAGGAGGAAAAAATGCAGAAGGAAATTGTGTGAATACATTGCAACTCTTAGAAATATTAAACAATTGAAGCTTTTCAAAACATCAACACATGCCATCTTTTTAATCCTTTATGCCAAAACATTTTCAACCTTTTTTTTTTGTCATCAATTTCAAAAGAATTGTTTTATTATAAATGTACAATGTTACATTTTTTTTCTTCAAAGACTAAATTTTGAGTCTGTGAATAACACCATAAATTGCTATAAACAACACTTTTCTTTCCTTTGTTTTAAAAATTAATAAATGAAGGCAATCAAATTTAGTGTTGATATCTACAAGCATCAATTGTTACAAAACATATATTACAAATATTACCATAACACTTCTTGCTCAAGTTTCCCTTTTAGAAAGACTTTTTACCTTATGAACAAGACTCTTGAAATTCCAATTAGATTTAGAAATACACCTGTACATGAACTGTTATGCAAATTGTTATAAATCAAATTTGTATACAGGTGCACCCATCCAAACAACTTGCTCAACCTTGAGGATTAAAAAAATAATCTCCATGAAAAAGAAAAAAAACTACAAATAGTACTATTTTGAATTTCTATAATAACAATAACTTTCAACATCATTATCCATTTATTTGAACTACATCTCACAGCTTGAAGTTATTTGCCATATATGGCAACACAAGATATATTGACTTAGGGTATTCTTCTCCTAAAAACACTAACACAAACACCAGGGGGAAATCGGTAGTAAATACCTTACCAGAAAGTCTGTATATTGAAGGAGCAGATGATCCAGGATTACTGCATCTAGAAAGGACAAAGCAGTCAAGGTTTTCTGAGAGTACCTTATCTTCTAGAATAGGCAAAAAACAAATGAAAATCTAAAATGAGGCAGATGCATCAAAGACAACAGTCTTTCTTTCTTATTATTCTTCTTTGATATTTTTCATTTTGTTCTAAAGCATAAAGGTAAAACAAAAAACATGTGTATGTGAAGTTTGATTCTTCACTTTTCAATATGAAAATGCAACTGATATCAATTTTTTTTTGTAAATTTACTCTTTGAATGCCTATCTGAGACTTCTGCAAATACCATTAGATGATTTTCACTTGCTTTGAGATGAACATTAGAAAATGAAAGAAATTGAAACTTTGAAATTTGTTCCAATTGAATCATGAATGAGTGTTAAGACTTGTGGTATCACATGTGGATCCCAGTCAAATCACTTTCTGTGTGTACTAAGCAACCAATTAAATCGGTGGCTAGGTAAAAAAAGTTGACACATGTATCATTTGCTCTTGTAAAGAGCGATACAATACAACTTGGTGTTTTCATTTCACATTGCACACACACTAGGTTTAATCCGATAGGTTTAATCCTAGAGATGCACATGAAAATGAGAAGTTGACATATGTATCATTTGCTCTTGTAAAGAGCGATACAATACAACTTGGTGTTTTCATTTCACATTGCACATACACTAGGTTTAATCCGATAGGTTTAATCCTAGAGATGCACATGAAAATGAGAAGTGTCGAACATGTATTATTTGCTCCTGAAATAAAGAGCAATACAATTCAACAGAATGCAGTCACTATTTGTGCAAGGTCTTGTGACATGCGTAAATAATGAATTACAAGACTTAACCGACCATTTAGTTCATTACACATGAACTTAGCGAGTCTCTGTGGCATGTCTTGGAATAGCTGACCAAGGGAGACCTATTGTTGGCATTAGCTCAGGTCTTCCGTAGGCTGGTCAACAGTGTATGTGTGCTTGCAATGGTGGGTTCCACGAGCACAGGATCTGCAGAGGATAAAAGCAGAAAGAACAACTGAAAGCAAGATTAGTGAGTGTTCTACAACAATATTTGATACAAGATTATTCAAGCTAGGGAAGCCATATGCAAAATATAATAAATTACAAGTTGCAACTGACTTCTCTTTACAAAATTTAAAGTGGAAAATTAACAAATGTATAACATACGACACTCTGATACAAATCAACATGATTAATCAGATTTTAACTTATTGAATTAAATGAAGTTCTGTCTTTTTCGGTCTTTCAGAGTCAATGTTTTCAGGTCACAGTTTTGAGTCAGGAATCATTTTTAACAAACAGAAAAATAGTTTATATAAATATAATCTAAGAGACAACCGACCATATTCTAGTTTGTTCAACCAAATGACACTTTGCTCCTTTCCGCATAACACGATTCTCTGCAAGTGCAACGTCGCATCTCCCAAGCTCATCTGACTGCTCACTGCTTCCATGGCAAAAGTGACGCTAACTGTTTATTTTCTCCTCTGATAAAATGCTAGATTTTTGGCATTGCTCATGATCTGCTTCCAGCCAATTTTGCTTTAGCACTGCACTTTGAGCAAAACTCAAGTGACACATTATCGCCTGAAACGTGAAGACAAACTCCTCCTAATCCTACTTCTGAAGCATAGTTGGGTAGATTTTCATCAATTGATTCACCTTCAACACTTGCTACGCTTTCAGACTTGGCGAATTTACGAGAGCGAAGCCCTTCATTCTGCTCAATGCAATAATCATGATCAAACTGTTGTTTTCTTTTCTGGCTTACAAGAGGAATGTCACTTACCGCTCTGCTTGGCTGTAACGGCATGGAGGTGTGAAACTCGAGTCCTGTTGCTTTGATATTTTTGAGAAGACCAGACAGTGTGCTTTGGTTTGCAAGAACACTTTTCACGTACTGCAACTCTCTGGCGAGCACATTGACTTTCTTACGCAGGCGGACATTCTGCTTTTTGAGGGCATCGTTTTCGGTATCTAGGAGTCCAACCTTCTCCTCCAGATCTCCCATGAGCTGCTTCTTCCTCTCGCGGTTTAACTTCGCCATAACTGCATTTCTGTTTGGCCCTCGGACGCTTTTGCGAGCTCCTGACTCATCAATGACTGTGTAGCTTGTTGAAGGTGTTGCAATCTGGCCGGGCACATTCCGAGTCTTGGTGTATTTTCGCGTAGTCAACGATGGCAATGGCGATTTGACTTGACTGTGGACAGTTGAATCCTGGTCATGTGAACTATCTGAGAATCTTCCAGAGTCATTCGAAGACTGTCGTCTCTGCCTCTGCTGGGTCTGACGTTTCGACTTTCGACTGGTTTGAGCACCGAGGTACCTCAGCAACTGATCTGCATCTTCAGCCTCTTCCTCTTCAGAAACATCACATTCGTAAACAGAGCCATTCTCTGAATTACTTTCTAATTCTAGTGAATGAGTAGAAACTTGGTCGCTCAACATAACTGATTGATTCTCTACGATTGCAACGTCGTCAGGCTGCATGAACAAAGCAGCACGATCAGCTAACGATTCGATGTCAACCATTTCTTCTGGTTCCACGCCTGTCAATAGACCAGTTCACGGTTAGCACATTACTGCAATGACCCCGAATATCCACAGATCTTCAAAACATGAAGAGGTCCCACTTTGTACATTGTGAAATAACCACTCCTACAGCGATGGAGGTGCTACATATATAGCCTTTGTTTCCCCTTTTCAAAGAATATTTCCACCTGTGTATCATGGAGTGCACTGAATGTGCATGAATAAATAATGATTACATGACCACGTATCCAGTATTTCGTCTCCGTGTATTTCAAAATTTGTTCTGCAATGACCTTTATCTGCTCATGCTCAGACTGCAACCGTGAACTGGCTTATTCAGGAAATAGCTCCTGAAATTCGCTCCCGTCGTACGGCGGAGATAAAGCACTCTCGACCATCTGGAAAGTAGAATTAGGAAAATACATTTTTAAACTATTCACAGGATTGACAAGGAATAAAATTCAATGAAGCAAACAAGTAATGTTTCGATAAATCGTGCAGATATACTCAAAATTACTACCTTGATAATTCAAGAAGATGTGTGATTGCGAAGCAGCGTATGGATAATGTACATAGGCAGGCGTTAGCCTATACTGTGCATGCATATAAGGCATTGCATTGTGATGTCACAAATCGTTCGTGAAACGTTGTTAATCACGTGCCCGACCGGATGCGTTATTTTTTTATGCGGCACAGATTGGGGGCATGGCGCGTGTTAAACCTATGGGAAGCACGTTCTTTCCCTTCTGAATAGTGTCTGCACGTACGTGAGACTAGTCATGTTAGCTAGCGCATTAGCGCTGCGAAGAAGTTTGTATATCCATCACGAACTATGTGTTTAGATAACATTCCTGTTCGTTTAAGTTAGTTCAGTTTTATTGACTAATTATTGTGATGTTCTCCTTATTGACGTTCTGCCTCCTCTTCAGATTTCCAATTTGATTTTAATTGTTGATGTAATGATTTTCCATACGGTAGTGGATTAAATGTAAAAACAGACCTCTACTACTTATACTGTCTCGTACGCACACGACCAGTATTAGTCTGTAAATCAAGACCCCTTTTAAAAAAAAGCCCTAATCTGTGCCGCATAAAAAAATAACGCCGACCGGATGCGCGTTTCCGTTTTACACCCTGCCCTAGGCTTTTCTCCAATAAAATTTTACAAACCGACTGGTATTCGGAGTCTAGTCGTCCACATCTTGCCTCGGCGCTCTGCACACCACCAGAACTCTGAAAACGTCACGTAGCGCTAGCTAACTCTCTATACTAACTAGTTGATCTTCCTAGTCGTATCATTTATTTTTATCCATTAATACGCAATACTCTAAGAGCGTGAGGATGCTTGATCAGCTCGCAAAATTTAGCCCAGCGATAACAAAACAATAATATATCGGGAAAACCGTCTTGAACAAGAAGACCCTCGCATCCCCAATTGAAATTGTACATAAGCTTTGGCTTCGCTATTCTTGACGTCGATATAAACAAACTTAGACTTCGGATACAGCATGTTTCGTGTAATTTCTTGCCGAAAAGCCTAGGGCAGGGTGTAAAACGGAAACGCGCCGACCGGATAGTGCGTTTAGTCTCAGTTTATGCATGTATTCTTTTCTAGATCAATTCCGAATGATTTAATATCTCTAAAATCAATCAACTTATATTGTATTTTTATGTATTTTTGTGAAATAATTATCTACTCACATAATTACAACCATAAGAATACTTTAAATGAATCAATATTTCCTAATAGTTAGATGAGCCGATGGTAATGAAGTCTCCTTCTAAAAATTATGTTGATCAACGCTTTCACAAAAACTAACATTCCACGGACGTCGAGGAAACGATTTTCCCCAAGACAAAAAGTGGGTGTAGTGACGTCACAATCACAAAGCGGGAGATCGAGAGGGTTCATCAAACTTTTCCTCAATAATATTGCATACAAAAAAAGTCTAATAAAAAAGAGGAGGCTAGATTTCGGTATACATGAGTATTAAAAAGGATAGGATGAATGAGATTTGAAACGAACAGAAAATTGGTGCGCTCTTAGTGGCATAAATGCATAAAAACTTATATACTAAAGGTATGTTTTTAATTAAATACATCTAGGGATTTCACTTTTGGTTATACTATGATTCTTCAGATTTTAAAATGTATAAAAGTCATACAACATACAGCTGCACTACAACTGCAATGGGGTGTGATTTTGTACCCCCCCCCCCTGATCCAATTTCCCCATACTTATTAAAATTTGCTGATTTTTTTAAAGGGGGCTCAACTTTTTTAAATTTGCTGAAGTGGCTGCAGGAAAAATGAATTTGAAATAGAGGGAAAAAATTACTGCAAATATTATGGGCAATTTATTTTACATTTTCCCCAATAGATATGCATGTAGCTGTGAAAATAATAGAAAATATTAATATGAATATAATGAATTGTAACCATGTCATGCACTTTGACCAATCACCAAGAGGATCCATACTGACCAGTATTGACTTCAAACTATTAATGTACCTTATTCCTTTTAGCTCAGCTCCATCATAAGGATAACAATTAGAATCAAAGACAAATGCACAAAAAGAAGCAAATTTTATATATAAAAAAAATGTTTATTAGATTAGCAAACTAGAAAAATAGGCAAGATTGATTTTAAAAATGTATTTAAAATAAAATATATAAAAAAATGATTTAGAATAATACACGTAAAACAAACTGTTTTCATGTGCAGTAAGTCATCATTCATATAGTTCAATGCACTACTTTACCACAATACTCACTCATAATTACATATCATTCATTTTTATTTTGTTTAATCATGAAAATATAGGGACATATCATTAAAAAATATTAAAAACACTTCCAATAATTCTTTACTACTGAACTGAAATTACTGAATTGACAAAGGACGATTCCCCTTTTATTATTAGCGATTAAAACTGTTTTTTATTATTATTATGTTTCTTATTCTTTATCTTAGTTTTCCCAAACATCTGAATATTTTTCTTTAATTTTTTGTTCTGCTCAGGTTTATTTTCACTTTAAAGGAAAATATCCACCCCAAGAGATGCTCAAGGCGCCTAACAAGGTAAATATATTAAACTTAAGAAAGTAAATGAGAAGTTACAGAGAACGAAAATAATTTAACATAATTAAATATAATTAAACAACGTTAATTGCATCAGATTGTGAAATACACTACGTCTTAACTAAGGAATTCAGACATTAGATAGGTTTTCAAGTTTTTTTGAACACCTTATACATGTAAATAACTAACATATGTATCCAGTTCAGTTCTGTAACACATTACTCTAACCATGTGGTTGTTATTGTTGTTTCTGATCACTATTGATAACATTTATTTTTCAATACAAATACGTAAATAGCCTAAAACTTTGATAAAACCTTGTAAATATGTCTGAAAGAAGGAAAGTGTGGACCAATGTCTTACCAAGGGGTACTACATCAGCTTGGTTATTATCAAAGATCTTTAAACTCCAGGAACAGAATTCTGTTTCTCTCTTTCTCTCTCTCCATCTCCTTATTCTGTACACATGTCTAAGATCAAGAATGAGATCAAATTTGTTAAAATCATACTAAAAATGCAAGTATTGCTTCATGTAAAATGCTTTTATAAATAAAACTTCTCTCAATTGAGGCAGAAGAACTCTACAAGCGTTAAGAGATGTTTATCTAATGCTATGTGCCTTTCTGAACATAACTTCGGGTCTTCACATTTTCATTCAATGCTACTATACATCATAATAACTCAACATTAAAAAAAAGGAAATAATTCAAGCCAATCTAAAGACTCATTCAGAGTCACATACCCTTACATAAATACAATATACATGCAAAAGCAATTCAAATGATGATTTGTCGAAAGTTAAATCTGCTGTCATCTTCTAGGGACATTATTATCTCCTCCTGCTTGAAATGATTCCAACTGATGTTTTTCAAAGTCCCACATTTTGTGAACAGAGGCATGGATTTCCTGCAGTTTCTCCAGTCTTGGCATAGAATGCTGTAAAGTGAATGAAAAACACACAGAAAAACATCTCATCAGCAAAACATAAAATCATCCATTTTTTATAAAGGTACACCCAATAATTCTTGTTGTCACCAATATATTACAAATACCAGTATGTTACATTCAGGCACCATTTCAAATCCATTCTGGGATAGTTTGGTGACCAAGGTGCTGGGTACTAAAATTGTATTGGGCACTGGACTTGTCTACTACTTACCATGAATACAGGCACTAATGAATTGGTCCACTCTCCATCAGTTTTGTGCTTCAAAAGGACGGCTAAATAGTACACTATCTTGTGCTAGGAAAAATGGGAGATGATAGAGAGAGAGAGAGAGACATTACCGTGACACATTCTGGATAAAATTACAGGGTTTTTCACATTCAGATAAAGTTAACACTATAACCATTTTACATGCACATAATTATGCAGTCATCCATTTCCAACACATATGATAAAACGATCTCGAGCCATATTCACGTGCATTGAAGGGGAGGGTAATTTTCTATACTCTCGTAAAGTGGTGCAATTTTCGGGGTGACGGTACTATAAGATCTGGGCCCTGTTTTATAAACAATTGCAATTGTGCTATGGGGCCCTGATATCTTGTGTTTTCATACCTTACCTTGTGTGCCACTTGCTTGCAACAATTGAGGAAAATGGATATGCAGTCAAGAGATGTCAGCCCCCCCCCCCTTGACAAAATTGAGCCCAATATCACCTACACTTTCAGGAATGTTCACATCTTTTTATATTTGCAAATTGGGGAAAATCCTTGGAAACCAATTTTCTGATTTTCTTGCCCAATTAAGGCCTAATTTTCTGATGAATCAAGGAAGATTCTCTAGTCAGGACTTCAAGAAGACTCAGGGATATTAAAAACAAACCTTTACTAACCATTGTTACAGCTTCATGGATAACAATGTCTTGGACAGCTCTGAAAGGAATGAATTTGACAACTCTTCGTCCTGTGACATACTCCGAAGATATCTGCACTCCAAGGGATGAAATGAGCAAGAGTGTTTCTAGAAGTCAGAGGAAAAAATAGGGAAAATTAAAGACTTTAATATGTGGGGATTATGGAGATGAAAACAAATGGGTATTAATAAAAGCGTACTATGCTTTGTTTTCATATATTTTGGAGAGAATCGATTAAAAAAAAACAGAATGAGAAAAGCCAACTCATTGAAATTGATGGTCAAGGCAAAAGTTGGGTAAAACTTGTCTGACAACACTGAATCTTAAAAATTAATAATGAGCATAGAATAAGAATATAAAATCCTCAAAACTAGTTCTGCGATTCAAGTTTGAGCATTGATATCTCTCGAGTTTATATGTTATCATACATGTGCTTGAATATGGTATTATTAAAAAGTATGCTTATTTCCCTTTACAATGACGACCCATTTGTAATGATTATGTATCAAATTCAAAATTGTTCTGTAATTCACTTCAAGTTTGGGCATTGTCTCTCAAAAGTGAAATGTTGCAAAATGCATTGTTATTGTTAAAAGTGAATTCTTCAATTGTTTGGATGATGGATTGTGTTTAATGACAATAACAGTGCATTTTGCAACATGTCACTTTTGAGAGACATGCATCAATGCCCAAACTTGAATTTAATTACAGAACTATTTTGAATTTGTAATCGCATTTATCATAAAATTTACATTTAGTCATTAGCTACACTTCCGTTACCTTTTGATACTGATGAACGAGTGTAGATAAACAGTAGGACAATCATTATGATGGCAAGAAGAACTGGATTCCATGACTGTAGATAAAGTTTGAAGACAAGCAATTATTGACAATAATACAACAAGGAAACCAACAATTATATAATTGATTAATATATTGGACTTGTCATAGTATATTTTACTTAATTACCGTAATCTGTCAAGAGAATCATCAATTTTGCAAATACATGTAGCTCCCCTTTTATGTAATAAAGTAATAAATTTTAAAGGAAACTGGATACCCGGCCTACATGTTGACTTACCATAATCAGCAATAGCATTTATTATAGATCGATAATGATACAATACGGGTCAATAATACATGTAGAAATCAAGATAGATAACCTTATTTAGAGTATGTACGACAAGTGCTAAATAGGAGTGGTGAGAGCTAGGGATGGGGATCAATTAAGTTGTTTGTCTGGAAACTTACATAGAGCCGTCTCTTAAATTTGCTGCTGGATTTCAGGAAAATGATATGCATCAAATAGCATTAACTATTGTGCTTATAAAAAATTGCATGTAAAATTGTTCTATTCACCATTTAAAAACGGGTTGTCCAGACAAATAACCTATCCGTACAACTGTGAGTATACATCTTCCACAAGTTCCAGTCCAAAAGTTTTCTACAACTTTACAATTAAGTATTGAAAATTTATGAATACATGGAGTTAAGGAGTTTCAACTGAGTTAAGGTGACACATTTACATGACAACGTTTTCCTCTGGTAGCTTTTTTTGCATTTATTGAATATTGCATTCCAAGTCCAACCACTAACATTTTATCTCACTTTCAAAATGTTAAAATTCTATCAGCTTTACATTGTCAATGATTTGATTTGGACCCTAATCAAAGGTTTATTTACATTAAATGGTTACGTTATACTGACCTATATAAATGTACTCACCCATATTATGTGTCCTGCAACTGAAATTAAGAGGAGAAGACAAAAAAGTAGAACGTTTTGTTGCAACTGCTTAGCTGTCACAGAGATCTCGCAGATAAGCTTGTGACGCTTGTCATCATTCATGCCTTGTTTCAAGTTCAAAGGCCAGCCGTTTGTATCCATCAAGTCCATTGACATTGTGTTATAAGTCCATCACTAGAAAATCAGATCAAATAGTCGAAATAATAAGTATTCATGACTCAGTTGCTATTGCAGATCATTTGCACAAGTCCAAAAGCTAGCTGTGTTGGTGCTTGTAACACAAAGGTAAATGTATGGGACCACACGAACTGCTTCCGGTGTGCTGCCCTCTTCAGTTGTTTATACCGCAGCTGGGCAACGGGAAACTCCGCTGAACGAAGAGTAAATGTGGGACTAAATCGGGAGAAATCTGGCCAAAATGTCTGCCAACACGGAAATGCCAGGGGTGAAAGCTGCTCTGCATCGTCTTCAAGAGTTAGGTAATAATCTGATTTGGATGACATACGAATATTATACCTAAATCTTGAAATATAGGTTGTTATTATTTGTTTAGATCTCCCTTGCGTGTTCAGGATCGAGTGACACCGGGGATTCATGTTCAAGGACCCCGGAACTCCGGGGTAGCATACATGTATAAGGTGCGGTTCGAGCTCCTCGCTGTTGTTGATGTTGATTGGTATATGGCGGTGTGACCACACACATAGCTGCATGATTACTATCCTGGCTGTGTATAAAAACTGTTTTATTGATTCTCAACATTTCAAACACCCAGAGACGCCAAGTTCAAAGATCCGCAATGCGTGACATTTTCATTATTCGGCATGCGCGCGTGTGAGGGTATACTCTAGATCTAGATTCTAAGACACGTATCCCGGCCCCCCCACTTACTTAGTCAGAGGTCGGAATGACCGCATGCGTGTTGCCAAAATGTCCGGTAAAGGGGTACTTTTCGTGCAACAAAGTCCGGCCCGAGAATTGTAAAAAAAAAAAAAGGGGTGTAGAATAGATCTATTTGACTTTTCACCCGGAGATTTCTTTAAAAAGGGGTGTTTTTCTTTTTTTCTCTCATCTCTTTGGACTCCTGAGAAATTATTTTGAATTTAGGGGGGTACATCGAGCATTTTTCCTGATTTAGGGGGGTCTCCAAGGCAGGAAAAGCCCGCGAAAAGCCCGCGAAAGGGGTGTTCGGAAATGTTAGCAGTCCTCAGATAGGGGGTGCTTTCAAAAAGAGGGTACGCATATCTAAATAACACTGAGTGGGGGGGGGGGGGCCGGGACACGTATACTATAAGGTATAGCGGTTTTTTAAAAATCTAACGCGCATGCGCGTCGTGCGTTAGAGCGTTTTCAGACCCTCGAAATGCCTGATGTCACGCCTGTCATGACACTTGGTAGCTCGATCTGAACACCTGATTTCACTCAAATCGGTACGTTAGTGACAATTGATGACACCTAAATCTAAATAGCACTGCAGTAACTAAAATAACAATTTTTTTAACTTACCGATTGCGATGTTAGAAAGAATAAAATAAAAAATCAAATTGTGAGTCTACTGTCAAACTTGCCAATCAGCCGCATCAGCATGTTTGTGTGCATTTATGTGTTGTAAGTGTATTGACTATTCATGTATCCAAATGCTGCCTATTAACAGGTAGTGCAGTGCTAGGGGTTAATATATTAGCATTGAGCTCTCTATGCTTTGCTAGAGTGGTTATACACATCGATCATTCTACGCCTGTGAACAAGAGTTGGTAATTGGAGTTTGGTCAAGCGCTCCAAATTTCTAAGGCCAGGAATAATCTTTGTTGCACATCTTTGTACGCTTTCCAACATCCTCCCCCCCCCCCACTCTGTGAACGGAAAAAGAAAAGACAAAAGAAAAAGGTCTACCCGTATTGACTTTAAACACAGGACTTTTGCTGAAAGGGGGGGGGTGCTGAAAAAGGTTGACCCGTATTGACTTTAAACACTGGACTTTTGCTGAAATTGGGGGGGGGGGGGGGAGAGGGAGTCGCTGGGAACAAGCATATATGCGTACAGGAATAACACTAAGTGGGGGGGGGGGGGGGGAGGCGGGCATCCTGTGTGCGGCCTGTCCGTATTCTAAAATGGGCTCCACGAGGCCTTTAAAAAAAATGGCATAGTGTCAGTATTGTGTGCATTGTGTGCAATTGCTGACTCTCAGCATGTAGTACAGCGCTAGAGGTCAATATGCATTGACTCTATGCTTTGCTGGAGTGGGTGTGACCATAGTTTGCGCATGACCCAAGTTCGCTATCTCAAAAAATTGATATATTTTGAAAATCTGATATCACCAATGAAAAGAGGATCTTGACAAGAGGAAAATAACCGAAAGACAGAATTTTTACTGGATGTGAAATTATGAAAATATTGACAAAGATCAGCAATTTTTTTAGTCATATGTGTCCGTTCCGAAAAATTACTAACTTACCGATAAGGGTCTTGAAATCTTCATTTTGAGAGCAGTAATCCTCCAAAATTGTAAGTAAAAAGTTATCTTCTTATATTACATGTACATGTGAAGTCTTCAGCAATCTCTTTGGCATAGGGTTGTGATAAACTTGTTTTATCAGATTTTTTTCTTTTAACGGAAATGTCTTTTCACTTTGGTTATTCTCTCAAAGTTGTTTACAGTAACACCAGTGATGACGTGGCGTATCTCGGTATTATGGCACCATGAGGGGTGTTTCACAAAGTTTCTCAGTTGAACCTAACTCTAAAGTTGGACTTAAAAATTATGGAGAGCCATTTGTAGCCTTGAAACGATATATATTTCAAATAAAAAATTCAAGTATTTTAGACTTTTCATAAATTCTACATCAAGAACATTAAATCTCCTTGAAAATAGAAAATATCAATGATTTGAACCAACATTTTATGCCTTTCAGAATAACTTTCACAAAAATATTTTCAAAGATGCTAACCATAATTGTTACATCCAACTTAGAGATAAGTTCAACTTACGATCTTTGTGGAACACTGCCCAGGTTCAACAATGAAATTGCAGTATATTTTTTGTGGCCCTTGTCAGGGGCATGCATGTGCCCCCTCTGCCATCTTCATATATACACACATGTAATTATGCAACTGCATAAGACACTCATAATGGGCCTTATAAACTTCCAAAGTTTATATAGTCATGACCCCTAACCCCCTTTTTATTGCATTTATTCAATGGTTCCTAAATTATTTCAATATATCATATCATGTTCCACTTTCTATTTCTTACTGTGATAGCTGAACGGATGAAGAGTGATGAGTTTGGATTCAGGGATAATGACATTGCTATGATTGATGGAGTAGCAGGAGCAGTCAAAGAATTGGTAAGAAAGTTAGATCAATATCAAAGTAAAACCTATTTGTCATTTTTTTGGAGACTCAATGTTCAGTGATATGATTGTTTTGAGATCTTTCCTTTTGATAATTTTTGTATATATCATTAGCAGTCAGTTTTTGTTAATGAATTTAGCAGTGGAATTCCTTCTTTTGTATTTCTTCTTTTACATTCCTTTCACATTTCTTTCAAATGAAAGGATACTGTAAACAAAGCATCATTGTGGTTGGTAACTTGTACAAATGTAACTCTTAAAGTGACGTTAATTTATAATTACAACAGTTTAGTTAATGTTATTACTTACATTTGTATTATTATTGTCATTATTATTAGTAGTAGCAGTTGTAGTAGTCATTTTAATTGTTGTTGTTGCTGTTATTGCTAGTACACTGTATTACAAATTTCTGCAAACATTAATTGCAGGCATCCATTAATATAAAGTACAGGCCTGATAAAATCCTGATTTAAATCTTTTTTTTTTTTTTTTTTTTTTTTTTTTTTACCTGATTTTTTTTCTTCTTCTCTCTTTTATCCTGATTTTACAGATTTCCCCGTTATTTTCTCTAATCTTCCCTATTTTGCCCTATTTTGCCCTATTTTTTTTCCAATTTACTTACTCGACAGGGGGGAATGTTGGTAGATGCCATTTTTCCCCCGCGAATCCTCTTCTCTTTTTTTTTTGGTTGACGGGAAAACAAAAAACATATTTTTTTTAGTGCTCACTATCACCCCAGAAAGTATGATGCCTTTAAAAAAGATCTGTCTTGTAATTCTTGGATAAGGAACTAGTTTAAATTATGACTACCTGTATAACCTTCTTTTTTTAAATTCACACACAACATCTAGTTCAGAGAAATAATAGAGGAATGTGAAAAGAAACAAAACAGGAAAAAGGGGACAAAAATGCTCTTTATTTCACAGCAAGTAAAAAGAGCTTAATTAGTTTGGGGGAAAATCAGACTAGTATAATGTTACAAGTAATGCCAATTTTGGGGGCATAGATCTTTTTTTTTTTTTATAGTAAGCCTATTTTTCTAACTGATAAGAGAGCCATCAAATTGATCTTTGTGTTTGTGTTTGATCTTAATTTATTTTTCGTTCTTTTTTTCTCATTATAATGATATGATTAGAATTTATCTACATGTATTTGTAGATGCAAATCATTTACATAAATGTAGACAAAAATTAAGTTAATTTGTTTAAATTTTGCTCTAATAAAGTGTATCTTTTAAGTCCTGCATGTTATAGAAACGTCACAATCAATTGAGCAAGGCAATTTCGATCCCATATTCGAATCTGACTAAGAGTATGAAGAAAAAAATTAGCAAAGATAGATATCAAAGTACCATTATAAATATATTGTTACTGCGATACCATTGGTAACTATAGAATGGATGAATACCGGAAGAATTTGATTGTAGGGGTAATCATAAAACGCAAGAGATGATGATGCAGATAAACCTATTTTAAAGCTTCTGTCAACTGTACTTCCTTTGTATGATATCTAATCTGAAAAGTCAAATACCGAAAGAAAATACATTACAATAGTAAAATAAAAGAAGTTTAAATCATTTATTTACCTTTTCCAAAAATCCTTGGTGTCACTAGTTGCAGATGTCTTCAAATGTGTACCAAAATGGATAGCAAATTGTAATAAGGTATTTATCCTACAGCACTAGTCTAATAAATATCATTATTAATATCACCCCCAAAGGAGATTTAAGAGGATCAATAAAGCAAATTTACATAATTCCCTTTGTGCCAGATCCGCTCCACCTAATTCCGTTATATTATTGCAATCAAGAGTACTGCAATGTCTCCCTTCTCTCTCTCTCTCTCTCTCTCTCTCTCTCTCTTTCTCTCTCTTTCTTTCTCTCTCTTTCTCTCTCTTTCTCTCTCTCTCTCTCTCTCTTTCTCTCTCACCTCTCTCCCTCACCTCCCCCTTTCTTTCTTTCTCTCTCTCTCTCTCTCTGTCACTCTCTTGCTCACCCCCATTTTAATTGACTTTGTAGCAATAAATCATAGCAATTATGCATGACAAAAGCACTGAAAAGACCTTGACACAAATTCATTTAATTTGGTTTTCAGTGCTTTCCAAATAGACTGGGGTCCCCACACTAAAAAATGCCATCAGAGGAGTAATTTCAAATGGTATACCAAATAAATTGTCTCTAGCTCTGTCATCATAATTAAGTTGCTAAGAGACAGCAAATTAAATAGTATAAAATGTTAAATGATCTATAGGTGTACATATGGTTTGCTTAGAATTGAATGCTGTCATACATGCATGCTGCAATTGTGTGATAGAACCAGCGTTGCATGGATAGGTGTTACATTTATATAAATTATGAGAATATAGTAACATGGAAGCTCAGAATTTTGATTACCGGTATTCTCAAGATTATGTTCTATGCTTAGAACATTTGGTGAGTCAATAATCCAGTTGTATTGATACAAAAAGTGTTTTCTCTTATTTGTACTGAAATGTTCATGTCAGTGTAACTCAGGTTTACAAGTGGAGGAACATTGTTATTTAGCTTTTCTCTCTTATTTAATTTTTTTTATTTAAATTTTATGTGTCAACATTGATTTTGCACTTAGTAATGTAAAAGTTAACTTAATGTAAAGATTTTTTATGATGATATTCATATTCTGTTGAAACTAGTTGTACATGGACATGTATAATTTCCACAGGTTTATCTTTAAAAAAAAAATTAAAAACCCATTATATTGGATAATTATGTTTACTTTCTATTTCACAACTGTAAACCATGTAAAATGTATTATAGTATTGAATGCTGAATTGTATATCTGATTTCTTGTCATAATTACTGTTCTGTTGGAAATGAAAAATGACACTGAAACTGAAACTGAAACTGAAACTGAAACTGAAATCAGATATACACCTGTAGAAGAAAATGTAATTGGCCTTATTAGATTCATTAGGAGATGATTCTGTATATTTTTCAATTTATGTGCAGAATTTAATAAACTAAAGAGGTCAAGCATGATAAATTGCCCTCGTACCATTAGTTTAAGATTTGGAACCATACATGTGGAGTATACTGAACATATACAGAAAAATTATAATTTCAGTGAGATATTTTCATAAATAATGAAACATCCTAAAACCCCATTGTGAAGTATATATGCAGTATGAATGACTGTAATAAATTATAAAAACAGATAGTATGACTATAAAACATAAGTGGGATATTTACATACATGTACATAATGGAACAATCTAATATAATATCTAATGAACAATTTCCTAAAGTGTACCATATATATTGAATATGATAAACAGAATATACCGGTATATTTATATTTGTATTGGAAACCATTCTAAATCATATGTAATAAATATATATTATCAGGATGCAGAGCGAGTGAAGCTTCACATGATGCTGGAGACGGAGACCATCAACTCTAGCATCTTGAGGCATCAGCTTCAGTTCTTCCCTGATCAGATCAAGAAAGAGATCATGGCTGCTGTGGAATCAGCTCGCCAGTCTAATGCAGAGGAGCTCAAAAGTTTGCAGGTGAATATTAGAAATTCACTTTTGTTATCCATAAAATAGGGGGATTTTTATTGGTACAAGCAACTTATATTTCCTTTTATCTATCTCCTATTTTATTTTCCATCTGCAGTTTTGACAAGTATGATTTGTGACAGTGATATAGTTGGGGTTGTTTATTTGTCCTTTTGGGGTCACAACTTTCATGTCAATTTTTCAATGAAGAATAAAAAATATTGTGGAGAGGAAAATTGAAGAATAAGAGAGAATGGGAAAAGGGGAGAAGGGTGAAAGGCAGAGAGGAAGATAAAAGTTATGAACATCAGCACATCAACCCACTGTGTACTGCAAGTATAATGGACGTATTATACTTGAAGATATGTGAGGCTACTTACAGGGTACGTAGGATATATGTCATAAAAAATGTGTCATTCTTTGAATAATCAGATGTCAATTATCCTGTTTCTTCTCACTCTCTCTCAGAATAAATTGCAATTGCTGAACGAGACTATCGAAGAACTGGAGGAATTGCACAAAAAATTGAGCAAGGAGAATGCAATACTCGCGTAAGTAGTTGTAACTGAGAGCAACGTGATATGTCTGTTATAAGCAAAGAGAATTTTTTATGTCCTTCATATCATATTTTGCCCTGGTTACCAATAGCACTGCTTGTAGTCTGTAAAGCGCTTAGAGACATTGTATTAAGCGCTATAAGCAGAATATTATTATTATTATTAGTCTGCAGGTAAAATTTGAAATTTTGAACCATGCATGCTTTATAGTTTACATGTACATCTCATTGTTGACAGCCCATATTTATTTTGCATTTTAATTTGAATCAAATTATTTAGTTCAAATCAATTTGAATATTGAATATGCAGCCCCTGTATGGAATGGAGGCCTCACCAAAAACCAAATCACCAGGTTAGAAAGAGTCCAAAAGAGAGTTTTGAGAGTCATTATCGGTGCCCGTTACTCAACTTATGACACTGTCCTAGATGAATTGAAAATCGAATCTCTCTCTGATAGAAGAAAGAGTTTGTGCTTGTCGTTCTTCAAAAAGACCCTACTCTACACTGATCAATTCAAACAGTATTTCCCTCCGGAAAATAATACTAGAACACTAAGACGTAAACCCCAAATTCCTGAGCTTAGATGTAAAACTAAACGAATGCAAAATAGTCCAATTCCGTACCTCATCCGTGCACTTAACCAAAGTAAACGATGAACGTTCCTCCTTTTCTTGTACCCTTCAGGCTCAGCAATTTCATCACCCTTTTGTTTTGTTTTGCTTTGTTGTTCTTTGACACGCCTCTTTTTCCTCTTCTTTTTCCCCTTTTTTTTCTCCTTTTATTTCTTCTTTTCTTTATTTCTAAACTTATTTTCTTCTTTTCCTTTTTTCTTTCTTTCTTCTTTCCCTTCTCCTTCTTCTTCTTCATTCATTTTTTTGATTTGATTCCCTTGCCCCTGCCTGTGTTTACACTCTTACCAATTAAGTATTGTATTTGTTTCATGATTTTTAAAGTATTTTTTTTACCCCATTTTAGTCTAGTTTTACCATATTGAATTGAAATTAATTGAATTTAACTGAATCTGTCATGTGACAATAGTTTATCACCCCTCTTCACCACCATCTCTTGTCTACTTTAGGCATGGTTGTATATTCCCCTCCTTCCATTTCTTCTCCTTTTTCTTCTTCTTCATCATCATCGTCTTCTTCTTCTTTTCCTTTCTTTTCCGTATCCTCTTATATGAATTTTCCATTGTCGCTTTCTACTCCTACTTCCTATATCTTCCCCCTCTCAGCCTTTTAACACTCTCCCTCTGTAAATCTCCCCCACTCTTAGTTACAGTGTATTTGCAAACGTTACTCCTTACCTTTCAGTTGTACTCTCGTTTTTTCCACCACCTGCACTTGTTCCGTTTACCGCTTATTGCTTACTTTATTCCTTCTTTCACATGATTTCAGTGCTATTTAATGCTATTTAATTCAGATTTCTTTCTAAATTATGTTCCCATATGTTGCAATAAGCTATATTTCTCGTATTTATACTGATTTATTTTACAAATTCAATATATCATGTTATGCTATGTTATATATTACATTGTGTTATTAATTTTGTTTGTAAACTTTTGTAATTCGGCTAAACGCCGCGATGAAAGTTTTATTTGAAATAAACCATTTTGAATTGAATTGAATTGAATTTAACATGGTTTATTAATGGAAAAATTGTTCGCGGCCAGTGGGCTGAATTGCAGATGTTCTGTACAAAGGATAACATACGATGTAACATCAATGAGCAAAGAATTAATAATAAAAAGATGGTAATAAATCAGACAGAAAATGCATATATTTCATACATGTATATGAATAATCAAGTATTGATATTACAGTGAACGTATACACATTTTATTTTTGATGAAAGGACACAAGATATTGTTTGCGAGTCCGATGTTGTTGTTATAATTACCATTGGTCGGCTGCTAATACATATTTGCAGCTCATTTTTGCATGTTTTTAAATTTGCAATCCTACAACAGTTTTCAGAAATGAATCCCTTGTAATAAAATAGCAGTTTTTACATGAAATATTCTTTTTCTTTCTCTGTGGTTTCTTTGAACAGTCCTGAGAGAGACATGGTGCGAGCTCAACATGAGGAGGTTATTTCACAACTCAATCAACGACTTGCTGATAAGGCAGGGTAAGAGCTAACCAACAACAAATCAAGCTGCTCCTTGTATCTTATCAATAATTGCCTAAATTTGGTGATTTATTTCTATAGTTACCAGCATATATGAGAATAACAAAACTAATAGTTTACAGTTTTCATGTAGTGGACATTGACTCTATACACTTGCATAGAGTTTTAGATTATGAAGGTAACACAATCTTTCAATCTTTAAATCACCTTTTCTCTTATAATAAATTGACAGGAAACAGATTATGCTGAATGAGACTCGAGATAAGCTACGTGAGACAAATCAAAAGGTAATGTTACATGGTTTAATATCATGCTAGATGTATGACTCTATTCTAACATGCAGCATACTTGTGGCAACATTATAACTTGGTAAACATGGAAATTAAGTGCAGTCTAAAAGATTTCATGCACGTCTCATGATAGTCTGAGTGAATTATGCCTTTATTTTCTGTTAAATGAACACATATACCTTGTATATGAGTTCATTACCCTATACTCAAGAATATCCTTTATTGTGAATGAACCTGCACAGTGAAATTTATGCTGAATACATGTCCATTATGTAACATTAAATTCTCTGAGTTATGTTGTATATAAGCAACACAAATAATCTGAAGTTGTAACAGTATTTCCAATGTGTAGATTGAATACATTTCCTGCTTTTATCTAATAGATTGTAGATCTTGAGACTGGGATTGTGATTCTAAAAGAGGACATGATACAGGAGAGATCTGATGCAAGGCAAGAAAAGAAACGTCTCAAGCAGGCTGTGGTAAGTTAACGCTTTTAGTTGTCATTTTTTACATGATTTTATGATAACCCGTATGTAGAGCCAATAAATAATTGCTAATGCTTTCATGAACAAAACATAAAAGGCATGGATGATAATTTGTTTGTACATTTTTGTAACTGGATGAAAGGAAAGGTTATTATGAGAGGATAGAGGGGTACAGAGAGAGAGAGAGAGAGAGAGAGAGAGAGACGAGGGGTTAGGGAAGCTTATGTGTGTTAATATTAGCATACAATGCATGTCACTTTATCTGTTTCATGTAAAGTATATTTGGGACTTTTGACTCAAGGTGTAGGGCAAAAGCCACATAGTTACTGTACCGCTCTTTTCCATTTCTTGACTTCTTTTATGTAATGTTCTCGTATAATTACCAATAGCACGACACAACCAAGAAGACCAAGAAGCAGAAGGAAGCTAACATATCTCAGAAGAAACAGGTAGATGTCCTCCAAGAGCAGCTGACTGGCAAGAAATTAGAACTTTCTGACATCATGAAGGTAAGCATTGATCAGTTCCACATAAAAAGTATTAAATGAAAAAATGGGGTAAGCTTTCCTCAGAGCTGTGAAATGTGTATTCCAAGTCAATTCAGTGTTATTGTATATAATGTCTGGTAAGAGCTAGAAATGCATCAACTCATATCATGTTTATGGAGTTGCCACCCTTCTTGCACTCACTGGATGATATATCTTCAATATGAGTGGAAGGGATTGTAAAGATGGACCTCAGTTGATGAGTTACTATACATGTATAAACTGGTATGCATAAAGGTGACTGACTAGTTATTCTGACTCAAAAGAAGTAATTGCCCTCGTTTTGCAAGTTATGCAAGTTCACCTATTTTTGAGAGCCAATTCTTTTACTCCACAAAAGTATGACTTCCTGCTACATTATCTGTCAGTTTTAATACTCACAAATCTTTAAATCACTTAAATTTTCATGTCTGGTCATCAAAATCTTTAATTGTCTACACTATCTATAATCTACTAGGTACATGTAATCATCATTTTGTGTACTTCTCTATAAAGTGAAATACAAAGAAAATGTACAAAGAAGATTATAAATATCACCTCATTTTTTTATTACTACATTTTTACCATTGTTATTTTTTCAGGTCATACGTCGGTTTGACACAAACCGCTCAAGATCAGAAGCCCAAGAGAAACTGCTTCAGGATCAACTTGATAAGGAAGTGGTTCATAATGAACAGATGAAAGATGAAGGGTAAATAAACCAGTCACATCCTTCTTAGATACATTGTAATCTGTTTCTTCAATTTCTACTAATGATTTTAATGATCTTTTCCTTTTCCTGTCATCTATTTTCTATGTTGGTTATGTTTTTCCTCAATAAAAGTGTTGATATTATTTTTTCTTTTGTTTTTTGGCTCTACACTTGATTATGTTTGTTCTATTTAATAGCGAAATCTGACCTTTGACACTTCCACTTTCAAGCACTTCTCAACCTATACAATCTTTCTAATTAACCATTTGTGTTATTATTCCACAATCAAATGATTTTTCTTCTCAAATTAGTTATATGATGCTATTAAATGTCAAATATTCATGCTTGTTTTACAGGAAATGTACTTCTAGGTACACTATGACTTGGTGCCCATTATGTAATGTAATATCCAATTCTGATTTCCATTGTAATAAGTCTTTTTGTTTTCTTCCAGAATAAAGCTCTCTTTACAGTTGACAGATCTAGAAACTAAGACTGGTAAGAAGGAAGCTTATCTGGAAACAAAGGTTGATGAGGTGAGAACTAATGCAGATTGACAGTAGTACAAAATAATATGAAGCAAGTAATGGTTCAGTTTTGAATACTCTCTACAATGTAGTCAAGAATTAAATCTTGTCATTAATTGTTCAGAAAAAAGTTGATTATAATATCATTTAGTACTTGGTTGGATGAGACAAGGTTATGTATATCAATATTAATGCTGCATGTCATGTACTCCATTTAAAAAAAAACTGATTTATCTGTTGTTTAAAGGAAAATTGTGCCGTCAAATTAATAAGAATCATCTTTCTTCTAAATAACCTATTGAATTGTACTATTTATTTCATTTTGTTTTTGCAGCTTGAAAGAGATATTAATAAGACTAACACGGAGTATGATGGACTCAAGAAAGAACATGATGAGAAGAAATTCAGTGAGTTGAAAAGTTTTTATAATTGGGGGGGGGGGGGGGTGGGGGGACATAGCCAACATTCTAAAATTAAAGGTTATGACATACTGTAATCTATTTGTGAAATGTTCAGTTCCAGTGCAGAATCCAAAGTATGTGACTCCACCATATTACAAGTATGTTTTAGATAGAAAATAAAAAATATTTATACCACTATTGTTATCCGACAATATTCAAGATATATTCAGAATCATTAAAAAAAATTGAATACTTTTTTGTCCTTTCTTATGCACTTTTTGAGCACAGTGGTAGATTTGTCAAATTCTATGTTAATGCAATTGAGAGGTACAGTACATTGAATCATTTATTTTAAATACATTTTAAACATTTCTTTGCTCTCTTTTTAATCATGATGCTTTCTACCCTGAAAATATCCATTCGTTTTTTAACAAGATTTGTTTTTCAAATCTGCAAACAAAATTGCATCCAGATCTTGATTCGCACTTGATGCCACCTTGATAATATGAACATGTATTGATATTTTATTTTTTTCAATTTAAATTTTTTCTCTGTGCAGTTGTTGAAGAGGTTTTGGAGGTAGCAGAAAAAGAGGGATCAAAAGTACAGGAGATAGACAACATGTAAGTACATCGAAGCACAAACTTTTATCGGTTGAATGAATAGCTTGGGTAACAGTGATTTAAAAAAATGCATTAAGATGTGCTCTATAGGGGTAGTAATAAAATCTTCTGAAAGATTGAGGTATTCAAAATTGAAACAAAACAAAAAACTACAGCAACAACAAAATATATTGACTTGAATGGAAAAATGTGACCAGAACTATAATTTGCATATGATTATGCCAAATTATTAAGTTAATTTTTGAATTCACTAAGACTGCTGTTTATGCCGAGTAGAATATATTCACCTGACATAATATATATTACTTCCGTATACCTGGATTAACTGTATATTTCCATTACAGCTTGCAGGGTAAGAAGGATGACTTGACAAAGAAGGCAACAGATACAGCCAGAATGAAACTAGAGAATGATGAGATGGAGAAGAAGATGAAGAATCTGGAAGAGAATCACCAGTAAGCATACCATCTTCTTTCTATGACAGCATTATGGAAGAGTTATAGTGTGGCAATGTTATAGTGTGTTGCTTGCTTGGAGTGAGAAGAGTCGTCTTTTCAAGATACTGTATTGTGATTTGTTATGGTATGGTGTGTTGGCAGCTATCAACATGTTTTGAAATTATCGTTGGACTAGAACGAAAAAGAAACCACATACCTAAAATGGGAAATAAATTCAACAATGGAATATACGTCTCCCTCCCTTCTATTGTTATTTCGTCATGACACCATTCCAAATTTCTTGTGAAGTTCTGAACTTGTGATAATTTATATTCATGCCTATGTTATCATTCTCTCTCCCTCACACTGCCTTGAATCCTCTCTCAACCCCTCCCCCCTCTCTCTCTCTCCCACTCCCTCTCTCTCGCTCTCTCTCTCTCTCTCTCTTGCTCTCTGATTGGTTATCTCTTCCTATCTTAGGATAACCGTCCAGCTGTTGACCAAGCAGATCCAGGCCTTCAGGGAGAACCTGACCAGAGAGCGCAAGGAGCGCTTCGAGCTGCAGGAGAAGAGGGACAGCCTGAGCAGAGAGCTGGAAGACTTCAGACAGGAGTTTGCAAAGTACATGAGTACAATGAGTGAACGCATCAACAAGGCCAAGCAAGATCATGTAGACCTTACTAATGAGGCAAGTTTAAACATTCATTTTGGATGGGGTTGTTTCATTTTTCAAGGGCTTTAATAGTAATTAAAAAGGTATTAGGAGTAGCTCACCATATATGAGTACAGCAGCGCTATAACTGCTGTTATCTTTTCCCATGTGACTATATTTTCATAGTTCATATGACTAGTGTTTATAGTATAAACCTTTTTTCCCTTCCTCATTAATATCCATAACAAGGCAGTTGGTTATTGCTATGTAATGTAATGTAGGCATTTATATTACTCACATATTATTTGTAGAAACTGTTATGCTCTTTATGAACATAAACTACTAGAAGTATGATTCTACAGTTAATCTTATGTGCTACATGAAAAGGGACAACAATTGTCTTTAATATGCAGAGGGGTAACACATACTTATCCAAAGTCACATGATGATATTGCTGGAATATAATATACAAGTGTTCTTCAATGTCATTGTGATACATAGAAATATTCTTTTCTTCATCCTTATCAATTCATTTCAACAGGGTGAACAGCTAACACGGGACATTACTAAAGATGATGTCACTATCACGACGCTTGAAAAGGATTTGAAGAAGGCAGAGGCAAATTTCAGCAAAGTAAAGAAGAAGCTGCAAGATGAGATTGCAAATATAGAAGTAAGTAAAATTTGAATTGAGAAACCTCTACTGATAAACATTGTACTTGATTAAATTATTCCATACAATTTTCAAGTAATGTGCATTCTTAGAGGATTTTAACCAGCTTTCTCTTAGTTTCGGGTCTTGGCAAGCGAAGAATACAAATCACCCAACCCCTAAGTCTAATCTGTTTGCATCATTTTTTTTCTTTTTTTTTCGCTGGCAACTATCTTGGAAATGAAAAGGGAGAACAGCAATGGGGAACTTGAAGAGAACTGACACTTTTCGTAGGACACCAGTGTATTATCTTGGTCTTTAAAATGACGTACCCTGTATCATATGCCGTTGCTCTATTCAGCCATCCTACATCTTCTGTTGACTGTAATCCCATTCCTACATTTAATTCTCTTTATTAAGAATAAAATTGCTGATGCTGAAGGTTCTTTGGAAGCTAAGATGAAGGAACTTGAAGAGAAGACTCCTATCTTTGAGGAACTTGAGAAAATGTTCGAAGAGAAACAAGAAGAGTACAACAGCAAGAAGAAAGGCATTGTGGGTAAGTATTATGGGGGGGGGGGAAGGGTTCCACACAAGCAATATTCCTTGCTTTGTATAAACAGTTTGAAGATGTACTTTGTTTTGAGTGATACATAAGATGAATGACACCATATTTGTTGTTAGAAATGATGAATCATGAAATAATAAATTGCTTTTATTCATTTAGTTTAGTCCAGCAGGAAATAGTAAAAGAAAAAGTACTAATAATACGCTTTAAGTGGTAATGGAATTGGCAAATAAAGTGTCACCCTCACAGAATATTTTGACTGTGTTTCTCTTCTATATGTTGTTTATTGATTAATCCATTCAAAATGACAATTTTACCTTGTAATCCTTAGAACTGAAGAATAAGAAGATCGTTCTGGTAACCTCCTCTAACAGAGCTCAGAGGGAGATACAGAAACTCATCGCTCCAGGGGTAAGTAGCGTCAAGCAGGGTAACAAATGAAAAGAGAAATATATATGAATACATGGATATCAACAGCCATCTCAATAGTCTAAGAAATAGTCTTACTGAATATGTCTTATACTCAGTGCCTAAATTGAGTATCAATAGCCATCACAATGTTCTAAGAAATAGTCTTACTAAATATGTCTTATACTCAGTGCATAAAGATGTGAGGAATACTACATTAATAAAGTAATAGCTTACCAACCTTGATGGTTACAATATACGATAAAACGTTCATTCGGTTGTTGAATATTTTGCTTCTTTTTTTTTTATTGAATTAGGGAGTGAATCAATAATACAAATTTAAAATGTTATGCAAAGTGATAATGTAAATTCACTAGTAGCTGTACACATTACAGAAGCATACATTTGGATTTTAATTGTATGATTTAAATATTATATGTTTATTGTTATAACAATTGAGTTTCCTCCCCACTTTTCAAATAACATTCTAGCATGAAATGCAAATATTCCATATATTTTCTGCTCTTTGTATGCTAATGAATGGATGAATAAGATACCAGACTCAGCTAATATTGTACTTTTGATAACTCTAACTGCCAAACCCCATCCCCTTTGCTCTAATCATGGCTTTGGAAACAACCATTATGCATGTGGTAACTTACAGCTGGCTTCCCCCATCATGCTTTGCTCCGTATATTTGCTGTTTGGTGCTTTCCAGTGTTATAAATCAATACAAACAACATCTTTAAAGCTTTGCGCTTTTAGAATTGTTCCAATGTAGGCTTTGAAGGTTATTTTGTAGTTTTGGTTGAAAATCAAACTGATTATCTTGAGTGATTGATGAAGATCTATCACAATAATATGTGTTTCATTTTCAGCTCTTATAATATGTGTTAGTTTCCAGAAAACTAATTAAAGTAAATATATGCCATGCATTCTTGCTTACATCTTAATTCAATAGGATAGTCACTACAATAGGCAAAAGGGGATCAAAATTTGTATACTTTTCATACTGCAAATTAATGGAATTTGGTCAGGAAATAGGTGAATTGTTTTCTGAAAATCAAGGTTAACTTGATTCTATATGCTGATTGAATCCATTGTCTGATTTAGGCTGAGAATGCACCAGAGGAAGTAAGTAGACATTGAGAGCACTCTTTAATTTAAATGTTGTATCAATATGGGTCTGGTGTTTACAATTTTGTCCCATGGTCCCTTATGTAAACCTATATGTATGTACCCCTGAATTTATCTTGCATTATGTCACATGTAGTCACCGCATTTATAGTACATGTATGGTATTCTGGGTATTTTTATGTAAGAATGGTATTCTGGGTATTTTGATGTAAGAGTTGGTTTTGGATTTGTATCATTCACCTGCTAGTGTGCATCTCTGTCAAGATACCATAAAAAGAATGTTTCATGATTGGCATATACAGCTGGCATAAGGTTCATTTATTTAATAACTTATATCATTCTTCATTTCATCACCTCTTTGTACCTACAGTCTATTCTTTTCTATATAGTGGTATTTTATAGGGTAATACCTCATCGATCATCCAATTAAATATCTAACATTATAGCAGCCATATCCTTCTTCATGCACATTTTTAATATGAAAGGCACCATATATTCCTTAGCATTACAGAACATGCAGGATCATTTCTGTTGTAGAAATAAAATCTAAACCCTTTGCCAGCAAATTGTATCATGTTGATGTCCTTTTTATGGTCTTCTGACAGGCACACACTTTGTTATTTTATTGTCATTTATTTGGACATCATATTGATTTATTTGTTTGCTTGATGATCTCAACTTTTATCTTTATTTTTTTTTCTTTGTTTTTGTTTTTTTGTATTGATTGGTCATTGGTGATTGGATGATACACAGGATAGGGCACTGTTTGCCTTACCACCCAAGGTGGAGGATATTTCTCTCTTATTTTTCATAGTTGTTGATAATCTCACATTTGCTGCACCAAATGCACAGTTTTTCCCCATTAATTCTATTGATTCCCATCCCTAAAAACAAAATATAAGAGATTTATAATATTAGACTTCCTTGTACAGATTGTTTCTTAACTTATAATTGAAGATTTCAGAGTATTTTTCAACTTTTGTTTAGCTTTAATGATATTAGTTCGTAGATGTGTGGGTGTAACTCATATTTTTCATGTTATAATCATATAAAAAGCAATAAATAGAGTAGAAAGAAGCAGAAGAGAGAGAGAGGGGGGGGGGGGGGGGGGGGAATGGCAAAATGAGAAAAGCTGTCCGGCATGAAGCAAATTATCATTATAGTCTTATTATTATAGCCTGAATTATGCTGTAAAATGAAATGAAATAATGTGCATAATGAAATAAACAGATAACAGAAACCCCACTTAATCATTGCTTGCAAGATAAAAGAATTCCATGGAGTGATAAATTTATCTTTTGACAACCAAAATGCTTAATATTTGTAAAGGTCTGATTGATGACCATTGTAGAAAGCATCTACCAGTGTTCAGAATTCATTAAAGCTGGCTGATGGCACATCTATGTACATTACATTAGAAATGTAAGCAGTCTATCTTATTCAAACATCTTGTAGATGCACGATAAAAAATATATGAATGAAATCTAATACAGTTGCCAACTGGACTGCTTATGCTACAAAGATTAAGGAAATTCATTTGTAAGGATTGAACTTCCAATAACCATTGCCCTAGTTCTTTGTAAATCTGTCAATACTTCCCAGGAATAGTGAAGTAACAAAAGGGGTAGGGATGAAAATAAGTACTGATAGTTGCCTTTGCTGTTTAGATTATATACATCCCAATGGTGGGACTTGAAAAATTGTATTAATGATATGAAATGATCTTTGAAGACATAATCATGGAACAACTGTGGGGGGTGTACTTTTTTTTATTTGTTTTTTGTTCCGTTTTTAAATTCTGTTCATTTTATTTTATTATTTTGTTTAAGTTGTTTGATTACAGTAATAGTTATGGATGGAACCAATCTCTACTTGCATTGCATATTTGTACCTGCAGGGCATAATAGCAGAAAGCAAATTTCTTATTCATGTTGCCAAATGTATTTTTTTTTTTTTTGCTTAAAGATGAAGTTGAGTTCTGGTCATGCGATTGCATTGTGAAAGAAACGGTGTGGAACCGACCAGAAAAGGTTGGTCATCTAGCATATAAGAATTTGTGTGTATTGCAAGGTTCTGGAATCATCAAAATGATAAGAAATTTGGCCAAGTCTTGGTAAAGTTACAAACACTTGCACAGAAAGATGTATATGGGACTACACGAACACGTGGCGTAAAAAGCCCCCCCCCCCCCCCCCCCCCCCCCCCCCCCCCCCCCCCGATTTTTACTATTTTACATGCATATTTAGAATATGAAGGCATTTGAAGAGCCATGCTTTTCAGGGAACATGTCTTAACTGATGTTCTTCCACACTTGCATAATAAGAATGAGTAATGCTCACAAATTATTTTTCACCTCTGATCCCAGAACTCAACCTTCTCTTTAATGATATGCTATTGTGAGTATCTGCTATTCTTCATAGCATAGCATTGGTGTCATACTATAGTTAGTTATTTCACCTACTGGTACTCAGTTAAAAAGCAAGAACATGTTAGCCATACATGTAAGTAGACAAAATTGAAAGAATTATACTAGAAAATCTGATAATTTAAAAAAAAACAGAAAAGAAAAAAAAAAGATTCAGGAAGCAGTGGTTTGCAAAGTAGGACTACTGATGAGGGTGTATTTTCTAATTATTTTGAAGATAACCAATGTGGTCATAAAAATTGTTGTTAATCTGTTGATAATGATGGATCATAGCCTCTATAAAAAACGACTGCTAAATATTGTTTCATCAATTGAATTTTCTTCATGCTCTTTGGCTACTTTTTTCTTCTAAAAATGCTTGCCCATCTAGCCTGTGCCTATTATTTATTATTTCTAAAAGGTCTTCAATGAAAAGGTGTTTTTAGCATTGATTTTGTATTCCTTTTTTAAAAGTTTTTCATCAAGTTATCACTTCCTAGTTTTCATAGAGTCTAAAAAACATTTGTATGTTGCCGATCAAAACAAAACACATGTCAGCATATTGTGTAATATTATAGATGTTCATTTGCAATTAATGCATTAGAGTAGACTAGCTTTGATGTCATGGCTGGAATAGATATAAGATTTTATCCCTCACATAGGACATAAAGAGAATACCAGAACTCCCTCCCGTCGGTGTATCTTTCTTCGCTTCAGAAGACGAGACCAGAAATAAAGCCTTTAAGCAACTCTCCGAGGTATTTGAAGCTAGAGAAGTATTACAAGTTACTTTTCTGAATATGTCACAGATTCATAGTTTCTATAGTTCTTTTCATGTTCTATGAGAATGTTATTTTTCTGCATGCGTTCAGCACATATTGATGTCATGGAAGCAGGAGACAGATCTGTTCATTGCTCCAAAGCTGTGTGAATTCCTTGAACTTTTTGAAACACTCAATAGCTTTAAACCTGTTGGGCAGTGTTTCATTTTGGTTGACACCCTTTTATTCCCTAAGCCCCAGGCTGAGCTATCTCAGGGCACACTAGTCAATATGGCAGAGCAATTTGAGTCTCTGAACACTTGAAATCAAGTACACAACATTTGTAATCAAGTACTAAAAAGGAAAAAAAAGGGTCAGTTATTCCTCTTCCATTATATCAACTATGTGCATTTAGTGTTATTTAATTTATGAAAACTTGGAAGATGTTTCCAGTAGTCGTATACACAAATTAAATGCACAAATTTCAATATGCATGTAGCACAAGTTCATACTAGTGCATGCTAGTAAACATGAACTATATACATCTTTTTACTGTTTTTTTAGAATATTGACAAAGTTGTATTTAATATGGTCAATATATACAGCTGTCACTGCATATATGGGATAGTGCTAGTTATTTGTTCATATGTGCCCTCTGAACATTAAGCTTCACCTTTATTTATTCATTAGCTGATCATCTTCATAATAATCATGATAGAATGAACAGTTGTTGTCATTTTCAGTAACTCATCTTTATTCATAGGTTTTATTCTAGTCTAGTAATTCATTTATACATACGTATGATCTGAAAATTATATTGCCAGTAAAGCATGCACAACGGGATGCATATGGATATTAGATAAACTGGTTAAGGTCATTTTAGATGGAAGTAGAATTGATATTGCTTAATTATACATTCAAATCAGCTGGTGGTAGGCTAATATTAGATGGAATCCTTTAGCTGTGCTGTCCCAGTTATGCAGTAATAGCTTTATATCAAATATTTGATCTGTGTTATTACTTTATCATGAGATATGCATTGATTTTACTAGTGGCATGTTTTTTGTTGTTAATGCATGACATCTTATTGTGTAAGAATATGTTTTCTTGCTCTGATACTTCACTTGAAAATTCACATGATTATTATTCATGTATTTTTTACTTTGTTGATATAAATGGCTATTGTTAAGAGTTTGTTTGATATTTTAATGAGGTATTGAATGATTTACAAAGAGGTCATGAATTGTATGAATTACTCTTTTTTTCTTCATTTTGAGATGTTGAATTAAGTTGAACAAAAAAGGTTGAATATTGGTATGGTTGGAATGTTATACAGGGAACTTTAATGTAGAGCTTGATAGGTCTATATCAAGCATTATTTGTACAAATTCCTCCCAGAAATGCAAGGTTAGTTTTATGATATAATAGCAGTCCCTTTGTCTGCAATTCATCACTGTGTTTCTTTAACAATTTTTCACTACTTATGTTTTGACTAACCCAAACTAATGTGATTGAAGTGTTCTACTAATACAGGTGTTGTAGATGTAGAGTCATTTTTAATATATAGCATATTTAGGTGTGAAGTGTTTTGTTGGTATTTAGTAGAGCCTGAATATATAGTTCATTCAGGATAACAATCTTCATATAATCTAGTTTAATGCTTTTTTAAATATTAAATATGATAAATACAACAATAATATAATTTACCTTTAAAGATTCAAATTGTCTAATCTTACAACCCTTATATGGTGAGGTAAGGGTAATTATTATACCAGTTTACATAACTGTAGTGTACTTCTGTAGGATACTATTTTGTATGTTAACTAACAAATCTGTGACAGTTTTACAAATTTGGTATGAAATTTATTATTGTTTCTCTAAACTTAAAAAGAACAAATAATAAATGGTATTCTCATATTAAAATACTGAAAAGGTAATGCTACTGAAGTGCATATGTGTTTTGGGATTTGAGAAACTACCTCAGTAAATTAAATTTGATATATAAAAGATAAAGTTAACAGTTGAATGAACAATTTACTGCCATATGCAGCTTCAAGAGAGACTAGTGGAGATAAAATATAAAATAGTTGATATCAATTTAGAGTGTTCTACATTTCATGATTGTACCTGAATTTCAGGATATTTTCTTTGTTGAAATGTTATTAAGCTGTTGCTCTGGACCGCTTTTCTTCTTTCAGAGGTCTTTAAGATTCCCTTGTTGATGTGTTAATAGATTGTTGCATTACTAAAATGACAAAACTGAAAAATTTGCTTTGTAGTAGAAAAGTAAAGCCAATATGTACAATCCCTTTGACAAATGATCATTTCATTTTAATCCACAAGGTTGCCTTGAAGCACTTGTTACGACAGCAACGTTCAGCTGCTTTGGGTAGAATGAAAGAACAGGGCAGAGAGTTAGAGGAGTTGGAAGAAAACATCTTTCATGCTGGTCGTAAACTCAAGGCAGTCACCGAGGAGAACGTCAGATTCACAGGGGTAAATAATTATCTTAAATATAACTTGAAAATTCAAAAATTGATTAATGTTTTTGTGTAAATCTGCAATTATGGGTGTCTAGACATGTATCTTTATTGGTAAGCAGAATAGTTTAAATCTTTCAAACATACTGTAAATATTGTTGTCTTTGATTTTTCAAAAACCTAATATCTATTTTTAATTTTAAATCATTATTTTGAAAAAATTGTATACAGAAAGATGAAACTTATACCAGACAAATTTGACACCATAAATTATTGCCAATGAGTAATCCAGAATCCCCTGTCATTAACAATTGAATTAATCTTGATTTCACCTTTGGAGTAGACTATTTGCATTTACACATCCATTTTTTTCTTCATATGTAAAGCTTAGGCAAAGTAAATACTAGTAGTTCATTCATCGTTTAGCAACAAGAAGATAGCATGAAAATTTGATTGAATGTTGAATTGCTGCCTCAATCTTTCTTTCATCCTACTATTAAAACACATGTGTATCATAATCTTGAATGCAGGCTATTGAGAAGATGCAGAAAGAGAGTGTTTCAATTGAAGGGCAGATATCAAGACACAGCAGCCTGGAGGAGAGCCTAAAACATCTTGTCATTTCACAGAGAGGTACGTTTTTGACTCTTTGGATACAATATATTGTAGCATACCAACTTGCTTATGGGATACACGGGAACTCTGCTTGATGTAGAGATTACAAACCAAGTTTCCTTTATGAAGTAGATGATTTGAAGCATGTAGATAAATGTACGTTGTTGTGATAACATGATTAGCAAGACGACATATTACCATGATGGCTTAACTCTATTCTAATAACTCTTGGCCAGAAGATGCAGGGTCCAGTCATTGAGGACTCCCCTCACCTTTTTTAAAATACATTTTCTAATATATATTTTATTTTATCTATGGCCTAACGAGGCACATTGACACAAACTGGGCTTATTCATCAGGAGACATTAACTTCACAATTCAACGCTCAGAGTTTAGAAAAAAATGTTGAAGAGTGGACTTTGGGTCTGAAAGGTACTCATAAGTTGCTCCAATGGCTGAAAGTGACAATGCTCAGTAAGTTCATGTTAATGATATAAAATCTCTACCTCCTTTATGATCAGGCCACTTAGAGGTAGGCTGGGAGAAGGATAAGGCTCTGCAGGATGAGTTTGCCAAGCGAGACCAGGTCTTTTTGGATGACATCACTGATCTCTGTTGCCGTGCCGACCGTCGGGAGCAGGTGGTATCAGATATCACAGACAAGCTCCAACAGGAGATCGTCATGCTGACCTCTCTCCTAGAGACGGTCGCTGAGAGAAGACCTCTAAGTGAGTACACTAGTATGACTGGTGATGAAGAGATGGGTGAAGATGATGATAATGATTATGATGACGATGATGATTTTGGTGACGACAATGATCACAGTGATGAGGGTGGAGTGATGATATTGATAGTTATATTATAGTGGCCTCTCTCTTTGAGAGGAGACATCCAAGTGAGTTCACCAGTAGAGATGTTGATGGTGATGATCATAATGATGATTGTTAAATGATGTTGATTAATGATGATATCGATAGTGATGATGTTGACGATTATGATATGACGATAATGATAGCGGTCATTGGATATTTCCCTTATTACCCATATATTAAACTGTTCTAATAGCTTTTCTGAATCTCATTCCCATTCTGCTATGTTGACTATCTGTTTTATTAATGTTACCGCAGATACCAGCCAGGGCAGTCGACCCACCACAGTGCCCCGCCCTCCTACAGTCTTGAGGGAATACCTGGAATCCCGCACCAACCTCACTACCCAAGCAGGTAGAAAGACAGAGTTACAAAGTCAACCCAACTTACTCACTCAGACAGTACCAGAGGAACTTTAGCAAGTACTACTCAGACAGAGGAGACCCAGCTTCTTGAAAATATGATGTGTATACTAGGAACATTTTTATGATACCCGATGCAGTTGTCAACCTTCTTGCTAGTACTGTTTACCTTTGTTGCAGTTGGGTGTGGATTACTGTGCCACAGGGTAAAGGGTGTGGGAGGACGGAAGTATCTGTTGTAAGTATCTTTGTAGGTTTGGTATTTTAATGTCAATTTTGTTTTCATTGGGAATGACAGGGAGAATCTACCTGTGTTATGTCTTTTACTCAAGTCCTGCATAGGCAGTTGCTAGGATTACCAAGATCATTCCGTCCCGACAATTAGAAGTGTGCTTTCTTTTAACATCATTTACAGAAATCACAATCATACTATGATAGGATTATTGCTCATCAAGTTACTTCTAGAAGTTTGTGAATCAATTACTTAATGTGATGCTCCTAGATCATCCATATAAGGAATCAACTGCATGTTAGAAATGTGCTTGTTTTCTGATGTCGGATGCATTCTGAATAGATTATCGTTGCTACATGGAGCAGTGCACATGAAATCATGGTATTACACAGATACCGACTAGCAAGAGTGTTACATTTGATGGATTTCCATGGGGGTATATATTTTCCTCAGTGCACAGGATGAGGGAAATATTGTAAAAAGTAAAATTATAGCCCTTGGGGGATGGGCCATCAAATGCTGTTATTTAGCACAATTTGGTCAGTATCTCATACATGATGTGGTCCCTACAGATATGAATTACTGATAATAAGTCTCAGTTGTGCAACGCCAATGTATAAGCTGCCGCACTTCATTCCATGACATTGGGTACATTAGAAATCCCCAAGCCACTCATTATTGGCAAAAATCATAATTTTTTTTAGCACAGATTTTTAATGTCTTAAAACTCTTACTTTAATTTGTGACCACATGCAAGTTTCAGCCCTTAAATAAGTTTTGCATGGTTCCTCTAAAATTCTGTGAAAAGGAACCTTCATGTATTTCTTTGTTCTCTACCATCTGTATTTGAAACATAAAGGACAAATATGGCCAGCCAATTTGATCAACTGTGTTGGAGTAGTCCCTTGCACAAAGGGGGTCATCCCATCAATACATTTTTGCTGTGTAAAATTTGAAGAAAAAGAGGCATATGATGGTACTTGTATGTACATGTAGTATTTAATCTAAGTTTGTATATAATCTGTATATATGTGTAAACAAATTGAAATGCATTTGTATTTATTTATCTGTACTTAGTGCAATATCCTGTCCAATGTTTTTCATCACCTTCATTTTGCCATGGCAAAAACAGGAAAAATAATAAATAAGTATTAATAACATTGATCTATGGCAGAAATGTGCCCTAAAGATCCTTTTTATGCATTGTCTCAAGACTTATTGTGCCTTTCAAACTTCATCTATGCATCAAATATGACATTATTTATGTACTCTGTTCTTTTATGCAACCATTTACCCCCAAAAAATCCTGATTCTTTGATTTTTGTATCAAATATCATTTAAAGGTACTATGTCCCTTTTGCAGCCAACCACAAATTCTGTAGAACTTTGCAGGAATTATGAATATGTCATGTATGTCCTATCTGTGAAATTTAGATGTTAGCAGTGTCCTAATATTCAAATTATGCAAGGAAACCTGTTTACTTGCTAGACTTCACTGTCAGACACTATTGAGTGACTGACTGGCTTTTCTTCTTCTTTGATAATAACATACATGAAATGAGCTGTAAAGGGTACATGAGCATTTGTCTACATCAATAACCCACTTCTTGTGATGGCCAAAATTAAACTGATAGAATCTTTGCGCAGCATAAAACGTAAGACCATTCAGTACAATGGTCTGAAATCAAGACTATTACTTATCGGCTATATAGCTCCTAAGTCGATTTGACAACTTATAGTCGTTATTTTCTAAATTAGTATTATCGTTCAAATGCAGTTGGAATTTAACCTTTTCATTTTTTGGGCCTGCAAATGGGACATAGTACCTTTAAAAAGAAGGTCAAGATCTAGGGAAGGTAAAAATATTTGTGAGCTTTTTCTTTCTGTTTATGTTAGCATAGAGGAGTATTCATTTTTATTTTTTAAATGTCCACTGAAAAGGTTGGCTCTTCAAATGCCCTCACATTCAAAATGTGACAAATAAGTGGGTTGTAAACCACAACTTTCATGCCACATGTTTGTGTAGTACTATACAAGCATTTCTGTGTACAATGCATGTGACTCTTAGCAGGACTGAGCCAATTTCTTTTCATTTTGATGATTCAAAAACATCACAGTATACTTATGTTCTACATGATCAACCTTTTCAATCGTTTCCACTCAGTTTCTTTCACATTGCAATTACATGGCCAGAAACACAACTTTATCTTTAATGATTTTAATCACTGAAAGAATGAGTTGAATTTTGAATAAAACAGAAGTTGCACATTTAAAATATATTCTGCTTTGAGATATTTTAATCAAAACATATTTCAGCTCACATTACCTAAGTTTTAAATGTAAAATAAGTTACCTTTGTTCAATGATTGTAGTACTGAATGTAAAACACTGCCTTGTACAATTTTCTAAATACATATATACATTCCATTTGATATTTTATCAGTCATACTCTATTCTCATCTCCTTTTCATTCAAGGTTCTGTAAATATCTATCTGCAGAGTGTCTATTATCTATTAAATTATTTGTTCTCTAATATATATACAGTCGTTTTCTCGTTGTTTTGTACTTTGTTGCTATCAAGTAATAACAGATTTTTCAGTTACTTCAGTACTTTGGTTATAGAAACAAAATTTAGGCCCTGAATAATTATTACATGTATCATTATTGCAAATCGATTTTTTTTTTTAAACAGTTCCTTACAAAATTTGAGTGCATAAATCCATACTCTGTGTGAAAATAAACAACTCTTCATCTCTTTATCAAAGCAAAAATGTATTCCTGTTATACAGGGGAGGGTGCTTAATTATTGTAGCAACAGTCTCTAATATTCCTGCAAAAGTACTGATATACATATATGAATTCATCCAGCCATGTTCCTTTGAAAACATTAAGCTTCAAACTATATGATAAAAGTACATGTACTTGCAAATAATGCAAATGTACAGTATACAGACCCTGCATTTTAAATGTGGTAAGTGTGACTAGAGACAATGATGCTCTGATGAGTAACTACTAAAGATAAGCCAATAAATTGGGTAGAGAGGTTCCAAATGGGAGTCTCATAAAATGAAACAACCCTGACAGTATTTGAGCCTATTGGCTCCTAATGATAGTATTAAGCAGTTCAAAGCAGAAGCAATGATGTCATGCAGTCCATATTATCATTTTTTTTATAATCTAGACCAGTAACATGTTCACCGGTAAAAGTATTTGAAAAGGAGTTTAAAAAAAGCTTGAATGGGCAAGAAGGTAGCTATACTGGGTAGCACCAATTATCACTGTTCTAAAGAATGATGGGTTGTTTAGAAGTTTACAAAGAATGTGAAAATATTCAGTGGGCAGCATCAATTAACATTGTTTCAATGAATGATCGTTTGCTAGATTGTGAAGGGTTTACAAAAACAAAAATGTACACAAAGTACAAAGAAGATATCCACGACAAGAGACTTAGCAACTTGAAAGATATTTGACATGATAGACCTGTAAGATGCCTCCCTTCAGCTCAAGTCGACTGACTGATCAATAAGGAATAACTCGCAATGAATACTTACTAACAAGAGCATGTTCTAAAGTTGAAGCTTTTTTTAAATAATTTTGTGGTGTAAACTACAAGTATCTTTCAGATTAGTAGACAGGAGACACCTTTGATACTCTTAAGTATTTAATTATATATGTGCATACTGACAAATGCAAAAAAAAAAAAAAATTTAAAGCTAAAGGAAGCATAAATCATGGCTAAAAACTAGGGACTATGCTAGAGCTAAATATTATTTTGAAGTTAATATAAATGGTAAATATCTATGCCGACCATATAACCGCCAAGCTTTAAAACCTGCCTTAGAATCAAATTATCATTTCCATGTGACTGTTTTGAAGCTTATTTGTTAACACAGGTTATGTTTACATTTAGTGAGGGAAGAGAGTGGCGTGAATGAAAAGGCAGTTGGGGCAGCTTGTCTCTTTCGGACTTGTACCTGACCAAAGAGCCATCAATAAGAATGACATATATGCTGACACAGAGCTTTGGTGCAAAATAAATTACATAACTAAAGTTGTTCAGCTGTCTTTCTCCCCTCCATCTCCCTGTATTCCTGTAGCCTCTTCAGCCATTTATTCCAGTAGAGGTCGCACAGTTCAGGGGTCATGACATGGAGGTCAGCAGGGGAGCCATCTTTGTAGGTTATCACCAGAAGTGCTTGGTTTATCTGTGTCATGAACAAAAGGTAATCAAAACTCAAGTATTGTTTCTAGTGATACTATTTTCTAAGCATATTTCTTTGACGTCTTCTAACTAGAGGTATTTGAAAAGGCAGGTTTTGTTGTTCTTTCTGGACAGAAATAAAGGAGATATATGAATTCTTGAAATAATGAAATTGTTTATCGATTTTGTTTTCTCAAATATAATCTTTATCTATTGCATTGTATTCTACCTATGTCCCTATTCTTTGCAGTGTAAACATTTTCTTAATGCTTTTGCTTACATCCCAAGAAGTTACCAGTTATGTTGTTTTTGTCTTCACATTTCACATAAATTTGATGTTTTTGCACTTCATGCATTTATAAAACAGAGCAAATTTCCAGTCAGTATCAATGGATTGAAAAAAGGCAATGAATCACATTTATTTTTTTCATTCACAGAAGCTCTTTTGGGGTTTTATTACTAAAAAAAAATATAAATATTTTGGAGGAAATAATCTTTGGCATTCATAGAATTATATTACATAAAATAGATTTTCCTATTTTTGAATGCTTTCTTTTGGAAAGCATTCCAGAATTACTTATATCTCTGGATATGAATTTTAGAAAGAAATCTATTCTTACAACAAATGACAAGAAAAAAAAACACTTGGGAAATGAAATCTAGATATGTTACCTGAAATTGATATTTAGGATCAAAGTTGAGTGCTCCTAGGTAGGCTGCAACTTGCATTGGGTTATCAAAACACTTGCTGAGGCTCTTCTTGGGTTTCCTAGATGTCTTGAATTCAACTAGACAAGGCTTGCCTCTGAAGAAGAAAAAAAGAGTGAGAGAGATTAAAACAAACATAAAATCTTCAGCTAAGTGCTGGAAGGGTGTTAACTCTTTTTCTTTCTTGTATTTAGCAGGTAAAATATTGATACAAATAAAAATACACTCACATCATAAGGCCTCTATAGAACCAAATCTCTACATAGAGTAAAGATATTTTCCCTATCCCCACTTTTCATATTCCATTCATTTTACAGATACTGTCAACATTTTATGTCAATCCATACACTTAAAATACTTTACTCCCTACATAATACTATTCTTTTACATACATACTGTACCTATACTGTAGTCTTTTCATTTATAAAAAAAAGATAAAATATAGTGCTATGAACGTTAATACATAAATCTCACCTGTACTCGGTGACGCAGTCTGCGTATCCATGGTAACCAAGATACGGATGCCTGGTGTGGCATTCTATGATGGGGGAGTCTGAAGCGAGCTCTGGAAGACGCTCCTTGATGCTCTTCCAGAATCCTAGATGCCATATCAGAGAGGAGAGAGTGGGGGAGAGGGGTATGAGGGGAGAGGGAGGAAAGAAAAGTACATGAAGAAAAAGAGATGGAGAGGAGTGTCAAGATTGATCCTTGACAGAGGTCACTTGACTTACTTCTCAGTGCATCAAACCACTTCAAGTCTAGATGCCATGAAATCTATTCTAGACTTTGCAGAGCACACATGAAATAAGTAAAATAAATATGAACTTTCATTACAAGTTTGAGCAAATTCTGAAGTCAAGTGTTGGGTATCCGTCAGCATGTACTTCTTTCAGTCAAGTGCTATTGCTCACATATTCTTGCCCTGTTCTGCAATTTCAGACTCTTCACAACTTCTAAGGTCTTTTTTTTTTAATGGTATACATGATAACTTTCCACTGCTAAACAGAAGTGTATCATCAGCATACAGAGAGCTCATATATTGCTTTAAGTTAATCTGGAAAATACTAAAACAATTAATCCTTTGTACAGTAGGCTTGCGGGTGCACCATGGAGAGAGAGGGAGGATTGAGGGGTCCTGAAAAGGACTCTCGGTAATCTTTCTTTTCAGGACCCCGCAATCCTCCCTCTCTCTCACATGGTGCATCCGCAAGCCTACTGTATATCTACATCACCATGCAAGCTGATACTTACAAGCAGCAAATAATCCTTTGAAGACTGAAACATTTACATGTAAAAAGATTTCATAGAACTTGCAATAGAGTCCAGGAAAAGCAGATTTTTTATCAATTTTTCTCTGATTCCTTTATATTCCTTTTTATAAATACACTCACCTTCAATTCCTTTCTCAATGACTACTTCTTCAGGCTTGTTGAGTAAGATATGTCCAATGTTTGCATGGAGTTGATGACCCTCGCTGAACATTTCTGCCATATCAAGTTAAAAACACAAGATATCATGCAAGTTTTCTATCAAATTCAAGAGCCAGTTTCAACATTCATAATTCTTGAATTTATTAAAGTGTATAATGTGTGATGTAATCTTATTGATGTTGGTTGTCTATTTGTTTACTTTCCACGATGATAATATTTTGCAGTGTTTGCACAACGTGGTACAATGAGTAAATTATAGAAGCCTCATTTATGCAATTGCTTGGAGTCTAGACCATCTGATAAGGTCCCCTGGTTGCCAACCAATATGCTTCACTTGCATCCAAAGTAAACTAAATCTAGATGGGCTGATGTCTTGATGACTTTTCAGATCGATGCAAACCAGTAGCAGTAGCAGGCCTTCATATTGAAAGGAAACTGCATCTTGAAAATCATGGTGGTCGTAAGTGTTAAAGGTACCCGAGCATGAGAAGTGATATTAACATTTTGGAGTAAGGTACCAATCACTTCTAAATATTGCTTAATTCTTTCCCAGTTTTGTAGGACCAATGGACCACACGGGGAACAACCAGTTGACTTTGGTCACACGTACAGTGTACATATAATATATACTGCAAATGATGCGACAGTCTGATCCATGGTGAACAAAGATTTAGAGAGTAAAGAAAACTCCAGACACATAGAAAGAAAGAAAAAAGATTTGTAAGATTAGACAGAAAAAGAAGTAGAATGGGAAGAAAAGTATGTAGGAGTAAATCAGAAAGCAAATACAAGTGAGAGAGAGGAAGGGGGAAGGAGGGGAGGAGGGGTGGAGTGAGGGATAGTTAGATAAGTATACATTCAGTGTCAGTTCATACCTTTCTTCAACTTCTGAAAAGCGGGTAATCCCATCTTTTTGATCATGAACCTTTCCCACCTTAGAAGAGCTGCTGCACTGTCAGGAGACATGGTCTTTTGTAGGATAGCGGTCACAGAAGGGACTTTGGTCTTGTCTATTGACAAAATAAAGATGGAAAAAAAATTAAACTACACATTCTCTAGCATTCTCAAGGCATTTTCAAGATAAAGATTGCAAATATATTATCAAGGTAAGGAAGACTTAAGACTTACAGATAGTGAAAACACATAGACTAAGTACTGCTACGTGGCAACAGGAGTATAGGATATCAAAGTAAAAGATCTAACGGATGAAAAGTAGAAAGCACTTATCAGCACATTCTTTTCTGGGAAAGTCTCTCTCTTTTGGTAACCACATACTAAGCAATAAAATGAAGGAATTTGGCTTTTGAAGTATTAAATTTAACCCGTGGTTATTTCTTTCTGGTCAGATATAATGTCACTTAAAGCCATCTATATACATGTAGACTGACTTTTGGCCAACTTGGTTTCAGTTTGTCACAACATGGGGTATATTGTGTTCTGTGCTTGCCCAACGAAGCAGTATTCACTATATTGTAACCAACTAGATTTACTAGAACAATTTTGGCCACTTTGTATATTGACTCTGATTTCACTACCTATGTCACTCTTGTTGCCAAATGATGAAAACTGTAACTTTTTTATTGTTTCTGGTAGTAGTAGAGCAGTAGAGGGCAGCAACTTATAGGTTATACCTTGACCACACATGTAAAGGAGCATAAGGCCATATCGGAACCTCATTCATTGGATGAGTGCATTATTTGAACTATCATTAATTAGTATTAAAAGGCAAACAAGAGTATTAAACTGTCAAACAAAAAGAAAATTAAGATGCTTGCACCTTTTCTTATGACCTCCCTCTCTTCATCTGAGCATCCTTCTCTGCTTGTATTTACCAGTCGCCATGGAAACAAGAGCATCTTTCCTGACTGGCTGATGAAGATCTCATCCTCATCATCCATCTCATCACTGTTCATTGGTCCCAGATCTTCTTCCTTGATTGATTCAGCAACCAAGGCATCAAGAGTATCCCGAAAATCACCTCCCTTTCCTTCTGAACCACCAATTATTCCACTCTTTGAGGTTGTATGACTTCTACGCTCTGGGATGTAACGTAGCTGATGAGATTTTGAAGTCTGAAAGTTCCTTGAAAATGACATGAGCGGTTGGGTATTTTTATAGGCAATTCCTTGGAAGTCAGGTACTTGTTTCTTTCTGCATGATGTTACCCTGCTTGGAAGCTGTCCAATATGAGATTGGTACTTTCCTGTGCAGTTTCTTGGAAAGATGGTGGCACAGCCAGGTCTAAGGAAACCTTGTCTGATATTCTGTTTGCAGAGTCCTGTAATAGATCTCATCGATGTTTGAAGTGTAGACATAGTGCGGAGTGCCATGACCTGGATCATGGAGTGGCTAGCAACAAGTCAACTGCACAAATAAATAAATAAATGTATGAATAAAGAAATACAGTAAAAATGAATCTTGAATCTAGTTAAATCTTAGCACACTCTGGTTCTTTTTCATTTTTTTTTGTCATCAGTGAGGAAGAATAACAAGAAAAAGTAAGTTACGCAATGCTGGACAAATTTTAAAAAAAGGGAAAAAAAGAAGCAAAATGGGCAAATAATTAAATACTACACTCCCTCACGCAACAGTTGTAGGATTAAGGGTAACTGATTAGGCTAATTAGGATTCAAATTAAACAAGGTAATTGGATTGAGACCTAATTAGGGTGGATATCAGGAAAGTACAAGTTGACATAGAGTCTATCATGATTAATTGGGCCCATAAATAAAAGACTAGAACCTAAAGGTATATGGCGAGCAGTTGCAGGGTAATTGTGTCCCTACATGCCGCCCCCCCCCCCCCCCCCCCCCTCCCCCGGCTGGCCGCCCCTGAGCATACCAGATGGTTATTTTGTTCTACTTACTTGATCGATCTGTACTTCTGTAGCCTGGCCAGCCTAGTCTCACCGGCAAGCACAAGCGATGTGTAGACTATGTTTACTTGATATGAATTATGATGTGACGACTCAGGCCAGGCGCAGGCATCCATCCAATGCAATGCAAGCTCCCTGACTCGGCGCTCTGTCGGCACGTCTGGTTACCACTCCAGCAAAGCATAGAGCTAGAGAGCTATAAGCCTAGGCTAGTCTTCCTTTTCTTTTTCTAGATCTTTATGAACGATATCCGCCCAGGTATCCGCCCCGTACTATTCATACCACAGCAAAAGCATTTTGTCCTCACTATTCATGTAGTCGGACCTCGCGCTCATTCCTTGAATTTACCGGTGTAGACACGATATATGTACCAATCAGCTGTGAGACTTGGCACTTTTGGTCGCTTATTTCAGTCCGTTCTCGGAGTTCGCGCTCGATCTTAGGGAGCGACATGAAGGGGGGGGGGGAGGGGTGGTGGTGGTGGTTGCGGAGGTGGCAAAGATAGATGGCAAATGACTAATGGCAATATGACGCCATATTTTTGTTTAAGAAAAATATAGCTTATAGACCCTAGGTAGTTTTAATTAGAAGTAACATAAATGAACTTGCATTCATGTAATATATAGATGAAAGTGGTATAGGGTCTACTTCGGTGATTCCTTTTTTATATCACTATGCATGCGCCTAAGCAAGTTATAATTTTAATAAATAATTAAATTAAGAAAATATTTTGCAGACAGGGAGTTAGAGCTAGAGCTATAGGAGGGAGACCCGGAGGGAGAGAAAGAGAGAGAGAGGGATGGAAAAGAGAGAGAGAGAGAGAAAGAGAGAGAAGAGAGGGGGAGAGAGAGACAGAGAGAGAGACAGAGAGGGGGATAGCAGGAGACAGAGAGAATACAATTTGTTCATTTTGTTTAAGAAATCATCTCCAACAATCGACTTTCTCAGTTGGGTAATTTGTCTGCTATCTGAGTGGTTTCCAATCCCCCTTTCCCCCCTTTCGCGGCTGTTTCAGATACTATATAAACGTAACGTAAATTGGTCGATATATTCAGTGATTTTGCATGAACGATATTTACGCGGAGAAAATGCCTGAAGAAATGGATGAAAAAGTCGTTACTGATAGGAAAATTGAAGTAGGACACCGGATTTTGAGTGAAGAGCAATATGGGACAATTAGATTTGTGGGATTAGTTCCACCAACAGAAGGTGAATGTGCACGAATATCCGTATTTGTTATGTGGTTTTACCTTACCATTTCATATGCAGTCCCAACTGTTAGTAATGGTGTAGTGTCCGAAGTGCTAATCGTGCCCGGCCCCTTTAAACTTTTATTAAAGTTATTGAGTGTCTACATTTAGGCCTACTTGTGCGCGTGTGTGTGCATATATATGTATATCATCCAGCATACTTTGTTTTGACAAAAGTCTTTGCCTATTATTATGTACTATTAGAGACAGACTAGACCTTTATTCGGCTATAGGCCTACCCAGGATATCATTCATTGTTTTACTTTTAATTAGATTTAGAACCCACTTTGTGAACTTTGTGACTTGTCGGGACGCGCTCTTTAGTCTTATGTGTAGAGACTATAGTGTGATCATAGTGGTCAGTCTGTGGTCACAGCACCAAGTTTGAATATTTTCAAAAGATTACTTGATAATTATTGGTCTAAATTCCAGTAGGTCTATGTTGCGCTTTATCCATCTATCGGCAAACCCGGACTTTAGTGCCCCAGCTGAAAATCTCAGTTTATTATGGATTTAATATCAATAATATTAATTATGCTAATATATGCAAATATAAACATACCAAAACTTGATGATTTTTAATCATTTGACGTCATAAAAAGCAATTTTAAGCCAAAAATAGCAGCGAAGTAGGGGATCTCCTCTTTGCTTGATGCGAGATACTAGCGAACTGAAATAACCGAATAAAAACTATGGTGAACTAAAAAAAGAAAAGAAAAAATCAAACCACCTCTGAAATTACCTTTGAAATGTTTATTAATTTTTTCTTCCGATATGCGCACATGATAGGGGCAGGTTGGGATGGGATGGGGGGGGGGTGCTCAATAGTCGCCAAATTTGGGGTAAAAGGGCAACTGGCCTTGGGGGCAGAATAAAGAAAAGAGCCACCCCGGAAAAAAATTAGAAAAATGATTACAAAGAAAAATAAGTAAATAATAAATTTAGCCCCCCCCCCCAAGGCCAGTTGCCCTTTTACCCCAAATTTGGCGACTATTGAGCACCCCCCCCCCCCCCCATCCCATCCCAACCTGCCCCTATCATGTGCGCATATCGGAAGAAAAAATTAATAAACATTTCAAAGGTAATTTCAGAGGTGGTTTGATTTTTTCTTTTCTTTTTTTAGTTCACCATAGTTTTTATTCGGTTATTTCAGTTCGCTAGTATCTCGCATCAAGCAAAGAGGAGATCCCCTACTTCGCTGCTATTTTTGGCTTAAAATTGCTTTTTATGACGTCAAATGATTAAAAATCATCAAGTTTTGGTATGTTTATATTTGCATATATTAGCATAATTAATATTATTGATATTAAATCCATAATAAACTGAGATTTTCAGCTGGGGCACTAAAGTCCGGGTTTGCCCATCTATCTAGTGTGCCCTCAAAGTTGTTTTCGTCTGTTAATCAGAACCATACAGAAGTAGCGACCGGAAGACCGACAGGACTACCTTTTCTTCCGTATACTGTTGATGTTGATGTTGAATGCAAATGCATATGGACTAGAGAGTGGGAAAAGGAGACCAATCACCAATAGCAATGGCTCAAGTTCTACTGTGCGGAGCGAATTTCGGTTTCCTATTTCATGAAAATGCCAACAATTCTATAATAATTAAGATTAGAATAAGATCTATGGAACTAGAAGTCTAAATTGGTTGGTTTTAACTAGTTTTAACAAAATAATAGTAAAACTTAAGAAAGAAGAAGAATCTAGTTGATGCGCTTATCATGCCAAAACTTGAGTTAAAACTTAAACCCAGAAATGACATTGTGGTGCCGAAATATCAATTCTCAATCAAATTACAAATGTAGGTGACTTTACTTGTCCCAGTACTTGTTAAAAAGTTGGCATGATTATAAATTTACAACCATTGCAAGCAAACCACTATCAAAATGGCTTGCAAGATATGGTTTTATGGTGCATCTGTAACACAATTGAACACAAATTCTTTCTGAATCTTTGAGTAGAGTTGAGTCAAGTAAACTGATGGGTCAATGCTGATGGTTTAATGCTGATTAAGGTCATTGGATGTTGATTCAAGCCAATTTAGAACAGAGTGGTCTTTAAAGTTAGGCTTTACTCTAGCCCTTACAAGTTACAACACTGCCCACTCATATCGTTTAAAACATAGTGTAACAGTCTTTAGCATCTATCGCCTCACATTTGTTTTCATTTCTTCTTTATGCAGGCCTATGGCTTGGTATTGAGTGGGACAATCCTGAGAGAGGTAAACATGATGGCAGTCATAATGGCACTCAATACTTCCAATGCAGGTAAATATCATAATACTATTCATCACATTAGGTTTTATTTCGTGTCTGAAGCTCGTTACTGTTGCTATGTTAGTTTAAAGGGAAAAGAGGTTCATTAACCCTTTAGCACCTACAGGTAATATGCCCACTGCTCTGTAGCAATTAACTTACTGAAGGAAATCAAACAGGCCTTAACATTTCCTATATATTTATGAAACTGTTAAAAATTAGATTAAATCTTCTTGAATGTGACAAAAGCAGATACAGTCTCTTCAATGTCTCATTGACTTATTTATTTCTTCTAAATATGGGGCAAGATTTAGAAACAAATTGATCTTGAATGTTACTGCTAAATGAACTCCTTTACCATCTCTGTCACATCCATCCAGCTCTCCAACAAGTGGTTCCTTCTTGCGCCCAAAGAAAGCTGATCTTGGCATTCAATTCCTAGATGCAGTTTCTTCCCGTTACATTCCAGAGAACATTGAAACAGCAGATGTAGAAGACTCCTTGGTCGTCAGCTGCAAGGCAGTAGAGATGGTGGGGGCAGAAAAGATAGCCAGAACACAAAGGTAGGTCTCAGTGAGGTTCTTAAGTTTTCTTTGCTCTTTGTTTTGAAGGTGCTGTTGATCATGTAACACAAAATGGGAATTGGTTGACTCTAGACGTATCTCACTCTCGATTTCTCTCTTCTGATTCTTTGAGGAGTAAATAGGAAGTGATCCCTGACACTTTTCATTTAGATGATCTTTCAGTGAAATGAAATTCTACTATTTCAACAAGCTGTTGGTGTATTTGGGCATTTTTAAATGACTTCTCTGTGTTCCATTTCTGTTTTAGTTCCTTTGAAAATCTGAAGTCTGTGGCCCTACATGAGATGAGAATTAGCAGAGCTGGAGATGAGAAGGTTGCTGACAAACTGCCGAGTATCCTTTACTTTATTTCACTGTAAATGTTGTCCATTCTTGAGCCAGGCACCCATTTTTTCTGTGTTCTATGAATTTCTAGCATCTACCCACAGTTGTATCAGAAGCTTTATTCTATTTAGTCTATGGCAGATAAACTGTAAAAGTAAGGATCAGGAAGCCCCCCTACAAGAAAGCAGGCTAAAGCTTCAGAATATTTGATATATTGTATTGTTACATCGCAACATTGGGTACAGGGGTAGGTTCTAACATTGTACCTTTTTTGTTGTTGGAAAATGTAGTGTAATATATCACAGGATTATATGGTACAGTGTAATGACATAGACACTTACATTACTGACTCTTGTGTGAATATGCACTTTTTGAATAAAGGAATTAAGAAAATGACAGTGCTCAACTTTTATTAAGACTCTACCCGTGCTGGCTATCTTCTTAAAATATGTATATGGTATTTAATAAGATAATGTTCAAAGAAATTAATAGGTTGTAACAATGGTGTCGTCATTTCTGTTCAGGTATATCAACATTTATAGAAGTATTTCATTTATTGTTATATTTTCCTGACGTTATTAAATTTAGATATTACAGGCCTTGAGGTCTCACAAAACCTGCTACCATCCTGGGAAGAGCTATCTAAAATCACCAGTAGCATGCAAAAACTAAAAATCTTAGATGCTAGGTAAGTACAGTAATTGTAGCCATAATACATGATTAGATTTCATTGATATGTTGTAAATGTAAATGTTTTGAAGTAATATTTAAAAACTTGATCGATTTTCTACCAGTAATTTATTATTCTCTCTGGCTTTATAACACTCTTTATAGTTTTTGTCATGCCTCTCTGTTTTATTATTTTTCTCATGTTCTCCCTTCTATCCATTGGCATTTTCTTTTTCCTCCTTCTCTATCTTCTCTTTGTACTCTTCTCCTTTAAACTCATCTCTTATATCTTCTCACCTTCCAATTTAAGCTTTTATATGCTGTTTCTCATAGTTATACATTTCCCTTCCTCATTCTCTCCCTCATCCAGTTTACTTAATTATTCATATTCCCCACTTTTTTCCTCCTTTTTTTCTTCGTCGTCATTCCTTTCTTCCTCCTTTTCCAGCTCCTGTTTCTGCTTCTCCTCCTCTTCCTCCTTCAATTCACTTATTAATTCATCTTGATCATCTATATTTTTTTCTGCATTTCAGTGAAAACAGATTAGCTATACCTACCAACCCGTCTAGTTTGTGTTCTGCCTTCTGTGCATTAGAAGAGCTCTTCCTTAATAGATGTAATGTCACATGGAAAGAGGTAAGATGAAACAGAGTTGTTTAGTGTTGTGGAAACAATCAGTTGAAATAGGAAGTTTAATTGTGATATAAGCTGAAAATATCTGATGTGATCAAGACATATCTAACGCAATTGAAAATTTGAAATTAAATTTTCTTTTTTTCTTTTTAAAGGAAAATATATGTATATATTTGTTTTGGATTTGCTGTATTGATTTGTTTGTTGTAAACAAAAGGAAAGACAAAAATACAAATAAAGTAAAATAATAGCACTACGTGAACATGTAGGTATATTGATAAATGGAAATGTTGAGCATCCTTTTTATATTTTTGAACAATGCTATCCTTTCAAATTTATTTACAAGTGAAAATATTTCTTTCAGTGTAATGAAGGATGATTTAATGAAGACTGTTAAACTTATTTCTAATTAAGATTGTTCTCATTTAAATGTTTCATTTCATAGTTGCTGATCTCTGCACCCATGTGGCCTAAGCTCAAGAACCTTCATGCATGCTTCAATAGAATATCAAATCTTGAAAGGTAAGAATAATTGCTGTTAGTTTTGATGGGGATACAATTTTCCTTTTTAGGTTTCCTAGTCCTTTTCAATGCCAGATTATATGACATTCTTGAATGGTGATCCTATCATTGTGTTTCTCTGCAATTTAGAATAAAAACTATGTACCACATTAATTTGAATGAATAAATACATCACATTGATACTAATGAATATGATCATAAGTGGAATACAGCAAGAAATGCAGATTCATGTTTTTTGCAGTACATAATAATGAATATGTTAAATGTTCCTGAAATGTACAAAAGATCAAATACATGAATGTGAATGTACTGAATTATTGCACATTATGCAGTTTCCATGCATTTAACCTATAGATATATTGAATGTGATTAATTATGTCTCATTATGTCTTTGTCTCTCGCTCTCTTACTCAATCTCTCTCTCCCATCTCTCTCTCTCTCTCTCTCTCTCTCTCTCTCTCTCTCTCCCTCTCTCCCTCCTTCCATCCCTCTCTCTCTCTCTTCCTTTATCTTTGCCTTACTCTATACAGACCAGCAAAAGGCACATTTGATCACCTTGAGTTGTTGAACATGGAGGAGAATCAGATAGAATCATGGGAAGACGTCTTACAGCTTGGTCACTTACCAAGGTAAATTTCTTTAGAATATTTCCTCGGGATGATATGAAATATTGAAGGATTAGATAGCAACCATCCTTGGAACCTGCAGCTTTCAGTTTTTATCTATAATACTAGGTTATTATGGACTATGTGTTGTACTGAATTGCATTACCTGACCTGGATTTTGAACTTGCAAATAAAGTGTGTGTGAGTGAAATATGTTCCCATGTAAAGACATTTCATGTTAATTTAGGTTAATTATACTTCAAATCTTCATATACACCTTTAGAAAATATGATGAAAGGTATTATGCTCTGATATATAACTTAATATTACATCTGAATTTATTTGCACTACTTTGCAAAGCAGTAATGATTCTAATTCTCTCTTTGTATTTGCCTGCAGGTTAGAAGGCCTCATACTGAATAGCAACAGCATTTCAAATATAAGCTTTGATGATGCCCCCTTAGAGGGAAAGACAAAGTACTTCACAAGTCTGAAGTCGCTTTCTCTTCACAACAATAGATTGAGTGAGGTAAGACTCCAATGATGCATTCAACCATCATCAATTCGATGTAGATCTCTTTGAATGTCAGTTTGCATATGTATTAATATTTTTCACAGGTGCAAAGAGAGGTTGTTTTGTAAACTTTTGTTCACATTCTCTACAGATTTATTTGTATTATGGAAATGGCTAATATGAAGTAGATCAAGTAGACAACCCTGGTGCTTAAATGTAAAATATGTGTTAATGCATGACACAGCAGTGGTGTGATGGAGCTTTTTTATTTTCATTGAGGAAGTAAAACGGCATATTGAACTACAAGTATATAACGATATATCGTTTTAACTGGCTGTGAAATTGATAAACTGTTACCAAAGGAGTTATGAAGCCATCCAACATTTATATCTGCAAATGGAAATGAAATTTGTTTGATTATATTGCATTTTATTATCATTTTTAGGAAAAGAGCATATCAGATGTGTATAGATTTTTCAATAAGGAAATAGTCTAAGCTCTGCATGTTTGCCATTGTACATTTTGTACAATTTATTTTTCATATTTTTTTCTGTTTAGTGGAAGAGTGTGAACGAGTTGAACAAACTACAGTGCTTAGAAGAATTGAATATGAAACGGAATCCTCTGGTACAGAGCGAGAAAGCATCCACCGTGAGAGGTCTAATGATTGCAAAGCTGCCATCGTTGCGTCACTGCAATCACAGTGCTGTGAGTTGGAATGAATTATTTTTTGCATTATGATTCAAGGTCTCTAATTTCAGTTGAAAGGAATGGATGACTTTCCTTTTCATTAGTTATCGTATTTTGTGGCTATTGCCATCTCCTTTCCCCATCATCTCTCTATGTCTCTCGTTCTCTTGCATTCTCCAATTTCTATTAATTCTTATCCGTCTTTCTTTTTTTCTTGAAATTGTTGATGATCTGTTTGTCATATTCTCTTTCTCTGGTTCTCTTTCTCTTCTACCCATACCTATGAGTATTGTTCTAAAGGAAAGTTCATGAATTGTGATAAACAATGTAATTTGCCTGCATCCCTGAACATTATGTGCGGTTACAGCTTGATGTGTAGCTTTAAAGCAAATAACTATTCATGAACATTCCATAAAATGTACTTTATTGAGCTCATAATCAACAAAGTAAAATCATTCTAGATTTAGAAATGTGATAAGATAGTGATTGGATAACTGTGCCATTATTTTGAAATAGACATATGTTTATAAATGAAATATATCCATTAATCCTTATCATACCTTTCTTTATGTTCCAGGTATCAGATGGTGAGAGGAAAGGTTCAGAAATTGACTACATGAAGAAATACCATGAGGATTGGCTGAAGAATGGAGGAGGAAAGGATCAACCTGACTCGAATCTTCAAGCAGATTTCATCAAAAACCATCCCACATATACAGCTCTTATCAAGAGTAAGTCAGTCTTTGATACCGGGAGGTGTGATGTGTTTCTTTTATATAGGAGGCAAAGAAAAAAACATTATAATATTTTAGTTTCCAAATTCTGTTAAAAGGTGTTTTTCTCTTCTTTTTTTCCCTTGAGCAGAATTGAATCTTAATTAGAAATGTCCTGTGTTTGTCTTTATTCAAATTACTCCTGGAATTTCTTTCTCCTCTCAAAGTAATAAGTACTTTGAAAATCATAATAGAAACCCTACTTTTTAACTCAAATTACAACAAATCCATTACAACTTTGTATACAATATTGCAAAAGAAAGAAAGGCTTTGTTACATGTAGTAAATAGTTTGCATGATATTTCCATTTTTGTTTTAAAATAATCCTATAGAGTATGGAGCTCCTGAAGTGAGTGATGACTCTCAGACTAAACCTGGAGCTTTGAAATCTTCCCTGCTTGAATTGATTTTAAGCTGCCCTCAACATGCATCCAAGAAGTCTATCAAGAAAAAACTACCAGGTATGCTCACAGTCATTGACCGGACATCAGATTATAATGGGAAATCGACATTCAACAAATGACTAATACCGCGGAAGCAAGCTTTGCTTGGAATTTAATTAAATTCTCTCTTATTATGGCCGTTTTTGAGAATCAAATGCTATTCAGTAGAAAACTGATTTGTGAAAATTGTTTATTGTATGAGTTATATCTGATATAATTAAAGCATTTTTGGGTGTTAAATTATTAAATTTTAGTGTGTTCATGAACTGGGAATGCAATATGAGAAGTACATTTTTCATTCATTGTAGGCCTCGTTGTTACATTTATATGATAATATATATTTATTCAATCCTTCTCATTGTTATGTGTCCAACAGTGATTAGTTCAATACTACCAGCTCTATTTGTTAGGTTCATTGTATGTAACCGTGTTCATTTGTTTAATGGATCTTGCCCTCAGTGTAAATGGCAATCAAACCCTTGTAATAATTTAATTTGTATGAAAGCGGACAAATAAGAGAAACAGAATATTGATTTTTTTTTTTTTTTTTAATCAGACTAATAATAAGAAAGTTATGAGTGTTTTGAGTGTCTCAAAATATATTGTGGGTAGCATGTTATTGAGGTTCTCTTGAAAGAAAAGACCCTCCTGAGTCATACATTTTGAAAAATTGACATTTTATTCATTATGTGTGTTGGATCAAATAGGAAAGTTTCCTGGCACTTTGTCATTAAATTTTCTTATTTTTTGTCTGATTTTGTTCACCAATCTGATTTTCCTGCTTTCTTTTGGAGTAGTTTACTACTAAAGTTGGATTTAGGAATCTCTCTGTCTGTTATTTTTTTTCAGTCACCATGGATATCACAAAAGTCAAGGGAATGATTCAGAAACTCTTCAAAGTAGATGTTGCTGACCAGAAGCTTTTCTACCTAAGTCCAAAGGTATGATACTCAACAATTGTTTTAACAGTAACAGTAAATAAGCTTGTGCCATTAGTCTTTCTTTCTTTTATCTTTTTTTCCCTTCTAAATAAATAATCTTTATGTCCCTTCTTTTCTTTCTCCTTCTTATTAAAAAAAAAAAAAAAATCCATTTTAAAATTCTTTCTATTTCCATTGTTATAAGCCATTTCATTTGATGTGCCTTGCCAAGCCAGATTGATGCAGTCACTCTCATTGTGTCAGCATTGCATGCCATATTGTATGTGCTTTGTGTATAAAGTCTATGCAAATTTGCACCCATGGCCCAGTAAATTTTGATCGGAAGGGTGATAAAAAAATCCCTACTCAAAACATTCAACCAAACAGTATATGATGTACACTGCTCCAGAGTACATTGACATGAAACTATTTTAAAAGCACAGCATTTTTTATACATGCACCCTGTTCTATAACCTAGTTTGTGAATAATGAACAGAGAATCAAGTTTCAGTGTAGGGTATCTATAGGAGATAACAAATAACTTAACATTTTGTCTGCCTTTTTTTCTATTCTATATTTTGTGTCTACAGTTGCCAGACCAGGAGATTCCACTAGATAATGACCTGAGGCAGCTGGGTTTCTTTGGAATTGAATCTGGAAACACGATTATAATCAGATGGTGAACACTTAAAGGGACAGTATTGAATGTACCAGTAGTGTAGTTTCTTGAGAGTCTGTGGGTGTGTGACACCATCGTGGAAATGAATGTGAAACACAATTATGATAAGGTGGTGAAAGCTTTAAAGGGACATAACAATTATAAGAATGACTACAACAACAACAGCCACTGTTCTTATACAGAAATATCATATTATGGTATGGTCATACTGTGACCCATGGTCATGATGGAGACTGCAAGAGACAATGCAAGAGTGAATGTGGTCCCATGAATGTGATTATGCGAATTTGGCGACATGAATTTGGTGTCATAAAAACAAAACGTGATACTGATGAAGAAAAATTTGTATCTGGTAATGTCATTATAATAAGTTAATGGTGACTTGAGAAATGTGGTCTAAAGAGTCACCATAATATCATCTTTTGAATATAGTTACATAATGATTGTAACCTGATTGAGACCTTAATGACCCCCATGATATCAACACAAGTGTTGAATATGACCTTTTTACTTATTTGATTGATCAAAACAGATTTCTGCTTGGAAATCATTCATATCTATATAAGCAAATAATTACCGTTGGTGAAGGTGACGGGACAAACTATCACTTCTGAGGCGATCTGGATGTTTTGCTTCGGAAAGATAACGTATTCATTCAGACCGCAGAGGAAGTGATAGTTTGCCATCGGCTGAAACCAAAAGGTGATTATTTGCTTTATATTCCACATCGGAAACATTTCACTTCTTCCATCATTTTTTAGAGCAACAAGTCATCAATTAACAGCTAGCAAACGGTGTACGATATGTATAGTGCATGCAGTATGGTGGTACTGGTGACCATAGTTTGTGTGTGACCAAAGTTTGCGTACTAACACTAAAAGCGCTTAAAGAGGAGAGCAATACGCAATGTATACAATTGGATAGTACTACTATCTATGCAGTGCAACACACTTTCACTGTAGATAGTAGTACTTTCTACAGTGTAACAAACTTTTCTTCTCCCATCAACGATGAGCGAACTATCTTTCATCACATGATTTAGTTCTAACCAATCGTAGAGCAAGATTCTTAGTATGTGGAATATAAATGAGAATAGCAGTATGCAGATAGTATTCTTGATCTGTCATCCTCCCTATGATCAACTAAAGATTACGTAAGGCAGATCTATGCACACAAGGAATATTTTCAATTCAAAACTTGATGAATGTGCTTGTCAGCATATCTTAGAGTGACTGTATTGTGCAACATATTTATTTGTTTATGTCTCCTCTTTCATCAAGTTTCTGTTTCATCTGTCCCTCCATCCATTTATTCTTTGATTTTTGTTGTTGTTACAGTGAGTCAAGTTGAGAACCTATGAAAGGAAACCAACTAAACTTGAAAGATCAAGTCGAATCCAACTCAGATTTGACAGAGTGTGGATACTAAATTATTTTGTTTTGCTGTCCATTCATGTCTCATGCCAGAATTCATTTTAATGACAGAGTTAACCGAACCTGCATGGGCAGGAAGTGTAATACTAATCAAGAGAAGTGATCACACTGTTGAAAAGACACATAAAATATTTACTCTGTTGGACAGGACTTGTAACTGCAAGTATCCTGGATGTGTTTCCACCTTCTTATAAGGAGCTTTGGGCTTCTCTGCAGACTGATTTATAGTTTGTTATGTTTAATATATGTACATTTAACAGTCTTATTTATAACGGACATAATGATCTATTAACCTATTGGTTGTGTAAGATGCTGTACAAAAAATATTGTGTAAAATTATTGTGCGATGTCAATAAAGTCTGTTTATCAAAGTATTTTTCTTGCAAGTTGTGCAATCTTTCAGCAACAGTCAGCCCACTTCAGGCATAGCAGGTAAACATAAATGACAAAACTTTTCCAAAACAATGAAAACACTGACAAGAAAATTGTACAATTCACATCTTCTGTATCATTTATTGTATATTCATAAAATGAAACGAAAAGAAAATCAGAACAAAAATTATTAAGTAGTATAATTTGTATTTTTTGTATTATTCATATCTACAGTGTATAGCTGAGCACTGTCTTTTTTTCAAAATTAAAAACACTGCATTCAAACTCGAGACATTACCACTAAAATGATAGAACTTGGGTGAACCATGAGGTGAATATGATGTTAAGGAGTACCCACTGTGGAACCAAGGTATAACGGTATGCACAATATTTCAAGAGGATGATATGTCCAATAAACCCACGAAAATCATTGCATTCATGTAAACAAAAAAATCAAGCTCTGGGTAATATACATATTGATTGACTTTCCTTTCACTAATGTTACAGACATACCATTCTCCTATGTTACTTTGATTTCAGAGTTTACCATATCTTGAGGGTATCAGTTACTGCTAGGAATTTGCGCTGTTTGCTATTTCAATAGGGTAGATAATTGTTTATGATTATCATTTTCATAAATAAATTAAAATAGCAATTGTTTCATTCATTACAAATTACCAAAATTGACTTTAGAGTGGAGGGGTAAAAATGGCAATTGAAAATATATATGCGTTCCTGTCTTACATCCATCACACATTGACATAACAGATAAATTTGCAATTCAAGCTTGCATGATTTTTCTGTTGAAAGAAAAATCAAGTCTCATCAAAATACTGCAAGCCAATAGTGTTTCAAAAAAACTTTTTTTCTTCTTCAAACGAACCAACTACGGCAAATGCAATACCAATTTGGTTGATTGGTTGATATCAATCAGCACACTTCAGATGCCCATTTTCTGTGATTCAATGCCCTACACCTGGTTTGCAATGGCCAGCATACACACGTAACATAACATGTTATGTTTGATTTAGAGGCGTCTTTCATTAATGCTTACTGATGCTACACTTAGTTGCAATTTGTAGAAAATCAAGATAGCAAACTGCAATGGACCCCTTATCCCAAACAACTAGGTACATGTATATATTGTTTTAATTTTTCGATCACCATTCGTTTTATACGCGTCATGTGTATTGTGCATTTGAATGGGCTGTAGCAAAGGGCATCTACGCATGGTGTCTGCATTATCAATGAAAATGAACCAGATTTTAGAATTGCACTAAAGTCTGCCTCTCATCTCCTATAAACCATGCAGATGTATAATATAAAATTTTCATCAATCAGTCTCCATTTGTGATTTATTTGGTTAAAGAGAGATAGCCATGAATATTACATTCCCATTATATAAGCCATCCCTGCAATAGATGAAAGAATTCACAATCCCTATGATCATTTATTTATTATTTCCCTTGTTATGTATTCAGATGAGATTTGATAACAACATTTGTTCAAGTTATCTCATGCATTGCAATATGAACGCAAAAGATTAGGAGGTGGATGGATGTATTAAAATAATAATCCTGCACATTTTATTCATTGTATTTTAGTTTTGATTGATAGAATGCAAATCCAGGAGTGGGTGGAAAATATTGAAACTACATCAAAAAGTTCTAAATGAGTGTTAGTATTTAATCTGCCACAAGGAGTAAACAAAGCTAAATTAATGTTATTGAAAACCATTACACATTTAATTCTACACATGGACGAATGACAAAACGTTCTACATAGGCTCTACTCGACATAATTTAATATGTAGAGCCCAAGAGTTAGTCCCTGCATGAACAAATTGTCTCACTTTACAAGTAGAATTCATTGCTAGTCATTATTCATGTAGACATTTATACACTATGCACAATTCCAGTATCTTTTCACGTTAATTTACAAATCGATCATAGTCAATCAGATATACATATGAATTCTTACATAATTCCTGGATTTAAAATGAGTAATTTCTAGTCGAGCCACGGGGGGTAGTATAGCGTGTAAAAAAAGCTAGCCTTTACAGAGTGCATTGAATATACTACATTTTTTTTCATTTTGGCATCGCATGTTCGCTTCAAACGATACATAATATGCATAAAATGCATATAGAGGTATGCTGTAGGTGCAAGAGGAACTAGCAAAAGATTAACTGAAGATGTATTTCATGCATGTTCCTTTATACATGCAAACAAAACACCAAGTACATAACTATATATATATGCGTTAAGAATATAAAAATAGAGTATGTTGCATGACACTGACTCAGGTAGGGTGATGTGCAACTTCTTACTTCTAGTTAGAGCACAGAAATACATGTACATAGTTGGATGTAAAGGAAGTGTACTGACACAGGCATTATTCCGAACAATCTTCTGGGAGTTAGAATTAGATAGCTAACCTTTGACCCCTGACCTCTGAGCTGAGTACTGTCTACATTATCCATCTATTTTTCTCTTCAATTTATACCGAGTGTGAAAGATAACATTGGCCTACTGGGGTTTTATGGGTTAAAATCCCATTAGAGTGTAGTTTCCATGCAATTTCCCTTTTCCATTCCGTGAGAAGTAATTAAATTACAAATAGATGAATCACCATTTTATGATATAAATAGCAGAAAGAAATATAATATTGCAAAGATGGCCCCTAGTAACCATGGTGATAATCTGGAGCCTTGATTTGGGGGTAACTAATAAAGAAATGAATTAGAGATAGGTTGTTTTGAACTGTTAATCACAGATTAAAGTACTACAAGTAAAAATGCATACACATGTATGATGTTATAAAGTGGACTGAAAGAAACTATCTATGGTTACAGATGAAGATAAATAATATGATAAAAATCTCCTACAAATATTCAAAACACACATTACAACAACAAAAATAATAAAAATTAAATAAAATAAGGAAGCAAATCTCTGAAATAAAGAGAATTCACATAGTATGGCTGTCTTTTGGACTAACGTGTATCTCAAATGAGGCATTTTGTACAAAAGGAATACAGATGTTCCAAACATAAGCTAATACACTGATTTTCACAATAAAAAAGAAACCTACCAACTTCCACGCAAAATTCAACAACAGCTATCAAAATATCTTAATGAATTGCTTTTACATGTATACAATGCACTCGCTCATCCATCTATTATCGAAGACATAATATGAGCCATATCAAGAGAGTGAGAGAGAATTAGAGAGAGTGAGAAAAGCACTCTTGATTAAACTCTTCACATATACGATGATTCACATAATTGATTATCTGAATGAATATGCTAGGCAACATTTTAAAACATTCCGAAGTTTCAATAATATTGATGATGCCCACACATTTCGCTAACAGGAGTAAAAATTGCTCCTGATAATTCAATCTGTACATATACATATGGAATAGCGTAGTGAGAATAAATTACAATCGAAGAGTAATGTACACATTTCAGAAGCCACCTATAGTGGCCGGTCCATAAGAATTAATGTCTACGAGCAGCAAAACTCAATTGAAAACAAAACACAGGTATGCTTGTATCATTCTGAACAATTTCGTGTTTTATAATAAAATTGAACGTGACATCCTGAATAATTCTTGATTCACGTTCACAACTCCCTCCTCTATCATTTATAATATCACATCAGAAGTTACTAGCTCCGTAAAACCATGTTTGATTTCCAGTTGGCCACAACTGGACAGACTAGCTACAATACACACTTCATACACACGATTATTCAATTATTCATATACAGACAAGCAAAATGACTTATGAATAGCATGAAAATATAAGAAGCGCAAGGGTTCTTCTGTATATGCAGAAACAAAATCCTGCTCATGGTAAGAAAAAAATGAAAAGAAACAATAATTTACTAACCTAAATAATTGTTTATCTACACCATAGCCATTCTACTTTTTTTTGTTAAATACACCCATAGATACTTGTAAACATTTCTGGAAATGCGACACATAGTTGCTGTATGATAAAAAGGTGGGGAGAAGGAAATACACACATTCTATTCAGACAATGATAAGAGTTTGATTGTTTGCGTTGGTTCCTCTGCAACTAATGATGTTTCACAATGATGATATGTAAGTCAGTCAAACCATCAATCTGGCTCCATATCTATGCAAGGAGAGCACACAGTTTTTAGTTTCCTCTCTTCTTATCAATCATGTGCAACTAACCATTGCTATCACCTTCTCATCACAGAGAGGTGCTCACTCTGCTGGATTCACACTCACTTTGCGATCAAAGCTGTCACGCGAGTTGCATCGAGGAGGAGGGGAAGTCATTCACACGCTGTACACTGACATACATTTTAACTGGGGATGCAGGCAGGGAGTGATGCTCAGACAAAGACCTTGGCTAGGGCATCTGCTCCCCCGCTAGCGATGTATGGCTTAGAGGGGTGGAAGGCCACATCAAATATTGATTCATCAAACTTCTTGCGATGGGAGGTGATTTCTTGGACGCAAGTTTTACTATCAAGGTTCCAAAGTCTGATTGAGCTGTCGTGACCTGCAAAACAATATACAATATCAAATAGATAGTATTATGACTTTTCTTAATGATTAGAGAGAAAATGGATCCACCCTAAATTATGTATAATTATGTCTGAAGCTGAATGTTATATTTCCACTAGATAGATGGGAATTTGAACAGGGGACCTAATGTAGATATTAATAGATCAAACTGGGACACATGCGATTACAGACATACATACTCTCTAGACAAATCAAAATGAATATTTTAAAGGTACAAAATATGCATCAAAGCATTTGGAGCAAGAAATACAGACTTGTATTACAAAAGGAGGAAATGTTATTATATCCACAACCTCTATTCTTTAGAGTGGTACATGGTAAAAATCCTTTGAGTTTGACCTCACAAGGACTAATCATTCTGAAACATATATGACATAATGAATCTTGAAATCTTGAAAACGAATGCACAGAAACAACAGTGGATACACCCAAGCAACGATTTTAAGATGCAGTCCATTGCTGTCTTGTGAGTGGGAAGGACATTTAGAGGTAGAATCATAGGACTTACTTCCAGACAAGAGGTAGAGTCCATTAGGGTCCACAGCCAAGCAGGTTACTGCATCCAGATGGGCCACCATACTGTGAACCATTTTACCTGAAAACGACAGAAAGAGATAGAACAGGTCTTTCAAACCTTGGATTTTCAATTCTAAATCTGCATCAATTGATCACAGCATCTCTAAATACATCCCCTCATTTGGTTAATCTTACCTTACATCTCTTTCTATCACTTCTTATTTATTGACTGTTTTATTCGATAATAAACAGCTATTAACATGAACAAAATTAGGTTTCACTTGGTTGATGCTTTGTAACAGTGTAAGTTAATGCATTTATGTGTATTCATAGTAGCAATGAAATTGTAATCCACTTCATTTCATTCCATTCTGCTCCTTTTTTAATTATTTGTATGTTTTATTTACTCAAATATTTTGCAAATTACAAATTCGTAATGTAAACCACATAAACAAACAAACAAATATTCTTTACTACCTGAAGAGCATCTGCCCTACAGACCGAGACCCTTTCTCACGAGTACTTACCACTATTATTATCAAAGAAGCGAATATGCCTATCTTCATGTGCAGTGATAGTGACTGGTAGAGTTGGATGACTGGCTACACTGTTGATCTGACTAGTTGGGCTATCTGTATACCAAAGAACAACAAATGCACTTGTTATTTCTCACATTCTACACATACAGTATAAGCTATTAAATGCACTACTCAATGCATAGCTTGAATTTTTGTTTTACACCATTACTAAATATTGAACATCATCATCATTATCACCATCATCAGTAGCAACTGTACCACCATCACATTCAACATCATCCTCCTCCTCATTTTTCATCACCACCACCACCATTCTCATCCTAACCATATCATCACCACTATAAATATCACCATCATCATTCCCTACTACCACTACCACCACCCCTGAGATTTTTACTACCACCATCATTCAACATCATCATTATTATCCTTATCATTTTAACTATCAACATCATCATCCTTACCTGAGGGTAACCTACTGTCCAGCGTAATGACTTTCTTTGCAGTCTCTAGATCATACACAGCCACATCAGCTGATGAAAAGCCCACTGTGATCTGACTCGTGTCACAGCGCACAAAGTCCACTGAGGTGGGCACTCCAAATGCTGTTTAAAAAAACAAAGAATAAAAAAATGCTATATAAACATTTGATTTCTGGCTCTATGTGTATACCTCAGTATAGAAGAGTACAGAGTATAGAAGTAACAAAAGAACAAAAAATGTCAATAAACTTCTAGAAGAGGAGGGGGAGGGGAGAAGAAAAAAAGAGATGGGACAAGTAAATCTAGCAAATATAATCAAAAATGCATGTTTGATCCTGCAAAATTAAAAAATGCAAAAAGTGTGTAACTGTTGGTCGTTGATTATATCCCACATTTACTCCATGAAGTGCTTGATTATAGGAACAAAGACATGCCCTGTCATTCAGTAATAATTATCTTATTATTGATGTGACAGGTGATTGGTTGACAGGTGTAACATTGACATATGCATAACTGACAAGAGATTGATTGACAGGAGCTTTGATGTCATACCTGTCTCTGCTGTGATGGTGGTGAGGAGGGGTGACTTCTTGCCCGGACTCCACAGCTTGACCGTACCGTCAGATGAACAAGATACCAGGCTGTTCTTAGTCCCATCGTATGACAGACCCCATACAGCATCACTATGACCTACATAGGTCTCAGCCATTACTGATGGATCTAAAAGAAGCACAGCATAATTTGATTAACATACGCAGCTATTTGGAGACAATCTTGTACCATGACAGGTATTATCATGCTGATTGTAATAATATTGCGGCAATATGAACAATGTAATTTTCTGCTGATAGAAACTTGTATACTTTGCAAAATTCAATACACTTTTTCTTTTCAAAGCCTTCCCAAATCTCTGCATTACCCCCATTTTTACAAATGTCTCCTTTCTCTTCCCCTGCCTCAACTTTCTACTAGGTTCTATTTTCATTCTCTTTTAATGCATATCAACATATTATGACCAATACAATTAAATTAAAAATAATAGAATTACTGGGATATTGACTGAATGAATGAAATTCTTGGGCCAAAAGTCCATGTCTTTCACCATATTTGGTCCTCTGAATAAATAATTAACAAGTGAATCACAAGTCTGAAACATCACAGATATTTTCTTCACCAAACAGAAACAAGATATGCCACTTTAAGTGTTGAAATCATTTCCATTCAAATCATTAGGTCACATCTTCCATATCCTTACTCTATTGTGCTAATTCAAATAGTTCTGTTATTGAATTTATCAGATTACATACCATACAAGTCATAAGGATCAATGTTTGAACCAGGAATATTCCAACATCTAATGGAGGAGTCCATTCCACCACTGAAGCATTGCTCTCCATTACTGCTGACTGCCAAACTTAGAACAGCCCCTCTGTCAAATCAAACAAACATCCAATTATCATTAGCATACTAAGCCCCCACACTGTGATATATCAAGAATGGGATACAGAGCTAATCAGGTTGAGAATGGTTGATGATTCAAGGTGCATGATTTCCAACACTAATGGTGAATAATGATTACGCTATAAGAATCTAAAAGAAACTTGAATGTTATATAATGGTTTCTATTGGAAATCAATCAGGATTCTTTTTTTTTCTTTTTTTTTACCTAGGCATATATATTTCATATCTTACATATTTTAATATGTGAAGAAGATAAACCACTTCATACGACGGCAAAGTACTTTTTTTTCAATTCCCATGAGATAAAGCCTGAATATAATCTATACTATATCACATAAGAATGAATCAGAACATTAGAAATACTGTACTTACACATGTCCTCTGAATGTATAAATAGGTTCCACATCTAGAGAAGCAGCTCTGGAAATAAATGTTTAAAAGAAAGATTGTATGAATAAATAGCAAATATTGAGAATTAAAACAATATTTCTTCATAATTTGAGAAGAAAAGACATAGATAAAAATAAAAAGGTCTCCATGATGCAATCATCAAAGCTTCATAACATGTTCCTACAAGCTAGAAGGAAAAGCTTTAGGTGTGTCCCAAAAGAGAGATTTTACAGATGACAAGATAGCAATTTAATACAACAAATGACTGCTTAAAATGTTCTCACGTTTTTTTCCAAACCAAAATCTCAATCAAATACTCACTTTTTAGCTGGGACTGTCTTCTGTAAATTCCATAGTTTGAGAGTATTATCCTCTGATCCTGTGATAAGGACTGGTTCCTCTGGATGAAATACTAACGCACGTACACCATCAAAATGGCTTCGTAACGTAAACTTAGGATTCCATGTCTTACGAAAGGTCTCCTTGTTTGCTGATATCTGGTGACAAAAATGAAAGCAAACAGAAGTAGAGCGTGAACTTGCATTTACATAAACACAAGCAAGAATTATATATTTTCTTTTTTTACAAAGTAAATCGTATATTATGAAAAGTACCTGTTCTCCCTTTCAAGGGTGAGACATCTCCAGTTCACAACACAATTCAACTCAAAATCAACCCATGTATTCACTGTTGTCCTTGATCATGCCACAAGAAGTAAGAGTTTCCAGTGTGCTACCTTCATTACCCCTGTCATCCCTTTATCATCTGTTGAAAGTTGCAAGTTGCACGGACAATGAGTGAACCCCCTTCTTGTTCATTTACGCCATATCCAAAGTCTTAAAATGACATTCCCTATTTCAGTCTACATAAATGCCTTTTAACCTTTTCATGTCTATTCTTCCTAGAATGGCACCAAGTCTCTTTTATTTTTCAAGCCATCCATGAAATCAAATCCAATAGACAATGTTCCTATCATATACCGGTAATTTGTTTTCATCTAAAACTTACATCATAACTGAGAACATCAGCCTCATTAGTGATGGTCAATCCTGCAAGTTCTCCCAAGCGAAGGGTTTCTAGGGCTTCCTCATCCGCTCCCATGATACCTTGACGGGGTGCTACAGCTACATCTAATCAAACAAATACAACCATCAATATTAAGTCATATTATTTGTAATAAGCTGCCAAAATCCAGATATTGAGTACAAACGCAATGTCTATACAATAATCTGTAATGATACAACCGACAGTCTGACACTTTTAAACACATGGCATTTTATTTCAAGAGTTTTAATTCAAAAATTTGAAAAAAGCAATACTTATTCAATACTTCATAGGTATAGAGATGTACTACTTATGTTATTTCTATGAGCATGACCATCAAATTTTCTCAGTTTAATCATAACTAGATGGAACTTCGACTGCGCGCAGTCGAAAATGATGCCTCCGTCATGGAGCAATTTTACAAACCAAAACAGAAGAAATTTTTCAAATCAATTTCAATTGTAATCCATTATATACATATATGACCCTTTGATCTTTGACCTCATGACCCTAAAATCTACTCAGTTCATTGGCTCTGCAAGATGTCCTGAGTTAAATAGTAATCCATCTGTCAGTTCTAATGAGAATGCGTTCACAAGCTATTTTTGCATACATAATGAGCCCATGACCTTTGACCTTTGACCTCATGACCCAAGAATCTACTCAGTTCATTGGCTCTGCAAGATACATACATGATCTAAGTTTGGCAGGAGTCCATCAATCTGTTCTAATGATAATGCGATCGCAAGCTATTTTTGCATACATAATGAGCCGCATGACCTTTGACCTTGACCTCATGACCCCAAAATCTAATCAGTTCATCGGCTCTGCAAGTAACATACATGACCAAAGTTTGGCAGGAATCCATCAATCGGTTCTTGAGATAACGCGATCACAAGCTGTTTTTGCATACATAATGAGCCCTGTGACCTTTGACCTTTCATCTCGTGACCCCAATATCTAATCAGTTCATCCGCTCTGCAAGATACATACATGACCAAAGTTTGGCAGGAATCCATCAATCGGTTCTTGAGATAACGCGATCACGAGCTGTTTTTGCATACATAATGAGCCCTGTGACCTTTGACCTTTGACCTCGTGACCCCAAAATCTAATCAGTTCATCGGGTCTGCAAGATACATACATGACTAAAGTTTGGCAGGAATCCATCTATCGGTTCTTTAGATAACGCGATCACGAGCTGTTTTTGCATACATAATGAGCCCTGTGACCTTTGACCTTTGACCTCGTGACCCCAAAATCTAATCAGTTCATCGGCTCTGCAAGATACATACATGACTAAAGTTTGGCAGGAATCCATCAATCGGTTCTTCAGATAACGCGATCACGAGAACGGGACGTACGGACGGACGGACGTACGGACGTACGGACGTACGGACGTACGGACGGACGGACAACCCGAAAACATAATGCCTCCGGCTACTTCGTAACGGAGGCATAAAAACAATCAATGCCTAAAACACATATATTGCTTTCCTTCTGTATTCATATATTCTCATTTCATTCTCATATGCAGAGCTGCCAACAACCTTGTGCGCCACAAAAAAGGAACCATGATGGCAAAAAAAAGGAATTTCAAGCAAAAAAAAAAGGAATTCATTAAATCGAAACTTACAACCAGACGCGACACACTTCCGATGCAGAAATGTCCATTCCTCATGCTGTTTTTTCCATACAAGCAGGTATTTTTTTGTGGTATTATTGGCATTTCATTCTTTTTGAGAATATTTTTCTCTTCAAGTATGTTTTAAACTTAGTCTTCTATTGAATTTGTGATCAAATCAACATTCTAGGGCAGTTGTTTGATGTGCGGTATGTAAAAAAACAAAACAACAACAACAAAAAACAACAAACAAACAAACAAAAACAAAAAACCGTATTTTATGAAGAAAAAAACGTACTACTGTAATTTGGAGGAAAAACGGAATGGTTGGTAGCTCTGCATATGTTTCTAATAATACACTTCAAATATGAATTTCCTACCCCACACATTTGTCTGAAATGTATTGGATTTGTACAAACTATTCATGACTGTGTATCGGATTAGTGATTAAAGGGCATCTTGTCTGAAATCTAAGTGGTAAAAGTAGCCTACAGTACCTGAGATAAATTGGGTACAGTCAAACCTGCTTTAGTGACCACACGTCTACAAGGACCACATTTTTTGTTTCCCTTGAAAATGGTTTTTCATTAAAACATGTACTAAAAAAACCTGTCTTCAAAGACCACTTTTTGTGTTTCCCTTGGGCGGTTCCTATAGACAGGTTTGACTGTACCATAGAGATTTCTCTGTGGCTTATCTTACCTGCTTCATCCGTGATATCAATGTCAGCTCCTCTAGATCTTGAGCTGCCTCCTGGTGTGTTACTAGCTGGAGGGCTCACGTCATCCAAGTTGGCTAGCATGGCTTGCAGTGCAGCTTTGTTAGGCCCTGTGTTGTATCAAACAATGGACAATCAAATATAATAATGATCTAGATAATGCTGACATATAAAATCCCATCCCATCCAGGTCCTCACTCAACGATTACTATGTTTACTAATGTTTAGTGTTAAATGACTAAAATTTAAGTTACATTTAAGTCCAACAGATATTTTTGATATTATGTATGTCTACAAATGGCTTGTAAAAGACACAAGAATGCCCTAATAAAATATGAGCTTATTTGCAGGCAGACATAGAATGAAAGGGAAATACTTACGTCTATCAATGCCTTTGTTTCGTCTTGATTTCTTATATTCTTCTTTTAGTTTGTTCAGCATGCCTTGATCTACTCCCCATTCTTCACCAGTTGGTGATAAGTCCACACCTTTCTTGCCTGAAAAAAGGAATGGTAAACATGTAATATTGTCATTCAAAAGAACTGATATTTTAAAAAAGCAATTCATTCATTTACAATTAGACTCATATTCACATTTCATTGTTTTGTTTTGGTAATTTAATACAATTTATAAAATAAAGATTATGCATTGAATATGCTGGTAGAGACTACATGATATTAAATCCACCACTTCCAAATGGGCAATTCCTACACAGCTGTAGCTCATCTCTATGCTGAAAGAGGTAAAAGAAAATCATATGAATAGCCCTTTCCTTTTTATGTTTACACACATCAGATCATTGGTCAAGTCTGAAGGCAAACAGCAACAAAAATGACATCAGTGTCTTTACATAAGTAATTGCAATCGATACAAAATGAATCCAGTGATTAATAGCTCCCTTAATAGTTCTGATACATTCTCATGTGACGTAGTATAGATTATATTCAGGCGTTATCTCATGGGAATATAATGACTTTAAAAAATACCTCTTTATCATCATCATCATCACATTCATCATCGTTGTCGTCATTGTCGTCGTCATCGTCGTCGTCATCATCATCATCATCATCACCATCATCATCACGATTGTACAAGTATAGAAGAAATTAGCTGGTGATCACTTACCAGCACCTATGGTCCATTCAGGTCCCTCTGCTGTCCTGGCCTCTCCAGCACCTTCAGACTGCTCTGCAACCAAGAAATCAAACTCTGCTAGAGCCTCTTCTGTGTCAGGGTCGTCCTCGTCCTCACCCATCCCTGCCATGCCTTCATTACCAACTACCTGCTAGTATAAACACACACATTACAGTGAGATATAGAGAAGTCTGTAGCCATAATATGTCTTCATTAACACCTATTGCTGGGGAAACATAACATGTTGATCACTTGACATTTTTAAGACCATACTATGTATGTAATTATTTTTGCTATTCACACTGATCTTCTGAATTTTTGTTAATACATTCATCTCTTTAGCCCAGACTGTTGTCACGACAACAAGTTTCAACTGCCCCAGGTTAGCTTTGAAATTAGTCCAGCAATGGACCAGCATAACCTGTTTCTTCCTTTGTTTTACGTACAGACAGTGTGAATATACATGCTCTGCTCTAGGAATCCTTACTTTTTTCTTCTTGACAATTGTGCCTGTTTTGCCCCTAGATTCTCTGATGTCGCTCTCATCGTCGGCAGTGATGCCCTCTTCCCCGTCCCCTTCCACCTCTCCGTCATCGTCCAGGGTATCAGAGAGGAAGTCAAATGTGGAGAGGACCTTGTCCAGGACATTCTCTGGCAGGGCCTGGTGCATTCGAGGCTTTTCATGTTGCCTGTTCGAGACGATATAATAGAAATTACTTGCAAGTCATGTTCATTACGGAGTACAAATATAACTGATATCCATTAACAGTTTTACGTTAAGGGGCTATGACACCCCAAAAAGGTTATAATCATTAAAGAAGGCAACACAACACACACAAGAGTTAAATGCTAAGTGAAACATTTCCTTCAGAAAGTGAAACATCTTTAGCCAATTTATGGCATTATATTTCTACACATGTGTTTTCATGTAACAAAGGAAACAATTATCTGCTTGCTCTTCCAACACAATAAATCAATATTCTTTGTGATTGACACTTGCCATTTTTACTTCAAACACCACTTTCCGTGGGCGGAGGCATAAAAAGACAAGGTTAAAGTATACCTTTAATTGCAACCCTCCTTCATTGCCTTTTTAAATTTTAAGTAAACAAATAATAAAATCATTTAAGTCATAGAGCTCTTATTCTTCGTTTACCTCTTTGTTGTGCCCTGTTCAATGTGCCTTCCTTGCTTGGCTGGACTCTCGCCATTAACGATTGGTTCTATTTGTCCATTGGTCTCTAGACCAGGACCGGTTCGCTCATTGGGAGCAAGACCCAACAAGGATCGCACTCTATTTGATCTGATGTCAAGGATTGTGTCTGTGTAGCCTATTTCTTGCAAATATCTGTGAAAATAACGGAAACAGATATTGCAAACAATTACAGAAGAGTGAACTACAGGTACATATACATGGGCAAACTAAAATGTTTACAAGGGAGAGTAGAAATACATGCATAAGTTAACATTTTGCAATTTTCTCAGACATATACAGTTGTATACGCTTTATAACCTTCATGAAATACTCCATGTATACACAATAACCCTTCACCAAATATTAAATAAAAGAAATACATTTATTACCACACATTCTCTATTATGGGATAAGTTGTAATATTGTTCATATGGGGTATCGTTGGATTGGAAAATGTTCCTTTAATTTTCAAAATGTCCTTGGGTATTTATAAAGCTTAAATTTCATACAATATATAAATACGACATCGTTTAGTCTTGAGCTGTGTAAAGGCTAATTTCATTCTAAATGTTGCTTGACAAAATTCAATTATCTGATATGGAGTGAAATGGATAGATCCACTTGGCACTGGTACAATCAATGAACTGCACACATTAAATATTTACTTAGCACATTATGTCAATAAGATTATGAGCACTCTTTAATCAAAGCCTCAAACGACTTCCTGGCCTAATCTAAATAGATTGGAAACCTGATTGATCCTAATGTACTTAACAAATCTATTTTTTCAACAACAACAACAACAAAAATCAGATTTTAATCATCATACAAATAGACCACTCTTAAAGGTGCTATGTCCCATTTGCAGTCCCATTTGCAGGCCCAAAAAATGAAAAGGTTAAATTCCAACGGCATTTGAAAGATAATACTTATTTAGAACTTCCCTAAAATAGGTGGGGCTTGAAAAAGTCTTCAAGTGGGAAAATAACGACTATTAGTTGTCGAATCAACTTAGGAGCTAAAGAGCCAATAAGTGATAGTCTTGATTTTCAGACCATTGTACCGAATGATCATATGTTTTATGCTGCGCAAAGATTCAATCAGTTTAATTTTGGCCATCACAAGAAGTGGGTTATTGATGTAGACAAATGCTCATGTACTGTACCCTTTACAGCTCATTCTATGTATGTTATTACCAAAGAAGAAGAAAAGCCAGTCAGTCCCTCAATAGTGTCTGACAGTGAAGTCTAGCAAGTAAACTGGTTTCCTTGCATAATTTGAATATTAGGACACGGCTAACGTTCAAATTTCACTATAGGACATACATGTACATGACATATTCATAATTCCTGCAAAGTTCTACAGAATTTGAGGTTGGCTGCAAAAGGGACATAGTACCTTTAAAAAATGTATACCCCGGTATTGGAATGTACATATCAAAATAGAGTAAAATAATAAATAGGGCAAGTTTCAATTATTTTTCTGAGCTTCAAAAAAGGAAAAAGTAGCAACAAAATTAAAGATAAACTTGAGTACTGGTAATGCGATTGCATTGTGAAAGAAAAGGTGTGGAATGGATCAGAAAAGTTGATCATATAGCATGTAAGTAATGGTGTGTAATGCAAGGTTCTAGAGTCATCAAAATCATCATAAATTTGGCAGAGTCTTGGTAAAGTAACGATCACTTACACAGATAGATGTATATGGGACAACACACATGGTGTCGGGGCTAGTACTACCCTGATTTCCTTATCTTTCTATGCTCATTACTCAGCCAGCATACATTTTCTTCCAAAATTGTTTGGCACATGACATTTATTTGTAATCTTGAACATTCAGTGTAAGTTTCGTTAGATTCTGTGAGAATTCATTTTCTTTTTTTTACCAGAACTCAAGTTTAGCTTTAAGATCTACATTGTAAATTCACACCTTCATATGAAGGTTGTTTCACTTCTCTAAATCGATGGGCACAAAAGCCACAAATCAGTTGACCACAACTCTTACCTTATTTACCCTGGCATTTGAAAGCCATGTTCTATAAGTACTACAACAATGTAGTAACCATGTACTGGTGTGTACACTGCAGCACAAGGTTGGTGCTTATTCTGAATCATGAAGGTTTATATTTTCATTTTATATATATTCCATCAAAGCATTTAACCTAAACAAATTTTCAAAAAAAAGAGCATCCCTTGGTGTAAAAACTAAGACGACCACTATAATCACCTCAACACCCATTCTCAAATCTCCTTATCTAATGTCTACGGTTATGTTATCAAGGATATCATTTGCACATGTACATCTATATGTATGAAGATTTTTTAACCTTTTTTAATGGAAAGAAAAAATATACATGTACATGTACATGTAATTATTTCAATTAGTCTGTACATATTACAGCCTATGGTAATGGTTACATTATAACCTTCTATGCAACTGTTCTTTTACCCTGATGATAGCAAATCATCTGTATGTCATTAATGATGTTCAAACCCCATCATATTATCCACACTCTGGTACCATTCCATGCCTGAAGGATAATAATTATCATTCTGGCGTACACATGTACAATATAGGCCTAGTATCTTCCATGGATATCCTTGACACACACATATATACTGTACATCTACATCTACAGTTGTATTCAATATGATATATCTTCAAAATCATCAACACTTAAAAACACATCATCATGTCATCATCTTCTCTCATTCCATAAAGATCACATATTTGCAATGAGCCATGTACTACTATTAGGAATCTGAATTCAATGAATACTAATAAATCCATCAGTAGGTAATTAGCAATGCACTCTAACAATCTGAAGCATATTATTAGCACTCATGTGTGCAATGCTCATCCAACTGAGCTCCCGCATGCTGAGAAATTGTCAGCTTTGACATCTAATTTCTAGTCTAGTGAACTAGACCTTCTTCATTTCAGTATTAAAATGATCTGTGCACTTTGATGACAACTACCCGAAATAGCTACAGTAAAATTGTGTTATTACATCATACATGTATGTGAATTTGTATGAAAATATTTGTGTTACTTGACATTTTGTGATCCTTCACCCAAATCGAACAACTGAATGCCCATGGACAAGGGCCTAGTGCACACACAATGAGAATGGTTTCAAATACCATCTCATAGGGTCTGGTTCCTGAGACTAGGGAGCCAGTGGAATCTGACCCAGCCAAGACAGTCTTTGGATGGGAGCGTTGGAGTCAGCTGTGTACTTCATGACATCAGCCTGGTGGGATGCGCAGTGAGGGCGCAGTGAGGGCGCAGTGAGGGGGACTACGGTCATGACAGTAATATGAACATCTTCCATCATATCAGGTTGTTCGGATACCCCCCTCCTCTAAACAATTTACATCTTATGCAGGCACTGCAAAGACATCTTTTGTGATATTGTAGGCTACGTGTAGATGCTTTGTGTTTGTGGGCCGGGCATCAATGGAAGAGGTATCAGTACTAATTTAGGTCTCAACTTACTCAAGGCATCTTGTCTCTCATTCTAGTTGTGGTCATATTCAATTTCAACTTTTTACTGTTCGTTTTTTTCAATGGAAAGTTAAATATTTTGGGAAATAATCAGATTTCATATGGGAGGATTTTTTAATGGAATTCAACACTTTCTGTTAAAGAGGAAGTTGAGTTCTGGTCATGCGATTACATTGTGAAAGAAACGGTGTGGAATCGAGCAGAAAAGGTTGATCATCTAGCATATAAGAATTTGTGTGTATTGCAAGGTTCTGGAATCATCAAAATGATAAGAAATTTGGCCAAGTCTTGGTAAAGTTACAAAGTACTGACTGTACACAGAAAGATGTATATGGGACTACACGAACACATGGCGTAAAAATCCTTTTACAATTTTTCATGACATATTTAGAATATGAAGGCATTTGAAGAGCCATGCTTTTCAGGGAACATGTCTTATCTGATGTTCTTCCACACTTGCATAATAAGAATGATAACGCTCACCTCTTCCCAGAACTCAACCTTTTCTTTAAGTTAACAAATATTGATATAATTTTTGTGATGCAAGTTTTAACTTAAATGTACAGTATATTGATATTTCTTATTTCCAATATTCACTGTTAATCTTTCTAGAGTTGTTTTTTGTAAAATAAACAAATAGATTAGCACTTTTGTCTTTGGATATTGAAAAAATAACCAAACAAAAAACATCCCTATTGATTTTTCTCAAAATTATTGACACATATTTTTGGAGAAAAATAAATTTATTTACAGATTTGATTTTACATGCAAAAATAATGCTATTAATACAGCAGTATTAATAACATAACTCCCCCCCCCCCCCCCCCCCCAAAAAAAAAAAAAAATAAATAAATAATAATAATAATAATAATAATAAATAAAAAAAATAAAAAAAAATAATAATAATAATAAAATCAAAGGTGTCATGTGTAAATGGATATTTTCAAAGGAGTCCCATACTATTGTCACAAACTCTCAACCCATTTGTTTTCAATTAATTTTCAACATGTACTTTTAAATCTAACACAAACAGGTTTGCTAATAACATAAATGAATAAGTCATGTACATTGTTCCCATCTTCAGAATTCATGAACCAAATCTCAATTTCAAAATAAAAGGCCTTTTTTTTAAACAAGTAGGACATGCATACAAATGTATGTACAGTATGTAAAGAGCCTTTATGGTTAATATACATGTATATTCTCCATTCCTTGAAAAGAAAACAAAATGTCTTTATTGAACATGTATTTTCACTGCATATGACATATTTATTTTGCTTAAAACTGCCTGTGTTTATGGAGCATTTGAACATTGCCATCATTCTCATTTTTGCCTTTAAAAAATACTACATACCTAATACCATTTTGCAATTTCCCTTTTGAAAAATGACCCCTACACCTTTAAAAATTGAGTACCGAAAAGAAACAAACAAACAAACAAAATAAGGACAGGGAAGAAGAGAAAGAAAAACAATTTATTTTCTAGATTTTCCCCCACGGCAACGCTGTACCTCAATCAACCCAAACACAGGAAAAAGAGGCACATTATTTGTGATCTATATTCCCATGTCAAAATGAATCAAGGGATACTACATTAGGATGATCCCAAACAGGCTACCACAAGGCACAGAATTTGCTTTATTAACATACAAATTGTATCAGCGCTGATTCATCAATATCCATTACCCATGAAGGTAATTTTCAAGTATGTGACCCCAAAATGCTTCATTGAGATAAATTATTCAGCTTCCACTCACAAACACTCAACAGTGTAACGTGTTGTCTATCCTGTAGTAGTCTAGATTCTACACATTCCCTCTATTACAGTTGCATTTTTGGCATTCTCATTTCACAATAACAAGTCAAGCTTACTGGTCCTCAAAAGGCGTTCTTTGTGAAGATGCATTTTAATAGTTTTAATCTGTTTTGCTCATATGCATGTGTAAGCCGATAAAAACAGGCAATTCATTTTCCAAATGATAAAAGCAATTTGTACATGTACATTTTGTACAGTGTAAGTCTATACCGTATGCAAAGCAGATTGAAAAAAAAGAGAAATCTTTTTTTTTTTTTTTTAAATCACTCTTTCGAAATACAATTTTTACATGGTACACCTTCATAATTCGTTTTAAAGGAACAGTACTGCACAGTACATAGGGCCTGTACACGTACATGTGCACTTAATGTCAGAGGTCTTAGTACTTTAAAATCTATATTTCCAGTTAGGCCAAAATGCATGTACATGTTGTACTGTAGTTTACATTATAACCAAGTCCATTCATTGAAATGAAATTCTTCAAATTGCAAAATACATGTTCCTAGACAAGTACGCATCACTGAATACATGTTGGCTTACGCACACATCACCAGAGGACTGATGAACACACGTGTACATAAAGATAACATGCAGGCAACATGTAGTGTACATGTACAATGTAGGTAGGTTGCTTCGACCAGTATCTGTTTATTGCCTGTGACAACAACTGTGTCAACACAAGAGAATATAAAGCCTAGCTCTTCTTACTCTTTTGTCTTGACAGTGACACACTGCCATAAAACTAACGACCGGTACACAACCTGTACCAAGACATAATGTACAAATCTACAGTGCAGCAAGACCTGTTTTAACCTTGCCACTTTTATTTCCCATCTCTTGTATTTGTATCAAGTAGAGTAGCCTAGAAGCTGGTATTTCATGTAGGCGAAGTAACTGAAAGACTTATTTTCAAATACTGTACATGTTGGCCTACTGTGCCTTCACTACATGTACATGTACATCTATAACAAGTTCAAAAATAAAATTATTGCACAAAAAATGCTCCATATTGGGGGGAGGGGGGTACATGTACACGACTACATGTACAGTACATGTACTACTACTACAACACATGATTTGAGTGACACATCCCTGCAAACATTGATGACACATTTGTAAATTATGTCAAGCAGGGGTTCTTGACCATCCCAACCTAATGACCCCCATTAACATTCCTTATCAGTATTGTTATACCTCCTCGCCCCCCCCCCCCCCCCCCTCAGAAAATGAATAAAAATACATCTGAATAAATATAAGTTACATATGTCTGCCAATTCTCAGTTGACTGAATGGTTAAAATTGCTCTGCCCATTTTAAAACAAGAACAAGAGATTACATTCTTTATGTGTACATGTATATTCAGACTCATGAACATATAAGAAATTGATTTGTTTCATTTGTGACCCATCATACATGTACCGATATGTCCATTTATTTCTAAAACAATAAATTAAGAAGAACCACTATTCATGTGCTGTACATGTACTGTACATACTACCGAAATATAAATACACATAAATTGATTTGTTTCATTTGTGACCCATCAAATGTCCATTTAATTCCAAAAAAAATAAATGAAGAACCACTAAATACTTGATTTAGGTCCTTAATATACATGTACATGTCATGTACATGCATGTACTGTACATGTACCAAACTGTAAATAAATTATATACAGTGTGATGCATGTCAAAGTATCTTTCTCATTTACTTTAATTAAGTACATGTATAAGTGCACATGTATGTATGCATGACTGGTATTCTAATATTACAGGATAAAGATGATTTTCAGTCTCATCTTCATTTCATATACAGTGTACATTGAACTAGGACGACCTTCCACAATGACCCACATGTTCATGTACATGCATCATAATATCATGGGCCTAGTATAAGTACCGGTGTATACCGTGTAGTAAGGGCTTGCTACATGTACATGTGCATACACTGTGGTGTAGTGTAGGCCTACAAGTACAAGTACATGTAGAGTGCATTATGGTCGTGTGATGAATTAAGGTTCCTAATTAATTGGTAGCAAATTATTCACAGAGTGTAGAAATACATTAACACTGATTGTTCTTAATCATCATAATGAAGCTTTAGAGGATAAATTGTGATAACAAATGCATCTCAATTACAGACAAAATGAATATACTGCATGCACAAGTCCATGTACAATACATACCAGTACATGCATTTTTTACACACTACAAGAAGTGTTTATCTCCTAAGTCTTACCTACATGTATCAAATGCATTCATACTCATGATTCCCTTTTTCCTAAACTATTCATTAACCATGGGTACTATAAGAATCAACTCAAGGTTAGTTTTTGCATACAGTAAACTGAGTAATAATAAGAGTTCAATGACAGGAAATGAACCACATTCCATCGCACAAAGCTAATAAACAAACAATACTGGCTTTACATTCTTCTCGTCCATTATAGAGAGTGAAACTTAATTTTGAAGCCATTAAGAAAATATTTCAAAAACTTTTAAAAACATAATTTTTAGCTTAATATTTTACTCACTTCCTTATTCTTTTTTTTTTTTTACCATGATGCAAATGGCATCTATAGTTTATACAGTGAGAAATAAATGTCTTTCTGGTTCTATTTGTGTTACAATCTTTGCAAAGTTGACAACTTCAGAAGCCAACCTACTGAATATATATATGTGGGCAAGCAGGCAGTCCACTTGACCAACTCAACATTATGACCTTGTTTCAGTTTAACCAAACTCATTCATGAATGTGGTGCCCAAGAAGCCCTAGATCTATTAATTTACTTGTTGTATCTATTTATAATATGAAGCTTACAGGTACTTGTTTAATTAGTGACTGAACTTACAAAGAAAGATATTTATCACATGAACAAACAACTATTACTATCATAATTAACAAGAGCTTGCAAATTAAAAAAAACAGAGTAAACTCTCTCTCCCCCTCTCTCTCTCTCTCTTTCTCACACACACGCAAAGTATAAAATGAAGTTTAACTCCATATGCATAGTGTAAATGTCTATTGATATCTTCTTTTTTCATGAATTACAAAAAACACATTTTTACCCACATTTACCAGTAAAATGATATTATTACAGATTGCTAAGATATTTCTTAATACTACTGTACATCACTGATGTACAATTTACATGTATTTTTGTCAGATTATTTAGTAGAAATATACCTATCACATAACAATGAAATTGTTGAAAATAAAAAAATTTCCACAAGCACATCTTGGATATATCGAAATAGCTTTTGATAGAAAATCTTAATTCATAAAACATGTTTTATATTATAAGCATTAAAAAATTAAAGGATACTTACTGCCTGAGAAGCTGCCGACTTTGTCTGAAATTGACTGAATTTGGTGATAGGGCTGATTCTTCCTGGCCGCCTTCCTCTGGAAAATCAAAAACAGAGCAAAAAAAAAAACAATTAGGGTTTACTTACATTCAGGTTCAAATTAAAATTTGTGTTTCCATTTTTTTCTCCAAAAAGACAAGCTTAGGGAGCCTGTAAAAGCAAGTTTCTTTCATCTACATTAATTTTCTATTGATAATCAAATACGCAAAGCAAGAAACATGCTCTCCTTAGCTGCTACAGTCTTTGTCTCGATAAGTACAGAAATACACAAAATGAAAGGTACTCCATAAAAACAATATGAAATCTCTTGTCACATTCTACATTTTGTATCAATATTTCCTGTCAAATTCTCAAGGAAAAGATCTCAAGAAAAACACCTTTCAAAAGTTTTTCTTTAATTAGAGATCCATAAAATATACAGTATTTCTAAGTTTGTTGTACTTGCAATACTAAACATTAGTACACATGGTCATAGAAATTCCCTATATATGTAATAGGTTGTGTTCCTTTCTATTGTTGCGCAGACTTTTTACCTTCATCATGGTAATCAAAAGGGTATTGTCTTTTGATGTGAAATAAAGGCAGCTTTGTCTACTCTCACACAAACACACATCTCTTACAGGTGCAGTATGACTGAGTAAAAATGAATATGACTGAGTAAAAATGAATGAATACAACACTGTCCCTCTCCATTGTCCATGTAGATCATTGTACTTTACCAGAACATGATATATCAGACAGTAGGAACGTAATACAACAGATTGATATTGAGTGTCATTATGTGCTCTTCAGTACTTGCTTTGTGTCTTCATGTACATGACAATTATCTTGTGTATTACATGGTTGCCAGAGACAATATAAATGACTGAACAAGCAGTAGCTTTTTGGTATACATGTACACTAAGGCTGTGCACAACAGTGTAATGAGGTACCAGAGTACACTCCCAGGCTTACAAGCGAATACTGGAATATTCGGACGCCATGTTTTTTATAATTTTTTTGGATTTTTTTGGATTTTTTTTTTGCCACCACCATATCACTGGAGCATATTTTTTGAAAATATTTATTAAACAAAATACTATTTTTGTTTAATTATACAAAAATGAGAGATAAGACTATAACACGTGACGTAAAGTATTTGGCGACAATAGTCAAATTACTGACTACTCGGTAATAAGCTAACACACAACAAACAAACAACAAACGCAGTATCCCAGGTCCATCGCCGAAAACGCATGCAATTTTACTTCGAGTTGCAGTTGAAGGCGCCAATTTAATAATAATAATAATAACAGAAAACAATGCTGTTTTAAAAACAAAAGATGGCAGAATAATCCATTTTCCTCTGAGTCCGGGCATTTGGTCCCAGTTTCTGAGTGGTGAGTTTGACAGTGCTTGAGTTGGGAAACATTTTTACCGACGGTACCATGCCAGCGGCCGCCGCTCTCCCTGGCACGGGTAAGCGTCGGCCTGGACAATGCGAGGTGACCGGGATTTTTTTTTTTTTTTTTTTGCGGCCGAATATTCGAGTATGACAAATCGTACTCGAGTAGTTGTCAAAAGTGCGGGTTCTCTAGCATTCGACTACTCGTCGCAGCCCCAATGTACATGTAGCATCAATATTAGGCCTAAAAAAAAACTGCTACCGACCCAAAAATCTTGCAATCTACGGTCGGCTTTAAAAAAAAAAACTTTTTTAGAGAAAAAAGTATATAATAGCATTCAAACTGAGAAATATCAGCCCAAAGAGGGAAAAAGAAAAGAAAAAAAGCTTAAAAAAAAAAAAAGTATTCCGACCGACTGACCCATGTTTTGGCACCTAAAGGGCAATGTAACATCTATTTTGTTAAGGCCTTACTAAGTCTATAAGACTTATCGAAAATAATATCGCTAGTGATATTCGTTTGTCTATAAGACTTATTTCCAAATAACAGACAAAAGATTAATAATCTATAATAAAATTGTGCTAAATAAAAAATCCCACAAATATATGAACAAAGTAATGTTTTTACAATCCCAACTTCTTTTGACAACTCATAAAGTCTTCAGATCAAATGAAAAACAAAAATACATAGATAGTCTATAAGATTATCACATTACAATAGACCTTAACTGTTATTGCACTATCCTCCATCAACCCTTTTACTACATTGTACAAATCAACATATACATGTATGACATACTGTTGATCTGTCATATATTTCTAAGATTCATCTTTGTATTAGTATTCACACTACTTCCTTCCCATAAAATAAATTCTCTCCTTTCATTATGGTACTATCAATGCCACAAAGGCATTACTTTCTCGTAATTTATTCCATATATATTTCCTGAAAGAGCTTGATAAATCCTCCAGGGATTCTGTCACTACCAGGTACATGTACAAACAAAATCCTTAGGGGTAACCATGAAAGTTCTTGTATCTTTTGATGCTATTGATGGTCTTTACGATGCTATGAATATCCAGATTTTAAATATCTTGTTTCTACATTCATTTTTGTCTTCAGCACATGCACATGTTCATGCATATGAACGAGGAAATATGAAAATAAGAAAATAAATTCATATTATAGAATCATAGGAACATACCTAGTACAATGTACATGTAGTTACTATATAGATACAATGAACAGTCTCTCAATATGATACACAAATTAAACAAAGTTCTGTCAATGTCAAAGGCTCTTTTTAAAGGCACATACCTGTATGAAAAAATAAATTACGAAAAATAAATTAAGAAAAAAAATATATCTTCTGTGTACTTAAAAGCAATCCCCCCCCCCCCCTCCCCCTCCCCTCCAATTCAATTTCTTTGATAAAATGTTACAAATTTTAATAAATTCCATGACCTGTCAGTACAATTAAATTTTACGTGGAGATATTCAGTAATTTTAATGTTTAGGTGAAATTAAATTCCTTGAACAATGAAGAAATTTGTAGATCTCCAAATTAAATTAGAACAAAATAAAGCAATACATAGGAAAATACATTTTAAACATGAAAATCTATCAATTCACAATATTAGGCACTGATGATGTGTCACAATATAGACCTACAATGTACATGGAAATATACATGCACTAAACATCCCAAAAGAACCATGATTTAGCATTAACATTTACAGATGTTTTGCCAATTAGAAAACTAGATAATTAATATCTAGAACAACATCTTACCTCCATCAAATGTTGGGGCCTTTAGTTCATCTTTATCTGAGCCAGACTTTAATTTTTGGTACTTCGTTCTGTTGCAAAAAAAAATAACAGAGGAAAACAACAAACTTTATATCAGATTTCTTTGGTAATATAATGCAATTAACATTTACATTTTCTGGGTGTCTGCACTCACATTCACACTCGTCACCAGCCTGCTCATCACTTCAGATCATTGTGATTTATGGGATTTTCTGGTATTCAAGTGCAAGTGCAAGTGCAAAAATGTAGTCATTCAGGAAATAGAAGTCTACAGTACAAGTCAAATAATTACAAATATTATATTACAGACAAAATTTTCTATTATAGCTCTAGGCTTTAATACTACCAAAATAATATTCTTTGTTGTCTTTTTATAATTATAATCAATATTGATTTTAATTTTCTACAATGTTTAAAAAAGATACTTTAATATTAATAAAGCATTTACTACTGTAATGGTTTAATATTTACCTTTCTTGTTTTAGTGCAAATTCAAGCATCTTTATTCTCCGTACTAGGTCATGTTTTAGATTCTCTTGACCCTTTCGCTCTCCTTGTAGGAAAGCAATGCGAGCCTATTTGGGAAGAAAAATTAAGGTAAAAAATCACATAATTTATGTTACAGTTAATGAGGTTATATGAAAACCTAGCGCACTCTGTGTACAATACAACCACAACAGATTAAATGGATACTCAAGTTGACGTATAAATTTGTAAAATGTAGTAGCATCAATGGATACAAGTGACATTTTGTACATTACAATCAATGTTGATAAATATTGCAAATTACATGTATATGGTATGTTACTGACTTACTGTACAGTACTGTACATGTATAAAGCAAAGAACTAGAACACAATAACCCTTTGAGAGGGCCCTGTCATTCCTCTAACTTGATTGATTTGGGGGCTTTCATTTCAATAGCAATATTGGAATTTTGAGGCTGCTGATTTTGACATGGTTGATGTAATAAAAATCAGCTCGTAATGCTCCAGATCACGTTATGTCCAGTCATGCGAACCAAAGCTTGGTTGTAAGCAAAATTACTAGATATAGCAAAAAGTTACATTTCCATCTAAAATCAAGAGAATCAACATATAATGCCTGTGTGTTATGTTATACAGCTCTACAAATATGCTCAATGTTTAATTGGAAACAAGCAAAACCATCCTTGATAAATAGTATACTGTAAGTAGATTCCACCTATTTCTAAATGAAAAATAAATATAACCAGTAATTTCTTATCTACCTGTATATCCTAGACACAGTCTACAGATAAGCAAAGATACAAATTAATGGGAATTTATTCTGACAAAATTTATCTTGTGAGACATCATCAATACAACAAAATTATTAAAATATGAAAAAACTCACAAAAGGGATTATAAACATGAGGCTACATACACAGTTTAAATCAGTGTAAAAATCTGATGCAAAATCAATTTTTGCAATCATTTAGTTATTACAGTGTATATCATCATGACCTGATAATTTAGTTAATTTAACTCAGATATGATCTCTTTTGCTGTTACTCGGCATCATCACAGTTGTAGCTTTTATCAACAATTTGTTGCAACTTCAGAATAAATCTTGACATACATGTACTGTATGTTTGCCTTAATGAAGCTGAAGCAGGGTCTACTCTATTAAACTTTGAGTACATGTATAGACTAAAGTATGGCCATTTTGCCTGTGAAAAAAAAAAATCTTTTTCTTCAGGTTACATCTACATGTACCTTCTTCAGATTTGAAGGTTCCTGTAGATGGTTCCATCAATCACAATCAAGATGAACCAAACTTCTTGGCCATAAATGTTTCATTACACTTTTGATTTTGTCTACTCTTCTTCTTGTTTGTGAGAATTCAACAATAAATTATTATAACATGAAATTCATCAATACTTTTACATGAATTACTTTGACATTAAAAAAAGCTAAGGGGACTAGATTATCAGACCAATGAATGTGTTCATTGAAGACTGAACAGAATGCAATCCATTAAAGGGGAAGTCCAACCCTTATCAGTTATCACAATGATTTAATAGAAGCAGAAAAATGAATGAAAAAGTCAAGTGAAGTTTGAGCAAAAACGACTAGAAATAGAAAGTTATGATTTTTTGATGCTGCAATCATTTCAAACACAAATTGGCGACTCTATGACATACATGTGTAATGTATCTTGTGAGCTCCCCTCCCATTTGCCCTGTACTAAAAAACTTTAAAAATCTGTAAATTTCCCTCAAGAAAATATGAAATCATACATTCAGCCTAATCCCTAAATGTAGGCTAAGTATTGCATATATATAGACCCTAGACCTACATGGTGTATATGTTTTAGACAACCCCTATTATATGAAACAAATCTATTCTGTCATCAATAGCTAAGAAAATGAAAGTTTATGAAATTTTCTGTATGATGGGGGTATGGGTGTCTGGACAATTAACATCCATACATTGCTATCTATTGATTTAATTCTTATAAACGCCTGATCTGCATGACTAAAGTCTATGTTCTTTTAACTAGATTTTATTAAATTTTCAATCCGTTTCAATTTTGATTATTTCAATTTAGAGTAAAGGAGGGGGTAATCGACCATCTCCAGTTTTCGGCCGATTGGTTGGATGCATGGTAAAATCCCTTTAAAATACATCGCATAATAGCATATCACATATCCCACACATACATGTACCATACCATGCCAGAGTCACTAAAGAACCACATTTGCAATGGAAAATATATCCTAAAATATCACATTTTAGCGATGTAATCGGCGATCCCGCCACCTGAATCTGAAAAATCAAGTATCTTACGCGTGTCTGTAAGAAATATGGGTACCATAAAATGTGCTTTATTTTAAGTATTTTTCGGATTTAGAGCCCGATTTTGTATGAGTCGCAAGCTCAAAAGTATTTCATCGCACGTATTAAATCAATGCAGCCGGACACCGCAGCGCGCACACGATATCTCTGTCTAATTCAGATTCCAATTTCCAATCAACGTAGTGCTAGTTTTCGACCTGGTGAGCACCGCGGAGCTCCGGCGTGGGATACCTGCTCCGCCCGCTAGTGCAATAGATCAACACAGAAACGCGTGGCGCGTGCGTGCGCGCGCTTCCTATTGACTTTGTAGATGCGGTCGAAAACTGGCTCGCTGTGTCGATAACTGCCTCCGAAACAGTGAAAATTGAAATGAATATTGTCATGGCAATTCGTGATTTGTTTCTGGGATTCTTTTTTTGTTTAAATAATAATAACATTTGCTTCATGATTTAAAAAAGAAATGATAATAAATAGGAAGCAAAGAGTCCCAAAAATAGGATTTTGTCTTAAGTGGTCGAAAACCCCCTCCTTTAATCTAAATGACTTAAATTTCTATTCCGTAATTTCTATTATAAACGACTAATGCGGAAGACTAGTTAACGCATTCTTTCGAGAAAGCCTCCTCGCTTTAGCTCATCCCGTTTAATTAAGGTTGTAGGCCTAGATCTAGGCCTAGGGGCGGGCCTAGGGTCTACTCCGTTCGTACCCTTTCATCATAAGCTGTAGAGTGTAGACAATGTGTGAGCTGTCATACGACTTTACAGACTCGGTTCAATTGAATTTTAGATTTTCTGTTCCTGAATTCAACAAACACTGGATCAGTCACTTCATTTTCAATGAGAAGGATAAAATACCGAACCTAGTCCTAGAGTCTAGACAATAAGTGAAATAGAACAATAATGTTGTCACAATTTTATATAATGTAACTTAAAAAGGACTAGGCTATGACTTTGTTACATGTCTTGTCATTCAAAGCACTAGATCTAGATCTACACTGCATTCATTCATCATTGATACGCCACACAACATGGGCTTCAGCTCAGCGCCGTATAGGCGGCCGTATAATGTGCGGGTGGGCCAAGCCTACCTGAAGTTCAGCTCGTTCCACTTCCCATTGAGCGCGTTCCATTTCGAAACGTGCCCATTCATGTTGTATAAAATGTAAAATTCCCGGAATTGTGTAGTTGGGTCTCGGATGATCATCTTGTTGTTTGCTGCTAATGCTATTTACAGAAGAAGAACCAGAATTCATCTGATTAACGTGGTTTTGCGACAGTCCCGATTCACTATCCATTCTGTATCTTATCATACTACTACGTCGCCATTTTGTTGAGATGATTGGATGTCAGACTAGCCTTTTTCAAGAAATAGTATGCAAGAAGATTGTGTGTGGAATGTCATAATTTGAAAGTGTTAATCTTAATACAAATAGAGGAATGTTTGGAGAGAAAAAAATTGATCGAAAATAAACAATTTCTTTTCTCTTATAAATACCAATTATCTCTTAATCTTAGTTTGTATAATAGTTGCCCCTTCCTCATCAAAGATTGACGTCACACTTGAACGTGCGATACCGATCCTGAACGCTCGATTGCAATAATAATTTTCTACCAGGGCCCTGTCTTATTGAGAGTTTTTTATGTTGTTGATATAATCGCAACTTATTTTCGATCGCTATAAGTCGCAAGTATGTAAGAGATAGGAAACTGCAAACTTGCGATTGATTAGAAAACTTGGGATTTATAAGGATCAATCGTAACTGTTTATAAGACGGGGCCAAGAAAATTGTCTATCCTATCCCAGGGCCTATTCCCAGATTCAGGGAGATCATATTTTGGCTTAACATCAAAATAAAAATGCTCATACGAGATATGAGTGAGTCAGTGAGATAGCACCAGTGATAAACATCGATGTGAAGTATGCAAAGAGATAAGCGAGAGAGAGAGAGAGAGAGAGAGAGAGAGCGAAAGAGAGAGAGAAACAGACATACATACAGACGGACAGACTGCCCAGATAACAATGCGACGTTACGCCAACGTGGGGCCAACGTAAGCTGTTACGTTGGTCCAACGTCGCCAACATGATGTTGGGCCCACGGCTTTCTTGCCGGCGGGCCAACGTTGGCTCGACAGTGACAAAATGACATTAAGCCAACATCGGGCCAACGTTATGCCGACCCCTATCCGACCATATGTGCCGATGTCCTCCCGACATTGAACCAACGTTATGTCAACCTCTTTTCCACCGTATGCCGACGTCTTTCCGACATTGGACCAACGTCGTCCCAACCCTTTTTTAACCATGTGCCGACGTACGACCAACGTTATGCCAACCCCTATCCCACCATGTGCCGACGTTGTTCCGACATTGGATAAACGTCATGCCAACCCTTATCCCACCATGTGCCGACGTCTCCTCGACATTGGCCCAACGTTATACCAACCCCTTTTCAACCATGTGCCGACGTAGTTCCGACTTTGGACCAACGTTATGCCAACCCCTATCCCACCATGTGCCGACGTCGTTGGCTGTTACGTTGCGCCATCGTCGCCAATGTGATGTTGGGCCAACGGCTTTCTTGCCGGCGGGCCAACGTTGGCTCGACAGCGACGAAATGACATTAAGCCAACATCGGGCCAACGTCCCCCCGACGTATGACCAACGTCATGTCAACCCCTATCCCACCATATGCCGACATAGGACAAACGTAATGCCAACACCTTTTCCACCATGTGCCGACGTCTCCCTGACGTAGGACCAACGTAATGCCAACCCCTTTTACACTATGTGCCGACGTCTCCCCGACGTTGTCCTAACATAATGCCAACCCTTTTCCCACCAAGTGCCGACCCCTCCTCCACCATGTGCCAATGCTAGACCAACGTTATGCCAACCTCTTCTCCACCATTTGCCGACGTAGAAGCAACGTTATGCCAACCCGTATCCCACCATGTGCCGACGTTGTACCTCCCCTTTCCAGTTCATGCCAACATCCTTCTGACATTACCAACACCAACTCAAAAACATATTCACACCAACATCGGTCGTCCGTTCATAAGAACATCGTTAAGATCATACTACATCGGACATGTACAATCATTCAAACACATGCATCACAACGTGACAAGGAAATGCCAAGTAGTTTAAGATTGGATTAAATAAATAAACAGAGCAAAATCCACAAAATGAAGATAGTAACAATTTCAAAACTTGATAACAACTTATTTGTCCCATTTTAATGAAAAGTTCACCATCTTGCTTCTTAGAATTTGCTCTGAATACATCCCCTTCCCTCCAAAACAAAAGAACAAGGAAAATAAACTGATTTTGTGATAAAACATACTTTATTTTATGTGTAATAAACAAACTGTGGTAAATGTGAATACAATTATTGTACATCTTTCTTTTGTATTTTCGTTTGAATTCGAAAAAGATGTAAACATAGTTTCAAGTTCAAGGTATCTCAATGTGTCACAATATAGGCCTACTATCAATGAATGCTAGGACGATAGGAGCTGTTATAAAATGAATTGTCGCTTACACGTAACACAACATAACATACTGAAATTCATTGTACGAATATAATAAACAATCCTCGCAACTTCCCGAGTAAAACAAAACAAACTTTCTGGCAGACGAACACGATTGCTTATGACAAGATTCCTCTACATATGTACAGCACAAAAATATAAAGAAATGAATAAAGTGTCCACCATTTGCATACCAAGAACTAGGCAATTAATGTAAACAATGTTCCATAAAAAATTAAAAAATAAAATTCAGAGAAATTGCCAACATTTGTTATGCTTAGGCATTTCAGAGATGCTGATACATTTCGTCGCCATATCTATTGTTAGGAGGTGTTTTTTCTATGTGTTTTAGGAGGGATAGTATACATTGCTTGAATGTGTGAAGTAAAGCAATCGCTAAATGTTTATATAACAAGAGAGGAAATTTGAAAGTGAAGTAAGAAAGAGCAGAGCTTGTAAAGGGAAAAACACAAGTTTCTTCACTCTGATATACCACTTTCAATATTTCTTTAAATTGAGAAGAAGGTAGTACGAAAAACATTCAGTCACTTAGATATATGAAACATTTTTTTCTTACCTTTGAAATTCTTTATAGCATGCATTTAGTTGACACGTTATACAGGCATTCAAATTAATTACGACCTTCTTCGACTCATGGTATAGCTCTCTTTTTAAAATTGGGCAATTAGTGAAATTTCACCACAATAAATAACAAGTAAAGATGCATAGCACACTATTTAATAATAAAAGTTATTGTTTATGTTTGTGTACAAAACATAATGCCTGCAGAGCTGGCTAGCAAGCACCGTAGCTTGCCTAAGCGGAGATCGTTCTTGATATAACATCACTAATCCTTTGGTCAATCATTCCGAGGAACTCTGAGAATTGTAAGGGGCGGGGTCCACCATTAGACGAGCAACTTGGAGAGGTTTTCAAAAAATTGTAAAAAATATAAGGAGGCATTTATTTATGAAACAATTGTTATTATGTTGCTTTAAAAGGGTCTTGATACAAGACATAAAAGTTTTAATTTCCTAAGGCAATTGACCTTTAAAGAATAGGTTAGTCGGAATCAAAATCTTGTCTAGCTTGTGGTGGTACAACTTCGACATCTGCGGGAAAAAAAGAAGAAGAAAGAAACCAAACAAGATTTAAAAGCAGATCATGGAAACATCACCTTGAAATAGTACGGATATTGATCAAATAGTACGGCATTCAAGGGAAGTAGTCCTGAGTGGCACATCCTCCCTAGTTTTGATGAAATTTCATGGATAGAAGTACTTTGTCATGAAAATAACTTCGTTCAAACTTTAGAGCGAATGACCCAGACGTATGGAAATTAGAAAGGAATGGATTTCTTTTATTTTTGTCTTGTTTAATTAGAATAGCATCAAACACTCTTCTCAACAAAGGAAATATACATTTGAGGTAAAATGGCAGTAATATTCTTCAATAGAAAGAACCAATTTATAGTATCTGTTTGCTCAGTGTTGAGATGCTTGATTGACAACAGTTTAAAGCCCCTCTTAAGTGTTGGATCCCTAAATTAGCCAAAGAATAGATGGCACAATCTCACTTAAATGGTATGATGTAAAAGAGGATGTCATTAACACCCGGACACTTCTGCAAATAGAATATTGCCCTAACAAATGTGTTTGAAGTAGAATATGGATGAAAGAATACAAAATTTTCTGCATACAACACAAAACCCTTAGTAAGTTTGTATTCTTTCTAATTTTTAGTACAAATGTTTGAAGAAGAGTGGCATTTTCTTTCACATCATTATAACATTGAAGTGAAATGTGAAGCTCCCAATACTTTTTTTGTATTTATGTAAGCTCCCAATACTTGAGAGAGCTCGAGGGGCTTCAAAGTAGAAACAAAAACACAAAGCTATATCGTTAGTTGCTTATACAAGAAACAAATCAATTGACTGTGTTTTGTTTTTTGTGGCACCCTGCATTCAGAATTGTTTCCAAAAAAATACTGCTATAAGCAGTATTTCATGATTTGTTGTTGTTGAATAGTTTTGTAAGTGATCACAATGCAGTTTCTCAATATAATCAGGAAAAAGATACTAGCATCCGTTAGCAGCTATGTCCTACACAAACGTACATTAATCCAGTACATTTGTACTTTGTGTGCAGGGCACAACTATAACGAATACTAAGAAGTGCTATCCTGTCTTCATGTATAACTAAATACAAAATGAATAAAATGCCAAATGACATACCCATATTTCTGAATGTTGAGGTCAATGGGGTCGTTGGGGTCGACAGTGTTCTGGAGGTTGATGGGGTCGATGTCGAAGGGGTCCTTGGTGCTGTTGATGCTGTTCTGGATGATCGAGGTAGGGGTAGCTGGATCTGAACGGGTAGAGGAATCTGGAATTTGTTGTGAAGTTGACGATATGAAATGCAGGATTTAATATTTAAATTTCAGAATTGTAGGGATTATGGGAGAAAAAAGTATTGGGATTTGGAAGAGCTATATAGAATTGAATGTATTAATAAAGAACGTCATAATTTAAAAATAAATAATTAGAATATTTACCTTTAGTTCAAATTATAGCAATTTAATATACATGTGCATAAACAATAAAAACTAATTTGAAAATGAGAATAAAAATGCAGCAATAATCAAATTTGTGAATGAAAATTGTGAATGAAAATTATGGGATCGATCAGTGTTGCCCCCGCCCCCAATAGTTTTTCCTATTTACTATTTGATCAAATTGAGGTTCTTGTGGCCAATTGCGACTTTAAATGATTGCAAATGCCAAAATGAGGGTAATTCCCACCAGCTACCTCTTTCACATCACACTCACAA